ACATTACTCCGCTGTTTTGTGAATCGAGTAGCGCCCATCGCAGATTGAGAAAAACGACATAGATTCAACAGTTGCAACCGCACGTCCGATAGAACCAGCAGGACTTTGGAGGCCTACCATGTGCTAAGGACCATACTCTCAAAGAGACCCGAGGGTCCGAGTGCGGTGACACGATTTACAGCACGAAGCTAGCTCGGCACCCGTGATGATTGGTACATCAGGAACCCATCCAGGTGGTCCGTGGCCATCACAAACGAGGGAACTGAGAACTGAAGCAATGGGGAGCCAGAGAAGCAGGATGCATAATACATCCAGTAATTGGCTGACTCCGCACAGCACCTTAAACCATTTCAAAAATGGTTCCCACAATCCCACCACTGTTACAAAGGGGGTAAGTGTTAAAGAAGGGTTCAAAAAAGAGTTTTGCGAGTCAGTGATGACTCTTCTCAATCCATCGTTGATGAACATTCTCTACACGAATATCACAGCGGGATCATGTCATAAATGTATCGCCCTTGGCGCATCAGATCGGCAGAGCTGAAAGGCACGGACTAGACGCACATTGTCTCATCAAGACCTTGATCTAGGTTAAAAATTAGTTCTTGCTGAGAAAAGCGTTGGAGTGAGCTGTTGGTTATGCTTTTGGATACCTCTGGTACCACATCTGTTCGGCTTCTTTTTGATTATTCTTTTGATATTTCATCCGCCGATGTCAATTTATAGTCTCAACTTCGAAGACATTGTTGGCGAAGATAAATTTTAAATATGAGTACTCTTGCAAAGCTTACTTGTTCCGCTGCATCCTGTGAGTTCAATCTCTGTACTGTCATGAGTAGAAGTAAACCCGACTATTCGGGCGCAAGTCGCTTTTGCGTCGAATCCCGCCGGCGTGGGGTGAAACCTACCAGTCACCGTCCCAACTTGTTACAGCCTTCAAATAAAAGTGAGTGGCATCCATCTTCTATGATTAACTTTCTCGTCGCTTCTATGGAAGCGTTAAGTCGCTAAAGGATACGGCCGGCCGTGGATCGATCCCGGTGAAAGTCATTTTTAGAAGAGGACTACTTTGATCTCAAGCTCTCACCACAACGACCGATTGAAAATTTGCAGAGGATAGTTGAGTTTCACCAGCTTGGCGAGGCAGACAACTATACCGCCGAGCATTGAAACCTTTCTGTCCTCAGGGCCATTGTAGTCAAATTACTTGCGTTCGAGCGAGGGCGCAAGGGGGAAGGTCCTGAGACGCAAGTATCTCATAGACATCCTCTGTCTTCGATCTATGAAATGTGTGATTGATGGATTCATTGAATGCTTCATCATTGGGGCAAAAGATTTCAATATTGATATATAGAATGTTACGTTATCTTACGAGCACTAAGGATGGAGAGATCGATGAATTGCGATGAATACACAGGGAACTTTCACAGGCTGACAAATTTGCGACTTTCAAGATTGGGAGGTTGACATAAAGTACGGTTTACTATGGAGCAATATGTATGTAGGAATATGTAATATGACATGAGGATGAGAGGGGGGGGGGGGATCTTACTATGGGAATAATGCAGAGGCCGAATATCACAAGGACCCGTGATTTCCAAAAGATACATTGTACTTGGTAGCTGCAGAGTATTTGCCCCTGCGTACCTCCCAGTGTTGAAGAGCGGAACTAGATGATTCCGTATCGGAGAGGATTTTCAGATTGGCCAACACGGTGATACTTGTCTGCGTTGGAAATAGATGTAGTCTGAATTGCATATTATGACTCTCGGCCTGGGCTCACAATTCTATATCCGACCTAAGGAAGACAACTAAAATTGAAACTCCAATTTAATACTTACTTGACAATCAGGCCTGAATCCGGCTAAATGAGAGTGCTGCACGTATAGTTGCGTAATTGACGGGAAAACAGTATGTATTGTGAGACCTGAGGAAAGAAGGAAGAGAGAGAGAGGTCTGGATCTACTATCTACACCAGCGGGGACCTTGCAAACCAGGCAAACGCCCGCGCCGACCGTAATGATCACGTTCAACGAGTTGTCGGTTTGGGATACCCCAAAAGGGACGCTCCGTAGATACTTGTGCCGCAATCGGCTGTGGTGTCCGATCCCAGCCTCTCTCCTTGACGAGGGGCAGATCGGTCTGATTCATCCCGAGGTTGGACAGCACTGTGGCTCTCTAGATATATTCTTTATGAATCATGATCATGTGTAATTCGCTGTCTAATAAGTGGCCAGGTCCACCCACCATTGAATGGAGTCATTACCTTTGGATTTGGGGATAACCATGAAATGCCTCGGGGGATAGACGGAGTAAGCCGATTCTGCAATTCCTCGGTATCTCCTCTCGTAGGGGAGGAGTATTGAAACCGAGAAAGACAAGCCAGAGACTCCAAAGCCTCACGAAGAGACACCGTCTCTAAGCGTAATGGCTTTGATTACACAGGAAATTGAGCAACATAGATAACGCAATGTGTATTGGCTAGATCGGTGTTGAGATGAAGAGTTTCTTGACATGATGATGTATATATGATACGAGCAGTATAGCAACCTTCTCGTCACATGCTACAAATAGCTTTGGTAGATTTACGCATTTTCATTTGTCTAGAGATCATATACTGAGTCTTTCATCTATGCCTTTACAACAACGAACCGTTTTTTATACACTAACATTTACGTGATCAGCTGCTTTGACCCCGTCGCTGTTTATTAATACAGAGAGTCAGAGATTGCTGAGAGTTTAGGTTCTGTACATACCCAGCAAGAGGGAGAGATAGCTTAACGGCGCTTTATAACCAAGAAGAGCATTCCACCTCTGAGAGCTGTGCGTGCATGCCTATCAAAGTTTATCCGAGGCTTCTTCCCAACGCCATTCGAGCCTAACGGAAGACGCTAAGCTGGACTGATTCGCGCTGGGACAGTCTTTGTTGATTTGACTCGCTGCACCCCACACCATTTGTATCACAAGATGGCACCTCGTGCTATTTTACGTTTCTTGCATCTGGCACTCGCTGTAGGGGCAAACGTACAAGGCGCTCACACAGAAAGTCCTCTCAGCCACCAAACAGGTCAGCGATCGTCTTGTATTTGCTCATTTCATGGTAAGTATGGGACAGTGAAAGGGTCTGATCAACATGGACAATCAGATGACGAATTCACAGATTGGGACCAGCAGCAACCGCCGAAATATATCTGACTACGACGAGGACATGCGGCGTGCCAAATAACTGGGAATCGACGCATTCGCATTGAACATCGGTGTAGACGCAGACACCACCAAGCAGCTTGAGCTGGCCTACGCATCTGCCGGACAGCAGTCGATGAAGGTCTTCATTTCGTTTGATTTCAATTGGTGGCAAACTGATCAAGCCGTCGAAATCGGTGAGATGATTGCGCGTTTCGCCCCGGCCTGCTCAACTGATCGTGGACAACAAGGTGTTTGCATCGACTTTCGCCGGAGACGGACTGGATGTGCCGGCGCTGAGAGCAGCAGCAGGAATCCCACTTTTCTTCGCTCCCAACTTTGACCCAGGCCTGGACCTGAACGTTTCCTCCGTTGACGGCCTCTTCAACTGGATGGCCTGGCCTCACAACGGAAGAAACAAAGCACCCACACCACATAACAACATTTCCGTTGGCGAGGGTGACCAGCTGTACATAAACACACTGGCAGGAAAAGCCTACATAGCGCGTGAGTATTCTGACCCGCCGAACCCTGGCCCCTTTGACGCTCCCTGCGCTGACCGTCCGAAAGCTGTGTCGCCGTGGTTTTTTACACACTTCGGACCCGGAAGTCTCCTACAGCAAGAACTGGATATTTCCTGCCGACTTGCTGTGGTACGACCGCTGGCGCGAGATCTTGGCAATGCAACCGCGCTTCGTGGAAATTGTCACATGGAATGATTATGGCGAATCCCACTACACGGGCTCGCTGCACGCCCCGCACACTGACAACGGGGCTTCGAAGTGGGTCAATGACATGTATCAGCTTCCCCCTGCGCGATCGTACCGAGTTCTAATGCTCATAGGCCCCATGACGGATGGGCAACGATGGCCAAGCCATTCATTGCGGCATTCAAGGCAGGGGCATCTTCTCCCGACGATTACATCACCTCAGACCGGCTCATCTATTGGTATCGCCCCGCGCTGCGCGCGCCAAGATTGCGACTCCACCGATACATGTATGGCGCAAGCGAACAACCGTAGTGGGGACTACTTCCTTGGGCGACCAGATGGCTGGCAATCCGTGCGGGACTCTGTGTTCGTGGTCTCTCTGTTGCGGAGCCCCGCATCGATCCAGATCGGCTCTGGAGGCAGCCTGTATCAATATGCCGCGCCAGCTGGGGCATCTTCCCATGAAGCACCCATGAGTCCCGGAGAGCAATCCTTCTCGATTTCGCGCGATGGAACGACCATTCTTGCCGGAGTTAGCTTGAAGCCCATTATTGATGGCTGTGTGTGTGGCCTATATAACTTCAATGCTTACGGTAATCCCCTGATTCCTAAGCCTGCTCCCGGGCGCTCTACCATCGGGTCTACAGTCGATAGCGAAAACAGCTTCCTCCCTAAAGACTCGTTTTCTTTCCTCGGGCCCCACTGCCAAGGCATTAGCGCGAATATTTATTTGACGGGCCTCAATTATGAATATTACTGTGCAAGGTCATGAATGGTATTAACAGCAGAGTGACCGTATCAAATTCACCTATATTTTCCAGAATTAACGTTGTTCTAACATACTCAATCAAGTATTAGAGGGTGCGTACAACTGGTGGTCTCATGCGATGTTGGAATATTAAAGGCTTATCAGTAGTAGTGTACACAATCTAGCCTCCTATTTTTTGACCTATACAGAATTTCCTCCTCACTCCTATACCTTTACCCTGATTTGATCTCACGCCGATAACTCCTTCTAATTGAAGGCATAGTACCCTGGCTTATACTGATTAGGAATAATTTTCGATCTTGCACAGATTTCCATGGAACGCGGAAGATCTGGTGCACACAAAATGAACATGACGTCATGTCCATGCCATCAAAGAGACGCCTTTCTGTGCCCGCAACTTGCTGAATTAACCTCAACAAGATAAAACAGTCTACCCCCTACCACGTGCGATTCCTTCTAGTCTAGAGCCCCAGGCGAACATCACGCAAAACATCTCGACTCGGATCATGCTCCCTGATCAGTGGGGTGAGCGACCCACAGGATTTATTCTGCAGGTTTGCACAACGGTCGTTCAGGGCCTGTTCAGCACCTGTTCACGCACTCTGCGTGCCAGTTACTCTTTCGTCGCTGCCAACACTGCCATTCCCTCCAGGTATGTTTCACAAATAGATAGGGTTCTTAAGTCTACAGGCTCCATAATCTTCGCCAATGTTAGTCCAAGACCGAATGTGCTTCTTCACCCAATCACGGGGCAAGTAACATTGCGCTAGTCTGCAAACGGTCTAAACGTAAGCATTCCATAGCGACTAACTTAGGTCCTGGCGGATGTGATTGTTTATTTGTGTATATCCGTGGAAGTGGGTCCACAAAGCTCAGCCTTGAGGCAGTGTCCGGCCCGACACGCTCCGCTGTGGATAACACGTACCCCCCTCCCCCGCCCGCCGCTGCGTGTTTGTCGCGGGGCTAAGCGTTTCCCTAACTCGCAACTTTTTGTTGCTCTCTTCCCTCCAAGACCTTTGTTTCCTCTCCAAAATCTTCTCTTACCTCTACGCCCATGGTGCTGCCTCCACGGATCAATAATGTCTGACCCTAAGCAATACACCGTGGGGTGGATTTGCGCCATCAGTACGGAGTACACGGCGGCAAAGGCTTTTCTGGATGAGACGCACCTAATGCCGGAACCTCTCTCTCCGGCGGACAACAATGCCTATACAGTAGGCATGATCGGCAAGCATAAGGCCGTCATTGCAGTCTTACCTGACGGTGAGTACGGTACCGCATCTGCAGCAAGCGTGGCACGAGACATGCTGCATAGCTTTCCAAACATCAAAATTGGCCTGATGGTCGGCATCGGTGGCGGCGCACCAAGCCCCAAGCATGATATTCGCCTGGGCGATATTGTGGTCAGCGCATCTCGAGATGGACGGGGTAGTGTTTTCCAGTACGACTTTGGCAAAGCGATACAGCATCAAAGTTTCCAACAAACAGGAGTCCTAAACCAGCCGCCAACATCCTTACGAACGGCGCTCAGTGCACTGAAGAGTGATTATGAGAGCGACGGGCATCGGCTTGAAGAATCTATCAACAGTATTCTAGAACAGAAGCCAAGACTACGGAAGAAGTACAGGCGGCCGGAAGCAAGCAGTGATAAGCTATATCGAAGCGAGTTTGTTCATCCTGTCGACGAAGCAAGCTGTGCAGTGACATGCGGCGATGCTCGGTCTCACTTGGTATCGCGACAAGAACGGACAGACGACGAGGATAACCCTGCCATTCACTATGGCTTGATTGCATCCTCAAACCAGCTGATGAAAGATGCCTTGATTCGGGATAGGCTTGTTGTTGAAAAGGATGTTCTTTGCTTTGAGATGGAAGCGGCGGGGCTCATGAACCATTTCCCCTGCCTCGTGATTCGCGGCATATGCGACTATGCCGACTCCCATAAAAATAAAGAGTGGCAAGGGTATGCAGCGATGGTGGCAGCTGCATATGCGAAGGACCTTCTGCAGAGAATTTCTCTGAACAGAATTGACGCCGAGGAGAAAATTAGTGTCATTCTATCTGGTTTGTCAAGGTAGTCTTATCATTATCGCTCGAATACATAATAACCAGCAAAATGATACAGATGTGCTGAAAAGTACCAACCAAAATGCAGAGCGGGCGTACGACCAACGAGAGCGACATCAAGATGAGCAGAAAATAAGAGCTTTAACGGAGCAACAACAACGCTGTCATCAAGTTTTCAAGAAATCAAACTACGAGGAACAAAAAAACGTGAATCCATGCCGAGCGGAAGGAACTTGCCATTGGGCGTTACAGAGTTCCGAATACCTTCGTTGGTTAACTAGCAGCCACAATGACCTTTTATGGGTCTCCGCCGATCCAGGCTGCGGGAAATCTGTCCTGGCCAGATCAATTATAGATGATCAGTTGCTAGCTTCAAGTCCAGCAGTGACTATTTGTTACTTTTTTTCAAAGACAATGAAGAGCAAAACCGACTTGATGAAGCTTTATGTTCCATACTGCATCAGCTCTTTGATCAGCAGCCCCACCTATTACCTTACGCCATAACCTCATGGGAAAGGAATGGAGAGGCGCTCCGAAATGAGGCTGATGAGCTGTGGCGAATCTTCATAGCGGCAACATCATCTAATGCTTCGTCCCAGACGATCTGCATTTTGGATGCACTTGATGAATGCCGTGATGTTGATCAGGATCGATTGATTCAGAAGCTCCAGCTCTTCCACCGCCAGAAATTTGCACCGACCAAAGAGACCTCTTTGAAGTTTCTAATCACTAGTCGTCCCTATGACCGTATCCAGAATGGCTTCCAACCGACCACGGACTCTTTTCCACATCTGCACCTGAAGGGCGAAGAAGAAAATGATCAGATCCACAGGGAAATAGATCTGGTGGTGAAGATGCGAGTAAGAGAGCTGGCCGACACAGCACCGCTATCATGGGATATACAGCAGCGGCTGGAGGCGAAATTGTTAGGAATGGAACACCGCACATATCTTTGGCTATATTTGGCCATTGACGACATTCGATCTACCTTTGAGAATAGCCTTTGTCCCGCCGAGGAATCAGTTCAAATGATACCTTCGTCGGTCGGCCAGGCATATGAGAAGATTCTTAGTCGAGTGCCTCCTGGCCAGGAGAGCATCGTGAAAAAGGTCTTGCAGATCATTGTTGGAGCACGGCGGCCTTTGACGATAGCAGAAATGGCTACCGCGTTGGGCTTGGCTCGATCCCCACAATCGCGGCCGGCAGCACTGGCTGTAGTTGATCCACTGCGGCTGGAGACGAAGCTCCGTCGTTTATGCGGCCTTTTTGTTTTCGTCAAGAACTCCAAGATCTATCTGATTCACCAGACAGCAAGGGAATTTCTCATTGAAAAGGCAAATTCGAACGATCTGAATTTTTCATACGCATGCGGCCTCAATGACACTGAGAACCAAATGGCTGTTTTGTGCGTGCAGTATCTATTAGCAGAAGATGCTGAAGATTTCACCGGCGCATCGCGGGCTTCTGAGAGCCTTTTGGGATATGCAGCTATACATTGGCCCGATCACGTGAGACACATGACATTGAGTTCAGACCAGGAGATGATTGATCGAGTACGTCGATTGTATGACACATGTGAAGAGCAATTTTCTCCATGGCTGTCCCTCTTCTGGCAAGCAGTGATGCCAAACCGGAGAGCGCCTCGAATGAATGCACTGCAGCTGGCAGCATTCAATGGCCATACGCAACAGGTTAGCTTGCTACTTGCGACAGATAAGTTGGATATTGATACACCGGATACTACTAATACATATCCGCTTACATGGGCTTCACTGCATGGTTCCGATGAAATTGTGAAGATGCTGCTAGAGCAAGGAGCCGATGTCAACGCCCAGGGTAGAGACTACGGAAATGCCCTCTACGCGGCTTGTTCCGGAGGACACGACAAGATCGCACAGATGCTGCTAGAGCAAGGAGCCGATATCAACGCCCAGGGTAGATATTTCGGAAATGCCCTCTACGCGGCTTGTTTCGGAGGATACGATAAGATCGCACAGATACTGCTAGAGCAAGGAGCCGATGTCAACGCCCAGGGAGGTATTTACGGAAATGCCCTCCAGGCTGCTTGTGACGGAGGACATGATAAGATCACACAGATACTGCTAGAGCGAGGAGCCGATATCAACGCCCAGGGTGGACACCACGGAAATGCCCTCCAGGGTGCTTGTCTTAGAGGACACAATAAGATCGCGTATATACTGCTAGAGCGAGGAGCTGATGTCAACGCCCAGGGCGGAGAGCTCGGAAATGCCCTCCAGGCTGCTTGTTCTGGAGGACACGATAAGATCGCACAGATGCTGCTAGAGCGAGGAGCCGATATCAACGCCCAAGGTGGTGACTACGGAAATGCCCTCCAGGCTGCTTGTTCTGGAGGACACGATAAGATTGTACAGATACTGCTAGAGCGAGGAGCCGATGTCAACGCTCAGGGTATAGACTACGGAAATGCCCTCTACGCGGCTTGTTCCGGAGGACACCACACGATCGCACAGATGCTGCTAGAGCGAGGAGCCAATATCAACGCCCAAGGTGGAGGGTACGGAAATGCCCTCCATGCTGCTTGTTCCGGAGGACACAATAAGATCGCACAGATGCTGCTAGAGCAAGGAGCCGATGTCAACGCCCAAGGTGGAGACTACGGAAATGCCCTCCAGGGTGCTTGTCTTAGAGGACACGACAAGATCGCACAGATACTGCTAGAGCGAGGAGCCAATATCAACGCCCAAGGTGGAGGGTACGGAAATGCCCTCCATGCTGCTTGTTCCGGAGGACACAATAAGATCGCACAGATGCTGCTAGAGCAAGGAGCCGATGTCAACGCCCAAGGTGGAGACTACGGAAATGCCCTCCAGGGTGCTTGTCTTAGAGGACACGACAAGATCGCACAGATGCTGCTAGAGCGAGGAGCCAATATCAACGCCCAAGGTGGAGGGTACGGAAATGCCCTCCATGCTGCTTGTTCCGGAGGACACAATAAGATCGCACAGATGCTGCTAGAGCAAGGAGCCGATGTCAACGCCCAAGGTGGAGACTACGGAAATGCCCTCCAGGCTGCTTATTCCGGAGGACACGATAAGATCGTACGGACACTGCTAGAGCAAGGAGCCAATATCAACGCCCGGGGTAGAGACTACGGAAATGCTCTCCAGGCTACTTATTCCGGAGGACACGATAAGATCGCACAGATGCTGCTAGAGCAAGGAGCCGATATCAACGCCCAGGGTGGATACTACGGAAATGCCCTCCAGGCTGCTTGTTCTGGAGGACACGATAAGATTGTACAGATACTGCTAGAGCGAGGAGCCGATGTCAACGCCCAGGGTAGAGACTACAGAAATGCCCTCCAGGCTGCTTATTCCGGAGGATACGATAAGATCGCACAGATGCTACTAGAGCAAGGAGCCGATATCAACGCCCAGGGTGGATACTACGGAAATGCCCTCCAGGCTGCTTGTTCCGGAGGACACGACAAGATCGCACAGATGCTGCTAGAGCAAGGAGCCAATATCAACGCCCAGGGTGGACACCACGGAAATGCCCTCCAGGGTGCTTGTTCCGGAGGACACGACAAGATCGCACAGATACTGCTAGAGCGAGGAGCCGATATCAACGCCCAGGGTGGACACCACGGAAATGCCCTCCAGGGTGCTTGTTCCGGAGGACACGACAAGATAGCACAGATGCTGCTAGAGCAAGGAGCCGATATCAACGCCCAAGGTGGAGACTACGGAAATGCCCTCCAGGGTGCTTGTCTTAGAGGACACGACAAGATCGCACAGATACTGCTAGAGCGAGGAGCCGATATAAACGCCCAGGGTGGAGGGTACGGAAATGCCCTCCATGCTGCTTGTTCTGGAGGACACCACAAGATCGCACACATGCTGCTAGAGCGAGGAGCCGATATCAATGCCCAGGGTGGAGACCACGGAAATGCCCTCCAAGCAGCTCATCGGGGAGGTTATCACCACATAGTGAAACTTCTCCAGGAACATCAATATGCTGATCAGTCGACCTCCCAATCTTCCCCTTCCAAAAGGCTGAAGGTTTCATCATGATCGTACATTACCATGTTCAACTCAAACTTCTTAATACCTCCTATCGTCGTTTTCGTTCTCTCCCTAGGTAGTTGTCCTCTAGTCCTTACTCTCAGTACTGAAACAATTTGTCTATGATCCATAATCCTTGATCCAGCCATTTCAAAAAATAATGAAATGGGAAGCACAGAACCCAAATGAACCTGCTTGGCTTTTTCAGTCAATCTAATGTGACTTACTCAACTAAAGAGATTTTCTCTCATTACCTGGGCCGGCTGTCTGTTACCCTATCCTACTTACCTTTTGGGTCCATGTGACACGCATCAAATCAGGCGGTCTTGTAGGATTCTTAGATAAACATGAAGCTTTCTGAATTGTTATTGTTGGCGATCACGTGACTTGCATGTGAAGATGCACGCGATCACACTTCCCAGGACTTCATTAGTATTACTGTAGCTAGCATTCTCTCTCTTCCTTTTTCTCTCCAGAGTCAATATTATTACCTTCTGGGTTAACATCTTTCCTGCGTAGCCTTCATATTCGCCGACAGTTATACATACCCCTTGGTTCTGGCAATTGATGGATGTTTTATAAGCAATATGATAAGCAAACAAAACATATCAAACAGAACAAACATGATTCTCAGCCTCATTTCTGACATCATGTCATGTGATAGGTACCAAAGGCAATTTGCTATACTGACAGCACAGTGTATCAGTGTTTTCCGATATTGTCATATTCAGCAACACATGATAAACAGTTGACTAAAAATTGCGCACTAATGTCTCGAAAGTGGGGCCACAAAATAGAAAAGCAGTTCTTGGGGCGGAAGCTGATTTCGCTATCGACTGTACATCAGTTTGGTCAAAACAGAGAATGAGATCTTGCTAGGTGCGGTGATTCACAGATACCACGATAGCTGTGTCATCTAGTTCAACCCTCCTTTGCGGAAATTTCTTGCCCACAAGTTCCTTCAACTTTGGCTGCAGGAACAGACGCCAATAGAACCGAGGAGCCAAAACCAGGTCTTGCTCTGTATTCTTTCTGACAACCTTGTTGTTGAGAGTCACTTTCCACACAATCCAGTAGTGCAGATAAGTAGGTGGAGATTCGTCATACGACTTTCCCTCCTCCCACTCGGATAGTTGAAGTAGTGGTATCTGACTCGGCTCCGACTGCCTATCTGGCAAGGCAGGTGATTCATCACCCAAAACGTTGTTATAATCGATAGAGCCAATAACGGATGGTGTTCTGGGTATATGGTATCCTGGGGTTGGTGCGAATAGCGAGGATTGGTCCGTTTGATCAAAGGTGTCAAATCGTAGGTCGTTTTGAGTATCATAAAGACTGCAGGCCATGCTTCCGGAACTAATGTGTAGCTTCGTCAGAAATCTTCATTGAGAGATACCGCGGAGCCTGGATTCTTGAAAGTATCATTTCTGCGAAGCGTACCTGGAGAGAGCGGTGGTGTTGAGCACGACAAAGAAACAAGGGACTTGCGTTGTGAGTTGACAGGTAGTGGGAGACCATTGTGCCAACATCAGACATTGTTGCCGCGGGCCCACTCACTCACCCCAATGCTCAGTGAGCATGATCGTGTCGAAGTGTTTTGCTGGTTGTAGACCCGGGGGCATTGGGGTATACGGAATTGCACGTGACAGGGCCAGGCTTGGTTGGGTCTCGGCTGCCAATCAGTAAGTTGCGGTGTCAGGGGTCGTCTCCTTCACCAGGTACATGCATCATGTTTGTTTTGTTTGCACTATGATCTTCAAGGCTCCATGGTATTCCATTCAAGATCGACAATGATTCCCAATTAGGATAGGGCAGAGTACCTTAATCTTGAGGGCATCCCTAATTTATCGGTTTAACTGGTTTAAACATCAAGTCAGGTGTCAATTTACCATTTTGGAAAATATAATGCGGGAGAAAAATGCTCAGCACTTTGTAGGCTGAACTGTGCACAGTACTAGTCTATCATGATCAATAGAATATGATGATTTCTCAATAGTGCCACTTGGATGGTTTGACGTATGCATTTTATTTAGTAATCATTGTGAACTGTACGATATCTTGAGTAAAATCACAACTGTAACGATACCGTAAATACTATACAGTACTTGAAGCTGTTGGCAGTATATTGGGGCCTGTCAAATAATTTCCTACACTAACGCCTTGGCAGCGGGGCTCGAAAATAAAAAAGCTATGCTTGGGGCGGAAGCTGATTTCGCTAATGACTGTAACTCTTGCGGTGTAGTTGGAACCCTTCCGCTATCGACCCTAGACACGCTACAAGCAGATGGCTTGGCGTCCTTCTCTCAGGGACTCCAAGTGCAAACTTGCAAGCCAACGCCATCTCTCGTGGCCCTTGAACAGACAAACAGCGCAAGCCTTGCTCCGCCTGTATAGGCGGATCTCGATGGAACTTCTTCAAGAAGTGGCAGATAAAGATCTTCAACATAGTTCCTGTTCTCGGGGATGGCTAGTGTCATGAAAATTGCGATTACAATGGTGAATCTACGGAAACTTACCAATAAGGCTTTCGCTTCAACAAGACCTAGTCTGCGCGGAGTTGCCTTTAGCACTTTCCCTTTGTGTATTTGGATGATCCTTTACAGAAACGATTTCCTCACAAAGAGTCAAGAATCCTGAGCAAGGAATCCCTGTTGTTTTGTGCAAAGCCGCTTCTTGCAACCGTTTGCGTGTCCAGCTCAAGAAATTCTATACTCCACACACCGTTCTACTTAATACTAGAGATGATCATTTCTAAACTGCATTCCGTTGTAGTCTGCTTCTACGACAACAATATTGAGGACAGGCGGATCTACGGAGAAGCACGAATCGCTTCAAAACAGTAGATTTTGGCTGTGAAGCAAAAGGACCGACTGGGGAAAAGAAGGAAGAGAGAGAGAGGGAGAGAGAGGGAGAGAGAGCTATCTAAGCAAGGGGGGTCATCTGACCTCCCAACAAATATCAACCGTGGTAATTACTCTCCGTCCTCAACTTGGATTATGGAACTTAGTCAAGCACACTGCGCTTCCATATAGTCAACATTGCTGGACAAAGTGCTTTTTACATGGCATAGTTCCAAGCTTCCTTCAACCTAGAAAAAAACAACGAAGCAGATGTGGGGTCCTTTGTCGGTTGTCCAGAACAACCGACAGGTCTTGTATACAACATCGTAGGGATTGCAAGGTCAATAAAATCCCGTATACCTTTCAGGTCTGCAGACCGTTGGGAAAATGATCAAAAAAGAGCTGAATTTTTGGAGCATCACTGCAACAGGTCGAATGAATTATCCCATTAGACGGGTGGCTTTCTTATGGTAATGATAGTCTTCCTTCCTATAGATACCTAGGTAGTAGTCTGGACACTATAATTGCAATATTGACATTGGGCCTTTTATGCCAAATCCAGACTAGGAAATTCTGGGCGTAGAAGAGGATCTTGGAGCATCAATCCAATGATCCGATCCAAAGAGGAACTCAACGACCAAAAGAACTCATGTCTTATCGACGAGTTCGAGGTCTAAGGTTGTATTTGTGCAAATTGGTGGATGGGGAGCCTGTATCTATGTTCCTGGTGACTACCCTCTCGATTACTTTTTTGATTTTCTTGGCCGGCGATTTTGCGTTGGCTTTCCTGGTCGGCGATTCCCCATTGATTTTCTTGGCCGGAGATTTTGCATTGATTGGATCATGTCTGAGATGTTCAAAGACCAATACATCTTCTTGTTGGAAAAACCGGGAGATCTGGATGGCTCCGGCCTTCCCACAATTGAGTTCAACGATTTGTAAATGCCTGTTGAAGAATCGCCCATGCTTGCCACGAAAATACTTTTTAAACCACGCCTTAACCGTCTTTCGAGTTTGACGATGGACCTTTATCACGCTAACGCCACTAAGCTCCACGATGAGAATAAAGCCCCTAGGTTGCCGGGGCTTTAGTGCAAACTGAAGCGATTTGGGGAAGTCCAAACCCAGACAGATACGTTTGTTGGGAACTTCGTTGAACCCGGGATTAACATTATCCTCCTGTCTTTGAGATTGAAGATCATCCTTATTGTGGGGTTTGTGGCCATCGGTCAAGCTGATTTCATGTTGGCTATGGCCGATCATCTCCACCTGGGCCGCTCTTGTGTTTTCCGACTTCTCTTCTCCGCAATGTAACACTGCCTTTGGTGACCTGACATCCACCTCGTTGTTACAAGAGTGAGGATGATCAGGTGTATCGCGTCTTCGCTTTCTGTGTTTTCCGTCTGATTCGGGAAATAAATTGCGAGCCCCGATTTCTGTCATTTTTGATAGACTTTCAAAATGGGTCTTTAGAGTCCCTTGACCCGGTAGAGAGATGCCTGAACCACAAGGTAGAGGGTTAGGCCTCGTTGGTAGAATATCAACTATGCTACTGGGATATGTGAACGCAGTGTAAATAGGATCGGCCGGTGACACCTTGGTTTGGAACGTCATGTTGTCTTGTATATCAGGACCCATTTCCCCTGGGGTGGGAACCGGTTCTTGCACTGCCCGATCTAGATGCACATCTTGAGGAGGCCTCTGGGTGAAGGAGCTTGGTGCTGTGACTGATGCTGGGATTGTCGCTAGCGAGTGGCTGAGAGTAGTGGATTGGGGACAATCTGTAGTCTGCTTCTTGTTCATTACACCTTGATTCCGGGAATCACGTACTTTGCTAGAAACACGACCAAACATTGGGCTGAACTTTGGCCAGTCTTTTATGATCGGTCGAGTCGGAGGCGGACTTGTTGGCATTGTAGCCGGTGCTGCTCTAGCGCGCTGCATCGGGGGTTCTGTAGGAGTGGACTCGAAGGTAGCCGGTTTGTTCGCAAAATCCAGGCAGATAGGAGGTATATTTTCTGAACGAGCGTGGTTGCGAGAGGGTCTTGTGCGTGGCACAGAGCAGCAGCTTTGCATTTGTGAGGTCTCAGGCGGCTCAGGTTGATCACGGCCTTGCTGCGGAAGCGGCCCCGACTTCGTGTGCGTATCCCTGTCTGTTGCTGATCCATGTACAAATGCAAATGCCTCTTGAGTGGCCGCGATCGATCTCGGTCCGTCTACTTGTCCGTTATGTTGTCCCATAGGTAATGGGTGCTGGCGTAGCATACCCCAGCCAGATGCTGCGTCTAGCCGCTCTTTCACGGGGGATTCTATGCAGGCGCGTTTGACAACCAAGTTTTTGACTTCGAGCCTTTCCCCCTTTCTTTTTCGATGTAATCCTTCCCCAATACCACTCCTCTCGGGACTCGGCTCTACTGTAGCCAGCATTGGAAGATAGGACGCTCCGAATCCAGCGACCCTGCCATTGTTAGGACTCGCTTGATTGCTTGCAGAGGTCACGTTAGGTCCTCCCCATCCCTGATATTGAGGTTGTACCATGAGAGCGGATAATGCAGATTCCACGGGCCGCTCGTAAATTGGGTCCGGGGGAATAATGGTGGGTACGTGGAAGACAAGTCCCTCCATGGAGTCCTCTCCCTCTCCCTGTGTTTCACTCGCATTCTCCACCGTTGGGGGTTGCCAGTTGGACCTGCTCGCTGCGTCGTTCTCATTCGGGGAGGGTATGTATTGTGGGTGCCCATCCATAGACGGCATTACTTGTTCTGCAGCGATCCTGTCATCCCTGGAACTCGCTTGATTGCTTGCAGGGGTCATGTCATCTCCTCGCGACCCCCGATACTGGGGTTGTAACATGAGAGGGGATAATGCAGATCCCACGGGCCGCTCATCAGGTGGGTCTGGGGAAACACAGTTGGGTACGTGGAAGACAAGTCCCTCCATGGAGTCTTCTCCCTCTCGCTGTGTTCCACTCACATCCTCCACCGTTGGGGGCTGCCAGTTGGACCAGCTGGCGGCTTTGCCCTCGTTCGGGGAGGATTGGTGCCGAGTCACCTTATGGAAAGGCCGGACTGCTTCGTGTCTAGAATGTGGGGATGTGGACAAACTACGGCAGGTCTGGGTCGTGGCGGTGGAATCATGATTGTCGACGTCGCCTTGACTGACTGGCAAGATACCCGCGCGATCCTCCCGACTCGGCGTTGAGGAGGGGCTTTCTATGCCAGGCGAGGTTGGGGTCGTCTGTAGGTAAAACGGAATGGTCTGCTCGTAGCCCTCCGATGGTGTCTGCTCCTGTCTTGTGTCGTCGAGTTCCATGTGGGCAGACGGAAACGCCACTGGCGGTGTCGATGTCTTATCAGCGTGCGACGAAGTCAAACTATCAATGTCCACCAACATTCTATCGGGTGTTCTGGGTTCATCTTGGCACGAAGACACCGACCCTTTGTATCGATTATCTTGCCAGGAGAGAGCAACGTGAGTTTCAAGCGGTCGATCATGGGAGAATAAGGTGTGACTTACCTTCATTGCGACTTTGAAGCAAGCAACTGCCCGAGTTGGTGGCAGCGTGGTCCTCGCCCAGCGCACTGAAAGGGATGGAGTCGGCCGAAGGGATGCTCTGCGCCGTACTAACTCTCGTTGGAGAACCCGCATTGCTTAATACCTCATTTTGCAGGGGACTCCCTTCATCACTAAAGCTGGTCGCGTCAAACATGCTCATACAATCATTGTAATGTCGGACGTCCCCCAGAGAGGAGCCTTGAGGGCCATCCTGGCTCTTGTCAAGGCGACCATCGTCCAGAGGATCAGAGTATGTGGTATCAACATACCCGCTCGGCACTCCGGGTTGGACTGGTTCCAGCACTATCCCCGAGGGTATGGGCCTTTCGCTGTGAGAAAATGGTCGCCGGTATTGATCCGTCTCAACCGGTTGACACCACGCAGGTTCAATGTACCCGGGCGGGTCATGGCCCTGGGAACCGTCCTGCCTCCCCCGTTCCATTTCCACCGAATTGAGTCCGCTTCCCGCTGGGGGACTTGCGGTCTTTCTCGTGTCCTCATCCGGCATCAGTTGGCTATCTACAAAAACACTCTCTGATGGGTCGGCCCGTACAGGCAATGTCTCCGCAAAATTCCCTCCAGTGGCGTTCGCTCCGAGTTTATGCCAATTTCTGTGTTGCGAGGCTTTGAGTCCCTTGCCTTGGCCTGGTAGTAAGTTCACATTACCCTGTGGTTTGATGAGTTTCTTGGAGGGATGCTGCGAGTAGTCCAGATCTAGCCACTCCAAAGCATCACCGACGTGTTTAGTCGGATACGACGACCTTGTGAGGGTTTCATGAGACGGCTCCAAATCCCATCTTCTATCCGGCGTAGGGTCCACAGAGTAACCGTCACTCCAAATCGAAGGAGCCATCCCCGCTGACGCTGCGATCCGTAAATCGGGCGTCACCAGACTAGGCGGGTACGATACAGTGCTTGAAACATTCTGTTTGCTGGCGCGACGGGCATTCATCTCTTGATCCCTCACCTCCGGGCCAGCGGTCGCAGGTCCTGGACTCGAGGAAATTCCAATACCAACGTCAGGTTCAACTGGACTGCTCCCATCCGGAGTTTGTCTCCCCCGTCGAACGGCTTGGGTGATCGATTGTCTCCGGATGCTGTCCCTCGGCGAATGTACAATTTAGATGTGACCGGCCAACCTGTGCAGTCGACTGGAGAACTTTAGAGGTATTCGAACTCAGTCCCGCCGGTTGGTGCTGATCCGGCTCAGGCCTGTAAGAACCACTTTTGGTTGATAAAAATGGCTCTTGTATATCATGCTCCCTTGGTGGTGGTATGCCTTGATTCCCCCGTTGGAGACTATCCATCTCGTCGGCTTCAAACATCCCTATAGGGCTGCCATGGTCGCTTGTCTCACCTAAGGTTTGCCCTCCCAGAGGTCCTTCAGACTTTCTCGTCGCGGTGTGATCTTCCCGTCGAACAGGTATCACATTCTCAATAGCTGATTCGTATTCACTTTCTCCTTCACTGTCTAATGGATACTCTAGGGGTGACGAAGCTCTGTTGTCAGGTTCAGGTACGGTTTCAATCTCCATTGTCTCGTCAGCAGCGGATTCGTATTCACAGCTATCTCTGCTACGAACCCTTTCCTGAGGGGCTGGCAAACGCTCACTGTCGGTATGAATAACTGTCTGAGACTGGGAACAGGAAGTTTCGTGTAGACTTGGGATCTCAGCATACGGTGAGGGCGAGAATGGATGCGCGAAAAATGCACGGTAGATACATGCTAGTTCTACCAGCGGGGTAACATTTTCGAGCTTCAGATGCTTCTGTGCTGCGCGAGTCCCGAAGTTCTCTGCAAAGTCAAAGTACATGTATTTCCTTGCCTTTCTTGACTTCTCAAGCCACGTGGTGGCCTTTGGCCCGAGACGCTCCTTCCGTTCAACCGGGATATCATTTCTCCATGGGGAGCTCTCGAGGCCCACAGTTGTTTCCCGAGCAGGCACCTCGTACCGCATAGCAAGCTCGTCTATTCGGGGTGAGTAGAAACCTAGCTGCTTTGCCACATAAGCCAGGTGGTTTGGATCTATATCTCTCGGGTCGTCATGCCGCATCACGAAAAGCCAGAGCTGACGGCAACTCAGTTCTCGACGATCTTGAAAAGGTGCATCGATTGTCCTCCAGCCGTTGAGCGTTTGAATGCGGTACCTATCACAGGCGTTTCTTTCGGTGGTGTACAGCACTCTGAGCACGCTCTCGAGCGGCGTTGCACAACCCCGCCTGCGTTTCCCGGTCTTGATATCAAGCAAGTCTTTCATACAAACTGAGATGCCTTCTAGGACCCGCATGTGCACTGTAAACAGTTTCATTGACGGAACTAGACCGCTCTTCCTTTGGATAGAACGCCTAAGGGCATTTCTGTGCTTGCTGCTCAATCTGCAGAAAGGCCCCGCCCTCGCAAACACCTCGCGGACTTGCATGCGATCATCTTCTGAAACCACAGGGATACAACCCTGTAGTCTTTCGAATACTTCTGATGGGAAGTCTTCGGGTTTCATCTCGTTGAGGCCATCCACTCGAGATTGGCTTTCGCTGACGACATCATTCCAAAAGCCCAGGATGTAGCCTATCAGATACTTTTCGATTGACTTGGTCACCGTTAGAACTCATACGATTGGCTTGCTTGCACGACACTCACATACAATTTCGCAGAGTGTTGCATGGTAAGCCTTTCCATTACCAGAAGGGTAATCATACATTATGGTCGGTAGATCCCTCCTCACTCTGTTGACTGCGTCATTTAATCGATTGCAGTTCTGTATCGTCGTGAGACCATCCTGTATACCAGGCCCCAGTGTAGATTTGAGTAATTTATTGAGCGGTCGACCCTCCCAGTTCTCCGAATCGAGAATCTTCGAGTAGATTTGACCACCGCTCGGTGTGATGTGCAGAGGGATCTTGTTTTGGATGTGGCTTTTCTGAGAATTGGTGATATCTTGCGTGGCTCCTTATCAGTATCTTTCTTCCTTGTAGTCTATGCTTTGCCCGTACTCACTGTTGAGAACGATGTGTACAGGGCCGAATCCACTGGTGCCTGGCCCAAGGATTGAGCTCAAGGCGGCTCTAATGCGTGACTGACCATCCAGACATAGCAGTTGGCGTTTCTGAAATGTAAGCGACGGCGCACGTCCCTCATCACTGGAAGTGCTGTTTCTTCTCCTTGCATCTTCGAGTTCCTCCTGCGAGACTGCGACGATTGGCGCGTTATCCCACTTGTCGATACAGCTTGGGTCGCTTTTGAAAATCCTCTTCCACCTATCTACGTCCCTTTCAAGGCAGAACTTCTGTTTCGCGGAATCGATCTGAATGCGGTCATATTTGACGAGGGCGCGCCCCTGGTATTCTTTCCAAGCGGCAATCTCGAGACCCATGCTACCCACCTTGGTGGTATCCGATGCGGGATGGTGTCATTATATCTACTCCGCCTAGGGGTTGGTCGCAATTGGATAAGCAGTTCATTTTTGGACCTCATACTTCCGGGGTCCTCAACCCGCTCTTGTAGTAACATAACGCTCAGAACTGCTCGTCAATCCTACGGTTGCCCTCGCTCGTCACATGTACCAGGCAAGCACTCGTGTTCCCTACATGTGATATCACTATTGGAAATCGACAGCGCGAGAGGCATCAGAGCATAGTCATGCAACATACAACCGGGTTGGCTACAAATACGCCGCGTCAATCTTCACCGATCCTGCCATTCTATGCAAGCTGATTCAAAAAACCCGTCCATGTTCGACCCGTCCCAAAGCCGGTCCCACGCACCATCGGCCCCAGTCAAATATCTCTGCATGTTACCTAGTCCAGATTTCATAAATTCGACAACGTTCCTGCCTGCGTACTATTAGGATATGGTTGTGACAGGATCGTGAATGGAAAGACTATACCGGGTAAATGTCCCTGTCGCCGGCTTTGGGCCTGTCTATCGCCAGAGTGTCGTAAGAGTAGCGATTTTAACGTGGTCCAAATTTGGAGCATATCTTCTGTTTCGGCGGCTCGGATGTCCCGGTACTTCACCACGTCATCTAATTCAGCCAAAGACCTCCTCAAGCGGTAGAAGTTCAGGTTGTAAAGAAACGCCTGGGGTGAACTGAAAGGATATTATCTGCTTACCTGGAACCACAGGATCTGATTCTTCTTGCTCTTTGCCTTCCCCTGGCGTGCTCTGCCTGGCTCATGGTCGGGAGTTGGGCCGCAGGCATTCAAAAAAGTCCCACAGACGGCCGAACCCACGGTGGATGTTTTGGCTGGACTGGTCCTCTAATCTCAGTCCACGAAGTCGCCCTCGATCAAACTCTAGCCTATGGGGGGATTCAACAATAAAGTTTCTTAACCAAACGCATGAAAGAATTGGATATCTCACATCGGCGACCATTAGGTCCGGATGGAGCTGGGTAGTCAGCAGGTGTCGTACCCGATGTAGCCTATCGCCGCTCAGGGGCTGGATTTGGCCCATTAGGTCAAACCCGAAGAAGGTTGCCAAGAGAGTGTCCCCGTACCGCTGCTCAGGTTCGAACGGGCTCTGTGGATAGCAGACCCGGGGATTTTCAACCGCACGACTCTGGTCAATACATGAGGCTTTCCTTGCCGGGGACTGGAGCAGTGACCCCTGGTCTGGATCCACGTACTTTGGAGCCCTTCGATTTTTGAACAGAGGAGACAGACTCCGGCCCTCATTAGCAGACCTCGGTTGAGATTGCCATTTGATATACGTGGGGGAGACATTTCCGTTGAAGGATCAACGTGGGACGCACCACGACGCACCTTCTGCTTCATCTGCAATCTACGCTCAGGCTTCACACTTTCCACTCTGTCTGGCAAGCAGACAGGGAGTTGTCCTTGTTCAGCTGTCAAGCCAACTATCAAGCAACTGAGATCTGTGCCGCCGGTAGGAAAGGGTGAGAGACGCAGAGCTCTGGGCTCTTCATCGCCACTTTTCTCGTTTTCTGGTCCCGATGGGGGCTGATGTTGCATGCTACTGTCGGATGGCTCTAGCGGTAGTGGTTTGTTTTTAGGGTCAAGGTTAGGGTCTAGTTCTATGGCGTGGTCGGCCCGCACCGGGCATAGAGAATCCATATCAGATCCTCCGGTTCTGTCCCACAGCGACGATGAGTGTTGCGGGAGGAAATTCACCGGAGGCGTCTCCAGGGCTCTGGGGGTCCGGGGCACATTGTCCTTGAGATTGAGAGGCACTGGAGGAAGCGGCTTCCAGGCATATGTATCGAGCGTTGTCTGCCAGTCTCCGGAGTCCACTACGGCCCCTCCTTCGTCGGCTACTTGGTGCATACAGACTTCTGAATCACCAGACTCCCACACATCAACTGATCGCAGTAATGGTCCAAATTGCGTAGACAGGTCTACGACATCCATAGATTGGGCTCTGCGACCTTCCCGCGGGGCTCATCGGTGGTCTCTCTACATCAGCACAATGGCCCTCTTTTACTATGCAGTCGGGTGGGTCCAAATACAGGAGGATGTATTTATAGCACGGCCCTGGAGCATTTCTTGGAATGACGCGGCGGGTCTGCTTTAGGTGAAATGGGATTGCCTCCACATGTGCTTTCGGAACAATATATAGTAAGGGTCACGGATTTGTTCGCCTTCATTATCTGCAACGTATGGCCCGCTCTGGGTGGATGAGAGCTATTACCAAGTCTGGTCAGAATGCAGGTACCAACGAAGGGCTTGGGCATCCTACGGACATGATGCACGCCGAACTGACCGCACGTGAGCCTTGCCATTTCTGTCCTCGTCCAAAAGTAAAACCGTCGGACGAAAACAAAGTCTAGTTGTTGCTGATCCCTCGTTCTTTTCCATACAGTCCGGGAGACCAAATCGTGTCCAAATTCTATATTTAAGTTTTTGAGACTGGCTCATGACCGCTTTTTCAGCACCCTCATATCTTTGGCTTGTTCAGTAGCATAGAGATCCAAGCTTGCTTGCTCTTCAATCAGCGACCATCTGCCGTTCCTCGTTCATATTGAGACGGAGAACCTCGGAAGTAGATCTTGGACCAAATTATACTTGCTATGCAGTTCATAATAGTGTACTGAAAGTTCCTAGAGATTGTTCGCCAGGAGAGAATCATTCCTATCGCAGCTTCCAGCAGGCAAGGATAAATTGGCAGTCTCTCCCGGGAATTCATACTGTAATCCTTCGCGTCGTACGAACATAATCTCAACTCACTCAATGTCGGGTCTGTTTTATATGAACACTCTCCACTCCATTGCTGCTATTCTATGGATCATTCGCGATGCAGAGACGTCTCTCTGTCTCAAAGTGGCCTATCTGACTCTCGTAATGTTTATGTTTCTGATTCCGTAACTATTTCGTATAAGCAGCGCCCCGACATTAGACCAGTCGGCAGACTTCCATACTATTAGTCTCTGATTATGAGAGCATATGCGATGTTTTCGTTCCCCTGCGATATTTTCAATTGTTTGAAATCTACTTTTTTGAGAGAATTAGAAATTCATGCTCGCCGGATCGAGCAAAGGAGGGTATATCAACGGGAGACCTCAAGCGTATCCTTCGAGGGGAGGGACTGGCGCGGGGCCTATATTGCCATTCGCCGCACCTTGATGGCTTTCCGGATGCTCATGCTTGGCTCTCGTGCTTGGCTCCCTGGCTCCAACCCCGTATCAATAATTATAGGTGAGCGAAACTGAGAGTCGCGAGACGCCGGTATGTCGAGCTCATCCATTTGGAACATATCTGGGGTTCCACATGCAGTCGTCTTCCTCGTCTGTGAATGGAGTATGGTGTTGTTTGAAACGGGAATGTCTCGGGAATAGCAGTTGGGAGGAAGGGTCGGGCCGCAAGATACTGATTTGAAGGCGATCGAGCGGCAGCCAGGTGTTTTGATGATTCCACAGGAACAGATTCGTTCTGGCATTGAGGGACTGCTTGCAATTGCTGGGGCCTCCGTCTCGCGCGTCGAGCGCCGCGAGCTGAACTGGTAGACTTTGGCCGGATACCAATTCGGATGCCTTGTTGGGGCTTTCAGCTTGGCGGTTGCAATGGCTCGCGTTTCGATCTTGGGTGGCGGGACCCCGATCGCCACCTGGATCTGCGAGGGAAAAATGGCAGGATGGGACATATTTGGAACACAATGAAAAGAAGACATGATACAGGGACAGCGTTGTCGCTGCCGACCCTTTATATATCTCAAAAACTTCTGCCCCACACTCTTAGCCGAGAGGAAGGTGGCCATCCAGCGCAACCAACATGAGATCCATACCTTCGCTCGCCTGCTGCAAAATGGAAACCTCACAATACCTGCGAGTTCACTTGGTTTGGTATACGCAAGGCGCCAGGAATTGGCTTTTGATCGTACCCATGGGGGGGAGCTCGATAAGCAAATATCCACTGAAACGGGGTATCGTAGGCAATCTGATTACCGATCATTTCGTTCGACCAAAGGCTCTGTGTGGACAGTTCAACCCAAGCGGCCCTACTTTCCTGCTCTCTTAAATCTTCTTCTCTTCTTTTATCGAAATCGATACATGTGGAAAGGCCGGGTTTTGAATCGACTCCATAGATACAAATGATCGATTCTATATCCCCTTATGTGACGAAAATTGGAGGAGTGCGGCGAGACGCGCCCCTCATCCGCGTAAAGAGCAGCCGGATACCTCAAGCCATCGAAGACTAGCGGAGTGGTTGGAGTAGCGTTGTACACCTAGTCTTTGACTCCTCGGTAATGCTCCGGTGGTTCTGTTACGGTGTAGTATGTTGTGGTATATAGCGATCCAGGGATGACGGAACAGGATGTTTCATCATGTTATGCCTTTGGGCCTAGTGGTGAGCACACCTGGGTGCTAAGGGCTTAACAGGTTCTGAACTGCGCTGATTTTCTCCAAGGCCCTCTCGCCAGCAGAGCCTCGGGCTTCCTTTCAAGGATCCTGGATTTGCGATGGGAAGGATTGAGTTGGTAGAAAACATGTCCGCGGGTCATAACCAACTGCAGGCTACGGAGGGGAGGCTACCCGGAGCTTTCTAATTCTACAATGGGGCTATGATCAAGAATTCTATACCTATCGAATTTACTACTGGCCACATCTTAATCTGCACATTATGCTATCTATATATTATAAAGAGAGATTCTACGGTACAACGGCGCTTTGGCTCACCCTTGATCTGATATCCCCAAAATCTACAATTCCTTACCCACCGGCCATTTTCCCACCAAAACTGACCAACTTTAAACCCTCTAATCTTCTTGAAATTATATGACAACATATTTTTTAAAAATTTTAAAGTAGAACATAATTGCCAAATAATTATATGTTCTACACAAATTATGTCAAAAACACTTTTATTGAAGACTTGTGGATTTTTAAACCCAAGGGAAAAGACCTAGACAGCGAGTTTACTATGGGCGCCTATATATATAATCAACATCTCAACCAATTTCGATACTTCAACCATCCACCACCACCTTTTAACAACCACACATACTGGATCATTCGGAAATAAGTATTCCGTTTATCTAATGTTTATGTTTTATTAAATGCTACCTAGGTATAACATAGGTCATTACCTAATAGGTTACAAAACATACAATGCTCAAAAATGGTGATTTTTGGTGTACAAAAGCAAGTGGGTAAGGACTTATGGCACACTATGTACCTCGAGATACTCCCTCTCCTCCGAGTCAATCACGGCAAATCTAGCAGGGAAGCTAAAACGGCGGCCTCTCTTCCCGTTCGCCGGCCTGAGGTAACGCTGGTCATTCAATATGGACCGAATAGTAGGTGCAGACCATTCAGGGATCTCGACAGTCAGGGATCTCTGTCGAGATCCACGCAGCACATCCATTGAGAGACCGGCGGATAGTCACCAGACAGCTGTCCTATCTAGAGCCTCATCTGATATGATAGAACATATCTCTCCCTGGGCTCTGCTTTGAGCAATGAATGTAGATTGCGAGTCTTTGATACCGATATATATACAGGACTCACTGCCTGGGTATACGGTTCTTTGTAACATCGAATTAACAGCAGCCACACCCGTATTTCTAGAATATTGATATAAAACCCCATCCCTATGCTTATAAATTATGGCGTGAAGAAGCTAGCAACTTCTGGGTCAATCCAAAACAAAGGACAAGAACCTCAACAATCCCACGGATAACAGACTAGGCGATTGAAGAGAGGAGAAACAGAGGAAAGATATACTAAGGTATCGAATACTCGCAACTCACAGGTCACCCACCACTAAGCATGTACTCCGCGTATGGCAATGTTGTCGCGACCAGTGACCACCAAAACCACGTTTTTACCCGGTCCAAGTGCTTTCGCGAGACCAATGGTCTGGTTCACTGCATGGCTACAATCCAGCCCGGCGGAGATGTTCTCGAGACTTAATATCTCGAGTCCCTTGATGGCGTCCTCATCAGTAGCCGTGGAAACTTCTATCCGGCCAGCATGTTTCCAGTTGGCCACCTCTGGGCCTACAGTCGACATATTCATATCGGGTGAAATAGAATGCGAGTCAAGAATCTGACCCTCCTGGCTCTGAAGTAACAAGGTGCGTGCACCATGGAGCACTCCCAGCTCACCGTTGGTCAGGGCCGCAGCCCCGGCAGCTTCCACCCCCACCAGACGCACCGAGTCGTCCTGTAAGAATGGTTGGAACAGCCCCACAGCACCGCTGCCGCTGCCGATGGCGATAACAAGCGCGTCCGGATGAACACCAACGTCCTGGAGCTGGGCCCCGACTTCCATCCCCAAGAGGGATTGGAAGGTGCGGGTGATGGTGGGCAGGGGGCTTGGTCCCACCGGACTACCCATGAGGTAGTAGGTTGAGTCATGGTTACAAATGGCATAACGCAGGGCCTCGGCGATGGCCGCGCGCAGACTACCCATACCCGAGGGCGTGCGAGTGGTCAAGACTTTAGCTCCGAGTAATTGGATTTTGACCACGTCCGCATGCTGGGCATCGGCGTCATCCGTCCCCATGACCACGACGCAGCGCAAGCCAAGGCGGGCGCACATGACCGCCGTGAAAGCGCCGTGCTTTGCGGAGGCACAATCAGTGACGACTTCCTGGCGGCCCATGCGTTTGGCGAGAAGGACCTGGCCGGTGATGTTGCGGGCTTTATGGGAGCCAAATTCGTTTTCGTCCTCGCGCTTCAGCCAGATGGTAGCACCGCCGGCCAGGGTTGTTAGGTTTCGAGCTATTTGAAGTGAGGTCGGGACATGGTGGAACCTGTCATGTTCGGACCAGAATGCGGGGTCAGAGACTGTCGCCTCGAAGCATGATGTCAGTTCGTCCAGGAATCCTATAATAGCCTCAGGGGCGAACCGCCCGCCAAATGCGCCGCAGCCACCCAATGCCAACTGCGGGACCTGTCGGCCACCAATCGCTTGTAAGATGGGACACGGTGCAACAGCGTCACGCTGTGAGGACCTGATGGCCTTCGTGGGTAGCAGGGGAGTCTGGTCAGTGATGACCTTGGGTCTTGTTTCGCTGGCGACGTCGGATGGGAATGTTAACTTGGCACGTGCAATGTGTTCAGGTATCGGAAAGGAACCAGAAGCCTCGCATTGAACACTTCTGGTCTCTTGCCCCGGCGTGCAGATAGATGCATTGGTTGGCAAAGGGGCTGGGCGGCTGAGGGGTCTTGGTCGAGCTGGAGACTTCCCTCTAGCCGTCTTTGTAGACCCATCTCTTCGTTCCTCGGGCTTTGGAGAGAAAAGCCAACTTATACGGCTCAACCAGTGCAGCGCGTGCAGCACAATCTGCTTCATGATGCGTGTCGATAATGTTATGAACAGGATGATCAACAGCAACCTTGGAAAGCCTAACTTTCAGCGAGCGAACGAGATTGACAGGTGAGAGTATAAGAGGGGATTAAGTTGGTTGGAGCAAATCTGGAGCGATTTGTATCGGGCAATGTGATATATCAAGCAACCTCGGACACTATGCTTCTGATTTTTAAAAAAACATTCAACAAAATCGTGACTGCTGTGCTTGCGGGTTTGCCATTCCCGTCTTGTGGAAAAACCGCAGAGCACCACATGGACTTTTAAATCTCTTGATGTGATCTCAGCACTGGGCACACTTATAGTCCCGAGGTTCTTGGTCAATATATATAGTGACAGAGCTGAGGGTAGAGGGTCAAGGCAGAACCTAATCTAGATTGGTCCTATTTAGATACGTCCCCAAATCTTTTCCCACCTATATATACTGCTTCTTACATACTATCTCAGTTCTATCGGCCCCGGGCCCCCGAGTGATTTGGCAGCCATGCCCGGGCTTCAACAAGACTTGAACCGATATATCACCTGACGGGATAGAAATGCCGATATTTAGACATCGGGAATGCCCTACGACATCTTACTCTTCATAGTCTACAGTTACATTTCGGCATACTAGCTAGGTCGCTACGATACTGCTGCTCGTAACTATACCATGTGTTGGGAGGCGGATATTCCCACATCTGGCCAACGGCCCAGCTATGGCGGAGCTCTTCATCCAGCATTGATCCAAACTCACAGCGCTTCCAACACTTCATCAATCTTCGCCTTGTGTTGGGACACCGGGGAGGGGGTTCTTCTCGGCAGATATGGTCTCGCGCCACTCTAACAGTCAACTCCTTCAACTCACTCATAAAGACACACCTGGGATCATAGAATACCATGCGTATCACTTGCGATGATAAGATGTGCCAAAATCTGTACGAAATCTTGATGAGGTGGCGTCGTGCATGGGTCAGTAGCAGAAGATCTCTCCGCTTCACTCCATCACAATATGCCTCAATGTCTAGCTCAACCTGTCGATGTACATCCTTTGGAAACACACCGAAAGGTCGACCCGCGGAGTTCCGGTACAATGCGAAGGCTCTGAATGGATTGAGAATGAATCTCTTGCTGTGCGTTCGAACCCTTCTTTGCAAGTCGGTATCCATCCGCACAAATCGCCATTTCCCTGGACCCGCCCGGGGCTTTATATCGCTCCGATCGAAGCATGGCTGAAAATGGCTGTTCAATCGTATGGGGGGCTGAGGTTGACAAATCTGGCATGCTATTTATCTTTCAATTCTTTTGTTGACATACGAACTCGGTGTGTGTCAAATTGGGGTTGGTCTACAGGTTGGGTAGACATGGATCATCACCCGCTGCAATTTCGTCCGCCTCCGAACATAATTACCCCGTTTCGTCGCTAGTGTGCCAGTCACACAAGTTTGAAGCAATTCAAAAGATGTAGGTAAAGCGATGTGACATGTTTATAACTCAACAGCAACGGTTTCGTGCTATCCTGTTTCTTGCCTATAGCCCTTGATAAGGATTGTTACTCCGGATTGTTCTCAAAGACCCCAAAAGTCATATCAGGGTCGGTTCAGAAATCTCGGACACAAGCTAAATTTATACGGATCATGAGTATTGACATTTGGAACCTCCTAGAACTATCGAAAGGGCTAGATCTCAACGGCAACGGATTCCAATGTGGGGATGCAAAGAAAGGTTCGTGAAGTCTGTCGTTGAGATACCAGGTTGTAATTTATCGCCTTTACTATGCGTTTGGACTGACGCCCTCACTTGTGCTGCTTGTGCTGCCTTTTCACCATTGCGTTGTTATCAGCGGATGTATCCCCACTCCTAATTCTCGGTTCACGGCTTAGACAACACGCTTTTTACTTGACGGATCATAACCAATCAATGATGACTTTCTTCCGTCACGTATCTATTCTAAAGTCTACTAAAAAAAAAGAAAGAACGTAATGATACATTGTAAGAAGACCTGTAATGAGTCATATAATCTGAAAACAACAGAGTTCTTGATATTTGACTATCACGGACATCTTAGTCAGACGTACTCAAATTATGCCTGTGGCTCATTCTCGACGGGTCCCCGGTCCTGGTCCGATCATATGTATTTTACGTATTGTTGACAAGGTCCTCCAATAGCCCGAAGCTGTAGGCTTTGCTCAGGCACAAGGTGTTCTGTATAGCTGTACAACATCCATGCTGCCTATCTCCAGTAGTCTTGGTGGAGCTCCCAAAGCACATGCCTATATGAGTACTTCCATATCTGTGAAGCTTAGAGCCGGCCCCCTCGTAGAAATTGATATCTCTGGTTTTGCAGGATGTAGGTAGCGGTCCAAGCTCTGACAGCTTCTTCACCAATGGAACTACACCACGGGCCACTTCAACAATGGTATCCTCTGTCGGATCCTCCGACCACTGCTAAAGCAATACCTTATTTGCTCAACAATTGTTGACATATTTAGAGACGATTGATCAATTGATGATGAATACTTTGAGTGAATCAAGCCAGGGCTTATTAGATAGAGCTCATATTGTCATCGTCATATAAAGTTTGATCAAATGGGGAATACGGTCTAGATAGAGCAATATGCACGTGAACAGAGATAGTATGATGCGTGGAGAGGAGAGAGAGAGAGAGAGAGAGAGAGAGAAAGAGAAAGAGAGAGAAAAATAGAAAGAGAGATCTATCTACTAGAAGCCCACCATCACATGACTGACCCCACGATCTCTAACAGATCACCATGCACAGAGTGTTCTGAATTATGGCCACATTATACCAATTATCACTCAACATGTTCATCGCGCGGGGAAGATGGCGACACAGGGAGGGAGAGAGAGGGGACAGTTATCTCGCTTGGGCGGTCATTTGACGACCTGATCCCCCAAAAAGTAAGAAATTGCCGCAGAACTGTTTGTTTAGGCCGTAAAGGTAAAATCGAACGGGAAGAGAGGGGAAGAGAGGGATGGCGAGATCAGTTCGCCAGACCAGCTTTCCCAGCCAGCGGTCCACTCAACAGTTCTCACTGCGCCTTTTGACACATGCTGGTGTGCTGATGAGACGCCTCCATATGTATCTCAATCCGTTTCCGCTCTTGCAAAAAGCCGTTCAATGGCGCCAGCGTATTCTGCGGTATTCTCGGCGTGGACAGCATCGTCCCACTTGAGACGATATCTGGAGGGATTGAGAAAACAGATTCGGGTTTCCCACGTCCACGATCCCCAGGTATAACCTCTCCCGTCCTCGGAAAAGAAGACTTCGGCGACCGGCTCGACATGTCCATAAATTCTGCCATCCAAACAATACGCGGCCAAGTAATCATGCAATGGCGTCATAACAGGATCTCCGATGAGATATCCTTCATAGGAAACCATTATACACCACCATTGCAGGAGATGAAAAAAGCCGCCTACTACACGAAAGGAGCGCTTGCCTCTCAATCCATCAAACGCGGCTGACTGCTCCACCAACGAGGGAACTGTTTCGCGCTGGATTTCGTCCCTGAGAAGGCCAAGCAGCACAACGGTTGAGTGGACCATAGTGGCGATATACCGTCACTCCCCAAGTCAAGAAATGGTGGAAGTGGTCGACCAAGCGAAGCTCCTGTACCAAAGTCGAGTAGCTGACCAAGACCGAAACGTCAGGAGACCTGCTTTATATCTCGGCAAAGTTAGTCGAATGTTCTCACCATGCTCAACTCGCCCAAGCTGCAGATGTGATCTGATGATGTGTATATCACGAGACGATGAGACATTTCGGGCTGATACCTAGGTATTGATTGACAGGTCTGATAATTTTCCTGGCTACATTCTCCCTCACTCTCTTCTTTCTTTTCCCCGGTCGGTCTGATCCACCCGCCAGAGTCTACTGGGTCGAACCGATTTATGCTTCTTTGTAGATCAGCTTGTTGTTAATATTCGCAAAGTCGCCCAGCTGTGATGGGTGTCAACAGGTTAACAATGTGCAGTGGTTGAAACTGATGAGTCAATGAGACAACTTCAGCTAAGCTATCATCGATTACTCCCTGCATCTACAATCTTTATTTCTTCTGCCATGGCTTAGCCAGGAGTTTTGTGGGCCAATCAGAAATGCTCGATGATGGCTTTCTACCGTTATTGATCGATTCCCAAGTCTACGAAATAGAGAGAGGAAGTGATAACACAATTATATGACTGACAGCGTCTCAATAATGAACCGATGGCATCTCAGTGTGAAAATGTGAGTTGATTATTGTGAGTGATGGTCGTGTTATGCCACAAGATCCGCCTGAGCTGCTCTTCATTCCAGAGGCTCTTGCGTGTTCCCTAGTTCCGTAGAGGAACAAGCTCCAGCCACGGATACTGATAATAGGGCGAGCACAACAACGTAGAACAAACGTCATGCTTCATGGAAACTAAGAGAGAAGGGGAGAATAAAGATAGTGAATTCTCTCCGTCAAAGCAAAAGGACCCATCAGAGAAAAGAAAAATGAGAGAGAGAGAGCACTGTCTAGTCAACGGGTCGTCCGACCTCCCAACAGCAGGAAGTCTGGCCGAGCCAATACCGACTGAGGACTGGGATATCTTAGGGCACCATAATGCGCCAAAGGAAGAACCCTGCCCGACGGGGTTTCAAATTCAGATGAGACCCTAAGCCTCAAGGGATCACGTAAGTGTATGATGCGACGTTCAGTGGACTCGCAATTTGGAACCACATAATAGCAGTCTTCTGTGATAAACAATGGCTTCAAACTTAGATACGACGAATCAAGGCTCACTAGTCTCTATATAGGACTGCTGCGATCTATACTTCAAATGAGCGCACGAAAACGAGCATTGTCGCAGTTGATTAGCTGACCATACGGCGGGCAATTTCAAGGATGCTCGACATATTGCATGGCCAAAGGCAACTGCGATGGATGATGAGGTCCTTTGACTTCTAGCTCCTACAACATAGAGCTCGCGAGGTATGTCCTACTTCAAAAGGAAGATTTTTGTGGCAGGTGACTCCTGTTTATTTCCCGATAACTTTTGCTGATTTCCCCGAATAGGCGGTGATTTAGCAAAGAATCACGGTCGGATAACTCTCTATCTCTACACAGTTATTACTGATCTTACGGTAGACCATCCTATGAACGGGCTCCAGTAGCAGGGCTTCCAGTATCTAAAGTCGCTTTTCGTTCCCATTGATAAGGTAGGCATGGATGAGAAGTGCTCGTGCATGTAGCGAGACTGTCCCGTCAACTGGTCTATCCACGGGTCCACGGGTACTGTATTGGCTGACGTAAGGTATGCTTGTCTTGCCCCTGTCAGATCTGAAAATGGCTAGGGTGTAGGCAGAAATGGGGACGAGTGGCTCAAGTTGCTGTAGATTATCCACGGTGTTCCCAGAATAAGGAGCACAGTATGTTATCCCCTCGAGGTTCCGTGTCGACACAAACGGCGAAGAACACATCTCTTGAGTACACTATAATGTATACTGGAAAGCCACTACAAACGCCTCAAATTTCCATGCACTCATTAGGGAACAGTGAGGTGTCGACTTCAAACAGTCAGAGCTCTGGTCTATGTGACATGAGGCCTACTCAGTCGCGGCTACCCCCTATACCTCAGGATCTCACTATTACCCCAGTGCCAGGAATCAAGGGTGGGAGTCTCCTATTTTCTGATCGAGTTCAAAACCTCTCGATATGCTGTTTCTTGAGAAACACTCTCAATACGTCGCAAGATAACTATCCGAAAAAAGACCAAACCGTCTGGACATCCCGACTTCTTACTGATTCTCACTTGCTAGAAGGAAATGCCAAAGATATGACTTCCAGTGCCATGAGATCCATCTCACGTTCTACAGAGGAGTGCCCCGATCACACTACATCAGCAGTCCCAAACGTGGGCGCTGCTCCTAGTAGGCTAAAATCATCCACAACTCCGTTCTGGACAGTGGCAACTCCCACGTCCATTTTACAAGAGCCTTCGTTGACTGGGAATTTAGGGCTCGACACCGTCAGAGCCAGCACAGACTCCTTATCTCATGCCGATTCTAGGCTTACAGTCGGATCCAGCGAAGTTGCGTCGAGCGCATCAACCCGCCCTGAACACTTTGACAAATATAGATCGATCCAAAAGGGTACTCCACGGCTGGACGACGGATACATCGGAATGGAAACAAAGACTCTTCCATCAGCGACCTGCGACAGGACAAGTTGTCTACCGACGGATACCTACACCAGGGCAATCATCTCCGCACCCTCCTCGCCTCCAATCCCAGTCATAGACAGTGTTTCTACACAGCTTGGAGGTGTGACCACCGAAAAGCATCTCCCAACCTCCGTCGAACGGCTGTCGTCAACGAGTACAAGACTCCTCTTTTCCCACACCCTGGCCGGGGATTTCCAGAAGTGCGTCACACCAGCACCCTCACCCCTCGCGGGATGAGCATAAAGGTCCGGGCAAGTTTTCTCGATTGATTAATTTACTAAATGACATCCATAGCATTGAATCATCCTCGGTAGACGTTTCGATAAGTTTGACACCGACGACGCTACCACCCACAAGCGGGGTAGAAACCACTTTCTCGACAAAGCCTCAGATCTATTCTGCATGCACCGTCAATACCCCTTCCACGGCAAAGGATGCAGGTCCAAATTCGAGCTCAGATGGCTCGGCGTCTTCCAGGTCCGTTAGTCATGCTAGTATCGGGGCTATAACAGGGGGGGTAGCCGGCGGAGCCATCCTATTCTTGATGATATTCCTATGGGCACGTCAGAGGAAGCAATCAATGGTCCAGTCACCGGATAGACCGCTGTCCGCGCAGAGGTTGCACTCCTCAGATGCCAACAACGTTCCACGGGAGAGTGCCTACGTATCAGTCTACTCACGACCACAGAATGCGTTTTGACAATTTTACTTTGCAAATATATAGGCCATAGGAATAGGAAATTGAACTCATATCAAGCATGTCTCGTCTCAAGTCCAGGTCCATCAGATAGGCCATCATGTGGCCGATTGGTGGCGGCCATTGGAGCTGTGTATAGGGTTCTTGTAATGCGCCAGTCCCGTGGACTCGGCAGAGGAGGGATTATTTGAACTATTTGCCGAGACACGCCGGGGTGTTGGGCCTAGCGATTGAATGAGAGCGGCATAACGCACAAAGCCTATGACTCAACCCTTTGACGTCAATGCAGGACATATCAGAGTAATCCCGACTGCTGCGCTGTTCCAGCGAGGTCAATTGGATGTTCCGTGACCTCATGCTGGCGAAAAGGCGGGCGCAGATTAGATATCTTCACCAGACAGTGGGATTGTCCCCACTGTCCTGACCGCGGTCTGCGAGAGAGCAGATGCGCACTGTGGCAATAACATGACATCGTCAAATAAGCTGGCTGGTGACTGTGCTCTAATGCCGAAAGATGAAGCCGCCATACATCGGGAGGTCCGATACGACAGGCCTGGGAAAGACCTGGGATCACGGTCGCGTTCCTCTCGGTGAGACGTTGATATCAAACCCAAGTTTCGCTGGCTAGTAGAGGATCTGCCGAGACGTGAGATCTGCAAATTGCGTTCCACATTTTGATTCCGCTGAGGCAGGAAGCCTGTCCTCGAAGGTAGCTCCACAGCCATCGTGCTCCTAGACTGCTCTGAAGACTCGCCAATTTTGCCCGCTCTACCACCTCAGACCTCGACCGAACGGCAGATATCTGAGCCCGGATGAGGGAGAAAAGTATTTCAGGATCAATCGTGTCATTCTCGATCGCCGTTGTGACGAGATGGTTTGGGAGTGGCACTTTCTGTGTCCCATGGGTACAACTGGACGGGAAGCCCTCTCTGATCTCCATCAGATACATAAGCGCAACTCGAGAGTTCTGGCGTATAGCGACATCTATGCCCTGCAAACAGGCGTGGTCGCAAAACACGGGAGCTATCGTTGATTGAACCGAGCGTTCCACATTAGAAACAAATGGTCCTAATCGTTTTCCAAAAGCGCGACGCAAATTGACTAGCAGGCTTATTCGGTCAGCATCCCACGGGCCCCGTAGAATCCTATCGGGCAAAACCAATATCCGCGTGGTGCGAATGATATGGGACTTCCCGTGTGCAATGGTGTGATAAGTGGCTTGAATCGCAAAATTGTCAACGATTCGTAGTCGTTTTGGGTAGCCATCCGTTGTGGCATGATCAACGACGTGATACGGAGCTAGTTTTGTGCTCGCAGTAGGCTGACGAGGTTGGTCTCCGACCATAGGAATGCGGAATCTCTCTTGCAGCCTCAGTGCCTCGAGTGTCAAGGCGAGGAGGGTTGGAAAAATTCGCTGAAAGCGATGTATGTTGAACCATTGACAGGAGATAACACTCTTCTGAAGTGCACTTTGGTCCTCAATCCTCAAAGGCTGGTATCGGCCAGGGCGTAGCTTCCGTTGGAACAGCCAGCCTTCGTGGTAGTCGGTTTTGCTGAACCTCAGATTCGCGTAGGTATATTCTCTATCAAAGTGGCGCCTTCGCATACAGTCCTGCGGATCATTCCAGAATGCGTTTATCATAAACACATCATAAATACTCTCTTGCGACACTGCCGCAGCGATGGTCCTCGAGGCACGGGCCAAATTCACCTCTCGCGCTTCTAGAAAAATATGCTCCAGGATCTCGCAAGGCAAACACTCAATGGTCAAACGTTGCATGTTCGGATTATCCGACGCTCGGAACACGCTGGCTGTAGTGTCAGATTTTCCGAACAGATGACACAAGATTAGAGTCCTACCTCACCATTATAGGGTGCGAGTCAAGCTTTTATAGAAAGCTCTTTGTGTGTTGATATATCACTATACACAACCAAGAGTCTCGCAAGGTTTACTCAATCCTATCGCACTTACCCAAAACTCTGGTTGATGGGTACACCTAGCTAACATTTGCTGCGAAGCCTGGCAGACGCGCACGTTGTTCGTACTTGCGAGATGGGATCCTCTTCCATGGTACAGAGCCTGACATGAGACTGCAGCCCTGGAGAACGCTTGACTCTAGTTCATCCTCGTGAAGATAGGTCGGGCGAGCTCTTCGAGTGCGGATCAATACATGACAGAGGGCGTGGACAGGCGAGTTCGACTTTACTGCAAAGAGATGACATGAATTAGGGTGAGTGCTTCAAATATTCATCTGATGCTATCAACCTCAGAAGCGGTTCGTTTGAAAAACCAAAGCTACATCAAATCTACTCCCATGTGTGGTCCTATACCTATACCAAAACTTTCGAGTTGAACAACTATATTTCCGACATCATAATCCATGGGATGGCACTCAACTTTACCCAGTGGGGGTAAAAGACTCCGGGGCACTCCAGGGCTCCTCGGTCCTACCTAGGTGTCCCACTATCATGCCCAATTCTGGATGTCTCAGTGCTTTTCAACTTGATCTCTCAAGTTGCGAAACTGCCCTGGTGCTGGTTTATTGGGAGCTTGGTGAGGCACGCTCGGGAAGCCCGGTTGGTACTCAACGCAAATCTAAGCTGTTCTCGAGGTCATTGGTCCCTTTCAACAGGATTTCGGGGATTCAGCGGGCATGGACAGGTCACCTCGGGCTTGTGCGCTTTGTGTAAGGTCACGTCACCATTGCGACTCCATGCGGCGATGATCTCCACCATGGTCTCTAGAACAGCCCTCTAGGGCCATGGGAAAGAATCAAGAAATTATGCAACCATGTGGATATTGACCTATTATAAGTAGACAGAATCCGGTAGGACAGAGTTCCCGTCGACGGGAAGACTCAGAATTTCAACCATGGACGCCCAGAACATATTCCCCATGATCGAACAAGTCAAAGACAATCTGAAATGTGAGTCAAGGGCCCACGGTGAACATCTATAAGAAACTCACCAATTCAAGTCATCACACGGCCGCACACAAACGACTCGGATGCAATTCTCCTCACCCTTTATGCATCACTTGCTGTCCACCGCTGCTTTGAAAAGGGAAAACTCTATCGATCATTCCACAGAGGTAACTCCACTCCCAACCTTCTTGTGCCTACGGCTCATCGATTGTAGCGCTCCCAGCACACATCGTGTCGGGCTTTCTCGAGCTTGTTTTGTACTATAGTGACTTGGAATGCTCCGCCCTGGCGGTAGTCGCCTGTTTTGTCCACTCCCTCACATCCTTGGTATTGGTCCACAGGCTGCCCAATGGCTACCCTCCGCACACTCGTGAGTTTATCCGGCCATTGCACTTTTTCTTCATGGGTTCCCCCGGCATTTCTCACCCACGATAGGTCCTGCCTATCAGGCCGGCTCGACCCTACGGCTAGTTTGGATTGTCCAGGCCTACCTCACAAAGGCCCCAATGGACTACCACGACGCAATCATGCCGATACATGGCTTTGTCTACACGCGATCACTGCTGTTCCTCTTCGGCCTCATCGAGAAATCTGCCTCACCCAAAGACAACAGGAGCGCACAGGTTTCCTACGCCGAAGCCGTGATCTGTGCCGGGTGCATTTCCGTCAGTCACTGTGGCCATCCTTGGGCGGTCTGTCTCTATCTGGGAGTATTTACCCTGTGCGGTGGGCTTGGCCAATGGACTTCAGGAAGGTATGCCACATATCCCTGCGTATGAGTATCAATATCTTATCACAGACCGTGCTTCCAGAAATCAGAAGCTGGCCCAACCGATGTCGGCTGTCGGCAAAACACCCCCAGGCCCCTGTCTGCTGTCCTAGAGCAGCAGACTCGAAGAGTCGTTGCCATGGAGAGTCCTCATAATACGCATCGAGACGACAGGATGATGTGATTGGAAAGAGCTGGGTAAGCAATGGCAGCTTTTTTAGCGTCTCGTAATGGCTTCGCCTGCCGCTTTTGGGCCATATGTAGACCAGATATCCTTTCTTCCAGGAATGATCGTCTCTGAATCTCTGCTTCCGCGTATATTGTTTCTGCTTATTTGACTCAATCGCTTGGTAATGTCACCGTATATCTCAGTCACATTTGCTATCTACGGGATTGCGACATTCGGGGCGACCAAAAGGCGGGGCACCACACCTAGCACTGACCGAATTTGCGAGGCAATTTAGAGCTCGAGCCCATCACTAGGATAGGCTGAGAGGGAGGAACGAGCAAGAAAGAGTGGCAAAGGCTTGGGACCCGCTGGTCTCGCGTACTACCTTCGAACAGGGCCTCGGGAGTATTACGTGATTTTTCTACCAGATGAGGCTTCCCATGTTGTTACCGAGACGAATGGCCCACATCACACAGACGGTCTTGCTTTATAAAGGGCGAACTAGATCACTTGGTCCTGGATGCGCTGACCAGTCCGTTGATCTGAAATGCACTCAAACTTGGTCTTTCCCCCCGAGGTGCGTTTTGCCTGTTCGTGGAACACGAGAGACGTATTAATATATTGGCTAGTTGTGGGATATGATACTGTATCATGTACCGTATGGATGCTTATCGGGATTTTCACTTGCCTCATCTTGCTGTTTTCACCTGGTTCAGTCCCAGCTTCATCGCCGTATCTTATATTATCTCTCCGCACGAACTCCGTCGAGACTGACGATGATGCTGTCAGACCCGAACACGATGCAACGATGTGAGGCCCTGGAATTGACTTGCTCTCTGAGTTCAGTAAAATGGGAGTTCTTTGAAGAAAAGACGCATCCGCCAAAGAATATTGCCCCTCCCCATCGTTTCATCAGCTGGAGAGTGTGTCCCGCAAAGGGCCTGGATACGCTTTCCTCAGATACAGTCGAGGTGACCACAGACATGGCCCCACGCGCAAGCTATAGTAAAATCATCCACCTGGACGATTTTGATTTTCTCTACCAGATGCAGTTTGCAATCTATGAATGCAAGTCAAGTTCGTCGATTTCCGTCAGCAGTCTCTGTGGCGGAAGAATAAAATCCATCCGACTCTGGAGCCGGTGGTTCACGGGAAGCAAGAGCTATGGCACGTATGAGAGCAATACGCCATCCGGTAAGCTCTTTACCAAACTGGTCTGGTGTGATTCTGTTTTCAACGTTGGGTTTATTGTTTCGGCATATGGGCCTATCTGTCCAGAAGATGAAAGCTCCAGGGTTGCGTCGGAAGTGAGGCTGGGGTCAACTCCAGACTCCAGGTTTTACCGAGTCGAGGTTGAGGAGATGGTTATTAGAGATGGACACGTTCTCGGTCTCTTTGAAGGCCTCCACAGTTAGCCAAAAGCCACCCTACTGTGGAGCTTGAACTTCCTGTCAAGAGCCATTTCCCTTCTCAAATAAAACGCAGCATCCCATGAGCCACATGCCATAGGAAGATAGGCAAGGATAATTGATGACAGGTAGACCGGTTCGATCAAGATTCTGATTTACTCCGGCCAGTACAGAGAGGAGAGCTAGTCTGTGACGGACATTTATTTCAATCACAGAACTGATACAAGGTATGGCTTTAGAATGATTGACAAACCCGTGGGACCAGGGGGCATACTAGTAGATAATCCAAGCCTCTCAGGCCGTGGAGTGGACATGGCACTATTTGCACAAAAGCAATCCGGATAGCAACTTGCGACCAAGAAAAGCCCTTTGCCCTCACATATGTCAACTAAGCCCAGGGGTTAGTAGAATGGGCTCTATGGGGCAATATGTGGCGCCCGGAAGCCATCCCCCGTAAGCAGATATTAGAATCAAAGCGGCAGTGCGAGCTTTGGGAGATACCTACCATTACCAAGCAGTGCATCAAAATCCAAATACCTAGGTATGAACAAGGAGAGAAAGATGGGAGGGAGAGGGAGGAGAGGAGGATCTCTCTCCATCCCCGCTAGTCCGGACAACCAGGCAGCTACAGGCTCCAATAGATATATTTTTCACCAGCGAGGCTTCAATCTACTAGCTCTGGTATTACCGGCGTTCTAAGCCCTAGCTGATAGGAAACACGCTGGTACAAACTTCGCTCACCTGATATATCAAGTTGAGGGGTCCCGACTTTTCCTTTTTCACAAATCGACCCTGCCCAACAAAGATTCGATCCCCGAGCCCGACGTGTTCTTTCTCACTGACCTATTGAGGCATTAGTCGGCTCTCACCAACCATATAGCTTGGATGCAGATGTCCCTTACGTCAAATCGAAAGCTGGCAACTACGAACAATCAGCAGTGTACACGGGCGGTTGAGCGACGACAGCCTTGGAACTTACGAGGGTTGCCAAAATCAGCTTTCCCTTCGAGATCGCCCTGCATAATTTGCTCGAGCTCTCCGATAACGACAGTACCATTCCACCGCAGTTTCATCTTGTGAATTGTCAGCAAAGCTATCTTCGGCGCCTTCCACAGCCGGCTTTCAGGTCAAACCTTTCTCTCAGACTCTGCGCCTGGCTCGCCCTGTAGCCTGGGTTGAAGGTCAGCTCGTACGCTCTCCTTGTGGTGCTAAAATCAGCGCCCCCTGGGCAATAGAAGCTTACTTTAAATCGACGGAGACGTTGAGGCGTAGATTGTTTCCGACAAGGATTGCTTCATCAAAGCCGGATATGGAGTTGACCTTTAGTGGTGGGGTGAATGCAGGTTCCGTCTCAAGTGAACCCGCAAGGATTGGCTGCCCAGTGCCCCAGAAAATTCAGCGACAAGACATTCCAGCATCAAGGATCAAGACATACAAATGTGAGATGCATGCCATCTATATCTCCAGTCAATTTGGGGGCTTTTACAGTCGCGGTATCACTCACCGATGCGAGGAGCGCCTATCTCAATCTTGATATACGTGGTGCCTTTGTCAATATATGTTCTCCGCTCAGGCGGTGCATAATGAATGTGACCAACCTGAAGTGTGAAGGCGCGGCGGAGACGAAGACCCCAGTTCATCTTGGTAGTGCTGCTCTCGCCTTGTGAGTGGGAGGAAATAATGTATGAGCAATTGATACAGCATTGAGAGCGGGGTTGGTCGAGGGCTTTATACAGCTCTGTGGGGCTCTGATTATCCTAACGACCCAAGGTATCATGACGCACCCGTGAACTAGACATGATTGTCTGTTCTGCCTTTCTCGCTTATGATATCGCAATATAGTCAGCTGCATAACGAAAGAAGACCTAGACCTCTGAATATGACAAATGGTACTATCATTGAAGAGAAATTCGTGCATCTCGCCTGGTATTCTTAGGTAACGGTAACACCTCGTGACAGTAATAGTAAAGACCGACAAGACATACTTTAAGACCAGGGCTGAACCTTTGTGTACAACTTGTTTGGTCTGAGGTACAGTCGGCAGCGAAATCAGCTTCCGCCCCAAGCATTGCTTTTTTAATTTTAGGCCCCATTACCAAGACGCTAGTCTGATAGAATATTTGGCATACCAATATAAAAATAGCTCCCTCAAAAAACTGCATCGTTTCCCAATTCAGGACATCACATCAAGGCGAAGAACAAACCTCCCATGGAACTCAGCTTTACAGTACCTCTAAACTGTCTTTAACTTATAACCCTCATTAGAAACATGGTTATCTAATCTTAACTTTTCTATTACTAATTCCTGGATATATGTATTGCATTCGAAGGTAATGATAAATATGTTCATTGTTATAGTATCGTAATTCCTCATTGGCTGGTGGAAAATGGTGTATTTTATGTAAATTTATTGGTGACCTCACCCAGTCAAGAGAGATCAAGAACGTATATATAGTTTGGCCGTGACGGGTCACCTGTCGCTGCGGTCTTAGACCGTAGCGTCAGATAGAGCCCAAATGATCCGGGCCAAACTAGGATGGTGGAGGGGACGGTGGAGGAAGCAGTAGAGACAGTGGAGCCGGCGAGCCTGTTTGGAACTGGTGATTGAGCTTGTACAAGACAGACGTGTTCGTCGTAAAATACACCCTGAATGCATCCGAGGTCCATCTCCCGAGTAATTGGATCTGATCGTCGAGGATCCCACTATCATGCGCATGTTGAGCCGCACCTTTCCGAAAGCTGTGGCCTGAGTAGCCGTTCGCGTGTATCCCAAGTGCTTTCAGCTTAGTAGATAGGGTAGAGAGGAAGTTGTTGCGATTGAATGGTCTTCTGTGAAAGGAGAATAACGGGGCGTCGGGCGCTTTGGGGTCGAGAAGTAGTAGCCTCTGAAGCGCATCAACTGGACAAGCTCCGTCTCCTGTTTTCGCAAGGATGATCTGTGCTCCTTCGTGGCGTCGGTCCGTTTTGCTCCGCTTGAGTGTGAGTTGTACGTGGTCTAACGAGGACGAGAATCTGACGTCGGAGCGCGTTAGCTTTGTGGCTAAGAAGGTAGGACGTGTGCTGAGATCTTCTGTTTTGTAGGTAAATTCTCCGAGGCGAAGGAACCCAGCAAATGCTACCCGGCAAGCGGTTGCGAAGTTTAAGTCGTCTAGAAGGTTTGCGGTCATCTCCAAGGACTGTGACGGGAGTGTGGCTAGGCCTGCGGAGAGTTTCGTAATGGTGTCACGCGAAATTGGTTTTCTGACGCGAACTTTGGTGATTGGGTTGAGTCTTCTTGCGCCGTCTATAAGGCGTCGAAAGTGCTTGTTATCGAAGAGTTTATCCTCAAGGAAGTTGTCAATATGGTAAGCCCGGAGGGCGGCTAGGTCGGCGAGTGCAGTATCGGGCTTGACGGCCTTTTGGTTTGAATTCCCAAGGAGTCGTGAAGTTAGCCAGGAGGTTAACGACTGTGTTGAGGCTGGCCAAGCCGAGAGATTTTGTAGCGCACAGTGCTTTTCGTAATTGCGTTGAACAGAGTGGTAGACGGAACGTGTGTTAGCGCTGAGGCCGCTCCAGAGCAGTTTTAGGTGGCCTGCATTGAGCTGAGGAGCTCGCGAAGAGAACCACGCGGGCGGTTCAATACCGAGAGGTCCTGCCAGTGGGGACAAATGTTAGCAACCTCTTGACAGTTATTACGGGAGAGGGCATCTGCTAATGTGTTTTCCCCGGAAGGGAGCCAATGTGGCACGATTTGGATATCTCTCGCCGCCGCTAGGATAAGGAGGCTTTTCAGAGGTACGTTAGGCGGACCATGCAGGAAGCCTTTACTCAGTCCTGTGTAGGCTGTGGAGCTATCCGTGTGGATAACTAGAGTATGATGAAGCCAATGGTGGCTGAAGAGTAGGAAGCCTTGTAGAATGGCGTCTACTTCGGTGGTATTGATGTGCGCGTGTGCGACTTGGTGCGCGTGTGCGACTTGGTGCGCGTGTGCGACTTGGTGCGCGTGTGCGACTTGGTGCGCGTGTGCGACTTGGTGCGCGTGTGCGACTTGGTGCGCGTGTGCGTCTTGGTGCGCGTATGCGTTTTGAGCAAGGGCCAGTGAGGCAGCATTGCTTGGATGAAGCTGGTGACAATGGGCCAGCCAGCAGTCTGATATAGACTTGGATGAGAAGAAGAAGAGTCCCTGGCCTGTGTTGGAGGCATCTGTGTAGAGATGTGTGATAGAGCGGCGGCAGGGGTCAATTAAGAGTACGCCGTTGAAAAGAGACAAGGAGTCCCTCCACCATTCCAAATCATCACGTACCTCGTGGGAGATACGGCGGCGCGCGCTCCTCCCATGTGGGAAGGCGGCTTGGAAGGTGTATAGAGACTGTAGCCTTGTCCTCCCAAGCCGGACAACTCTTGAACAGAAGGCTAATGAGCCTGTGAGACGCTCTGTTTGCTTGAGGGAGAGACTCGCTGCGCTCAGGGCAGCTGCGGCGTCCAATGTGGCGCGGCACAACTTGTCTGGTGGCAGGCGAGCTTCCATTGCAATAGAGTCGATCTGGATACCTAAGACTGTCACACATGTCCCTTGCTGGTCCTTTTTGGTATTGCGGGGGATACGCAGGTAGTCGGTGACCCCGTTGTAAACCTCATTAAAGGGACCCATAGGGTCGGACAGTGAGGAGGACCGAATAATTGCGATGAAGTCGTCTAGGTAATGATTGATATAGAATATAGGAAGGAGGCATTGGAGTATCCAATGGAGAGCCTCGGCGAAGAGATTGAAGAGAAATGGGGCCGTAGCGAGGCCAAAGGGGAGGCAGCATTCGACATAAGTAGAATCGTTCCACTGGAAGGCAAGGAGATGCTGGTTATCCTCAGCAACAGGGACTATTCGGAAGGCGTCCTTGATATCCCTCTTGATGATTATGCAACCTGGGCCAGCTTGTGTGACCTGCTCGTAGATATCATCGATTGTTATGTATTCGATAGCTGACCAGGAGTCCGGTATGCCCTAGTTAAGGCCTTGTCCAGGGGGCCAGGATAGGTCATGGATGCGGCGCCATCCTCCATCGTGCTTAGGGACTAACCCCAGCGGCGAAACGAAGGAGGGCGTACAGGCCAATCTAATGCGACCGAGGTTGAGGTCCTCTGCTAGTTTGGCCGAGATCATTTCGGGTTCGTGTATGTGATGGTTGGAGGAGTGATAAAACTGCATCTTGCCCCTATATCCGATCTGGACGCCGTAGGTCAGGATGCCAGTGATAGTAGACCTGAGATCGCCTGGATAGTAGCGTGGGAGGTTGCTCCAGCCTTTTGCATATAGTGGTGACGAAGAGAACTGTAGCTTTGGGAGCTCCGGGTTGAAAACGGGGTATTGGATAGCAGTATTCGGCCTGGGCGGTTGGCCCTGCGGTATTAGGCTTGGTGATAAGGGGTTGGAGCTTTTATCGGTCTCTGCAGGGTGTTCCCTAACGGTAGGGTCCACTTGCTATGTCTTCTTACGGCAAGAGGATGCGCCATGCTGGCTTAGACCGCATGCTGTGCACTCATGACGTCTCTTGGAGCCTTCCCAGAGACATCCTGTGGTGTTGAACTTATCGCACACCTCGGTTTCATTATTTGAAGACCTAGTAGACCTTGTTTGGTGAGGTCTGGCTGAAGGTTTTGCCGGTGAGTTCGCAGGCAAAGTAAGATTGTGACGGAGATACTTTTCGCGAAATGGGGCTGTGACGAGGTTGTTCTCCGTCGATAGCTCTCCTTTATCCAGAATGTATTGGTGGAAGTTAAGGGCGAGCGGCAGTACTGCCTCTGACCACTGATATGTTTGAGCGAGATCTAGGATCTGCCTCATGAACATAAGTAGGTTGGGAACTGCCTTTGGATGTTTCTCGCCGAAGAGATGTCCTATGACGGCTAGGTATGTAAGGAAGCAGCTCGTCCATGTTTGAGGGTTGGGGCCCCAATCCTTAAGCGATGCCGCTGCTTTCCTGAAGCCTACTGTGCCTCCGGACTCGGTCATCTTGAAGACCCTGTCCTCATGATCTTGCTCGGTGACTGACTTCTCTTTGAAGCGTATGAGTTCAGTCGCCTTCAACTTCCTCTCGAAAACGCGAGTAAGAAGGGCGGCGGAGACACCCGGAAATATGTCGATGAGTGGTTTGACTTCAGGGGGTGGCTCACGGTTTTCCTCGAAATTCTCGTCACCTTGCAGGTCCACACGAGGCCTTCTGTGGCGGAGGTCTGTCTCCGCTACATCCATTTCGAGGCGCCTGGCCCTGTCTCTCTGTATCTGTCCTAGCCAACTGGCGCGGTCCGCCGCGCCCATGGTTTCCCAAATGTGGGCCGGGGGCCAAGCGGAGTCAAGTGGGGCAGGCGTGACACTGCTAGACTGGCTGAACGTCATGGTGGAGAGCGATATGGTCAAGGCTTATCGGTGTTATTGCCGCAGAGAAAGGACGTGAAAACAAAACGAGTCTTGACTGCGTGAGAGATGACGAGCTACCAGCAGAGGCGAGCAATTGACTCCCGTGAGGCAGTTGCAGGAGGGGAGAACCCCTCCGTAGGCCTGTGGGCTCTGTGCGGGCATCACGTGAGGCAACCCCAATAAAACTCCTCCCTAGATTAAGTTAACGGTGAATCCTAATCTGGCAAGAATCTTCGTCCACTTAACTCGCTTTAACCCCCTGATCACACGATTTTACCAACTAGCCTCATTTTGCAGGACTAGACTAGACGCATTGTGACATGGCACTCAGAGAGCGTCTCAAAGAAAAATTATCTGGGCCTGGAAAGCTTACGGTCCAAGGCCAAGGAAATGCTCGCACGTTCTGACTGCGTGTTTAAGTAAGCGCCATGAAGTCACCTGATGATGAATCAGAGCACCTAGCCCCTCGTTCAGCTGAGAGTCAGAAAACACACTCCGCCAAAGCGACGGACAATATATGCTATCCTAACTATGGCATCCACATCTTATTATGGAGTCAATGATGGGTTTCAAATAGGTAATAACCATGGCACAATCACGATAGAACACCATCTGTCTAAGCGACCAAAGACTTTCCACCATGAGGGTTTGCCTACCCCACGACACAATCAGTACACTGTCGCATGGATCTGCGCGCTGTACATAGAGATGGCAGCAGCACAGGCCATGCTGGATGAGTTTCATGAAGCTCTTCCTACCCATGCGGACGACAGGAATACCTATGTACTAGGAACCATCAATCGACACAATGTCGTCATTGCGTGTTTACCAGAAGGGCAGTATGGAACAAACAACGCCGCGATCGTCATGACGAACATGAAGCGGACTTTTCCAGCGATTCGCGCATGTTTAATGGTTGGGATTGGCGGTGGGGTGCCAAGCAAGGCTGATGTGCGTTTGGGTGATATTGTCGTCGGAACAAGGGTTATGCAGTGTGATCTTGGGAAAATCCTTGCAGACGGACAGCTCCAGCGAACGGCAATTCCTAGAATTCCTCATCAGTTGCTTGGTACGGCTGTGTCTACACTCCGTTCGAAACACGAACTCGGCCCCAACCGGGTCATATCTATCTTACAACAGAAACTAGAAGAACAACCCTCGTACTCTCGCCCGAATTCACCGGATCTTCTGTTCCATGCGACCTATGATCATGAATCTCTAACCGGTAGCTGTGACGGGTGCGACCACTCAAAGCTAGTCCCAAGAAGCAGACGGATGTTGGACGACGTAAGAATCCATTATGGCGCAATTGCCTCGGGGAACCAAGTCATGAGGGACGGCACAACACGGGACGGCATTGCTCGACAGCTAGATGTCATATGTTTTGAGATGGAAAGTGCTGGTCTGATGGATGTCCTCCCGTGTCTTCCAATTCGGGGAATTTGCGACTATTCAGACTCTCACAAAAGCAAACAATGGCAGAGATATGCAGCAGCAACCGCGGCCGCATACGCAAGACAATTGCTTGAGGAGTTACCCGTGACCGAATCACCTAAAAGTATTGTCTCCACGACCGATTCTTGTAAGAATGCATCCCAGCCTTAGGAACATTCTTGACTCACCACTGTTCACACCACACTTATAGATCAGTGTTTATCGCACGAAGACCGGCAGCGCTTGTTAAATTCTTTCAAGTTCGAGCAAATGGATTCCCGGAGAACGACCATCAAAGAAGAACAGAAAAAGACGTGTCGCTGGTTTCTCAATCATCCGTATTACGAAGCATGGCTTGATCCTGCCAGATTGACGCAACATCATGGCTTTCTGTGGATCAGTGGTAAGCCCGGGGCTGGAAAGTCGACAATCATGAAATTTGCATACTCCAACATGAAGGGCAAGGCCCGTCCAAAGCATGCCATCACAGCTTCCTTTTTCTTCAACGCTCGAGGGGATTACTTGGAAAAATCTATCACAGGGATGTACCGATCATTGCTACTTCAACTACTAGAAGGCTACCCTGTCCTCCAGGTTGTTTGAGACGATTCCGACCTGGTTCCCCGAGGCCAAAATGATTGCCCTTCCTTGAATGTTTTGAAGGACCTATTTTCCAATGCAGTTTGCACGCTCGGACAACGCTCGTTTACCTGCTTCGTTGACGCTCTTGATGAGTGTGATGAACAACAAGTTGTGGACATGGTGCAGTACTTTGAAGACCTGGCTGAAAAATCAACAGGCAAAGGCGTCCAATTCCGAACCTGCTTTTCGAGTCGACACTATCCATACATCTTCATACAACGGGGTCTCCGACTTACACTGGAGGATCAGTCAGGTCATGCGGAAGACTTGGCAACCTACGTCACAGACCGCCTCCTGATCAAAGAACCAACGCTTGTTGAAGAGCTGCAACCACAACTTCTCGGTAAAGCTGCTGGTGTTTTTATGTGGATCGTTTTGGTTGTCGGTATTCTGAACAAGGAGTACCGACGGGGAGGAATGGCTCTGAGAAAGAGACTCGCGGAAATACCTAGTGATCTGAGCGACCTGTTCAAGGATATCTTGAGGCGTGACAATGAAAATATGGAGGCTCTCCTGCTTTGCATCCTCTGGATTCTGTTCGCAAAGGAACCTCTGCGACCGCAGGAATTTTATCATGCTCTCTGGTCCGGGTTGTCTCTGAACAGATTAGTCGATAGCCAAATCCCAGATATCACCGTCTTCGGTACTGGTGTTGGCCTTGACAGTGTCAACAGATATGTGATTAGTTCCTCAAAGGGACTTGCCGAGACCACAAAATCTAGCCAGCCGACGGTTCAATTCATCCATGAATCTGTTCGAGACTTTCTTATCAAGGACAAAGGTCTATATGAATTGTGGCCTGAGCTTGGATTCAACTGCGAGGGCGTAGGCCATGAGAAACTGAAACAATGCTGCAGCGTCTATACTAATCACAAATTGATATGTGAATCTGTCACCAAGCTGTTGCCGGAGACTCACTCCGACGGACGGAGGGAAATCTCAAAGAACTACCCGTTTTTGGGGTATGCGATTCAGCATGTTCTTTACCATGCGAATGCTGCGGCGCATGTTCTCCCTCAAGACGAGTTTCTTTCCTCTTTTCCCATCTCTAACTGGGTTCAGACAAACAATGTTTTTGAAAAGTTCAAGTCCCACAAATACAGCAAGCATGCAAGTCTATCTTACGTCCTGGCAGATAGAGGGTGTTCTGAGCTTATTCGCTTAAGACCCAAAGAAGATCCGCAACTCCAGGTCATTGGGGAGAGATACAAGTACCCAATATTTGCCGCGTTGGCTAATGGGAGCAAAAACACCGTGGCTGCTCTTCTGAACTCAGTTTCATACATTCAAAATGGAGCCGACATTACGGAGGGCTTGAATCACAAAAAAGACTTCAAGGGGTACAAAAGTCGAACACCGCTATCTTGGGCCGCCCAGGATGGTCGGGCAGAAATTGTCAAGCTACTCCTACAGAGTGGATCGTCTGTTCATGACATGGATAGCGGGGGGCAAACACCACTTCTACGGGCCTCGGCGAATGGTCACGAGGCGGTAGCGAGGCTTCTTATTGAAAAGGGAGCTGACGTCAACGCCAGCGACAAGGATGGACAAACACCACTTCAACGGGGCTCAATGAATGGCTTCAAGGCAATAGCGGCGCTTCTTATTGACAAGGGAGCCGACATCAACGCCAGCGACAAGGATGGACGGACACCGCTTCAACGGTCCTTATCGAATGGCCACGAGGCAGTAGCAGCGCTTCTCGTTTATAAGGGAGCTGACGTCAACGCCAGCGACAAGGATAGACAAACACCGCTTCAATGGTCTTCAGCGAATGGCCACGAGGCGGTAGCGGCGCTTCTCATTGACAAGGGAGCCGATGTTAACACTGGCGATAAACATGGATGGACACCGCTTCTACGGGCCTCAGCGAATGGCCAGGAGGCGGTAGCGAGGCTTCTTATTGACAAGGGAGCTGACGTCAACGCCAGCGACAAGGATGGACAAACACCACTTCAACGGTCCTTATCGAATGGCCACGAGGCAGTAGCGGCGCTTCTCGTTGATAAGGGAGCTGACGTTAATGCCAGCGACAAGGATAGACAAACACCGCTTCAATGGTCTTCGGCGATTGGCCACGAGGCAGTAGCAAGGTTTCTTGTTGACAAGGGAGCCGACATTAACGCCAGCGACAAGGATGGACGGACACCACTTCAACGGTCCTCAGCGAATGGCCACGAGGCGGTAGCGGCGCTTCTCATTGACAAGGGAGCCGATGTTAACACTGGCGATAAACATGGATGGACACCGCTTCTACGGGCCTCAGCGAATGGCCAGGAGGCGGTAGCGAGGCTTCTTATTGAAAAGGGAGCTGACGTCAACGCCAGCGACAAGGATAGACAAACACCGCTTGAATGGTCTTCGGCGAGTGGCCATGAGGCAGTAGCAAGGCTTCTCATTGACAAGGGAGCCGATGTTAACACTGGCGACAATTATGGATGGACACCGCTTCTACGGGCCTCAGCGAATGGCCAGGAGGCGGTAGCGAGGCTTCTTATTGACAAGGGAGCCGACATCAACGCCAGCGACAAGGATGGACAAACACCGCTTCAATGGGCCTCAATGAATGGCCGCGAGGCGGTAGCGAGGCTTCTTATTGACAAGGGAGCCGACATCAACGCCAGCGACAAGGATGGACAAACACCGCTTCAGCGGGCCTCAATGAATGGCTATAAGGCAATGGCGGCGCTTCTCATCGATAAAGGGAGCCGACATCAACGCCAGCGACAAGGATGGACGAACACCGCTTCAGCGGGCCTCAATGAATGGCTATAAGGCAATGGCGGCGCTTCTCATCGATAAGGGAGCCGACATCAACGCCAGCGACAAGGATGGATGGACACCGCTTCAACGGTCCTCAGCGAATGGCCACGAGTCGGTAGCGGCGGTTCTCATCGATAAGGGAGCCGACGTCAACGGCACCGACGATTTTGGTTGGACACCGCTTCGATGCTCCTTGGCAAATGGCCACGAGGTAGTAGCGGGGCTTCTCATTGACAAGGGAGCTGACGTCAACGGCACCGACGATTTTGGTTGGACACCGCTTCTACGGGCCTCAGCGAATGGCCATGAGGCGGTAGCAAGGCTTCTTATTAACAAGGGAGCCGACATCAACGCCAGCGACAAGGATGGACGGACACCACTTCAACGGTCTTCGGCGAGTGGCCATGAGGCAGTAGCAAGGCTTCTTATTAACAAGGGAGCCGACATCAACGCCAGCGACAAGGATGGACGGACACCGCTTCTACGGGCCTCAGCGAATGGCCACGAGGCAGTAGCGAGGCTTCTTATTGAAAAGGGAGCTGACGTCGACGCTAACGACAAGGATGGATGGACACCACTTCAACGGTCCTTATCGAATGGCCGCGAGGCAATAGCGATGCGTCTTATTCACAAGGAAGCCGACGTCAACACCAGCGACAAATTTGGACAAACACCACTTCAATGGGCCTCGGCGAATGGCTACGAGGCAATAGCGGGGCTTCTTGTTGACAAGGGAGCCGAAATCAACGCCAGCGACAAGGATGGACGGACATCACTTCAACGGTCCTCAATGAATGGCCACGAAGCGGTAGCAAGCCTTCTTATCGATAAGGGAGCCGAAGTCAACGGCACCGACGATTTTGGTTGGACACCGCTTCAATGCTCCTTGGCGAATGGCCACAAGGCAGTAGCGGCACTTCTCGTTGATAAGGGAGCTGACGTCAACGCCAGCGACAAGGATAGACAAACACCGCTTCAATGGTCTTCAGCAAATGGCAACAAGGCAGTAGCAAGGCTTCTCATCGAGAAGGGAGCCGACGTCAACGCCACCGACGCTTTTGGTTGGACACCGCTTCAACGGTCCTCAGCGAATGGCCACGAGTCGGTAGTGAGGCTTCTCATTGACAAGGGAGCTGACATCAAAACCAGCGACAAAGATGGACAAACACCGCTTCAATGGTCCTCGGGGAATGGCCACGAGGCAGTAGCAGCGCTTCTCGTTGATAAGGGAGCTGACGTCAGCGCCAGCGACAAGGATAGACAAACACCGCTTCAATGGTCTTCAGCGAATGGCCACGAGGCAGTATCAAGGCTTCTCATCGAGAAGGGAGCCGACGTCAACGCCACCGACGCTTTTGGTTGGACACCGCTTCAACGGTCCTCAGCGAATGGCCACGAGGCAGTATCAAGGCTTCTCATCGAGAAGGGAGCCGACGTCAACGCCACCGACGCTTTTGGTTGGACACCGCTTCAACGGTCCTCAGCGAATGGCCACGAGTCGGTAGCGAGGCTTCTCATTTACAAGGGAGCCGACATCAACGCCAGCGACAAGGATGGACAAACACCGCTTCAATGGTCCTCGGCGAATGACCACGAGGCGGTAGCGAGGCTTCCGATGAACCAAGGTCCCCAAGATGGGCTGGAGTGGACAAGTCAGTAAATAATCCTTCCCTTGCTCACTTCTCTCCATTCCATCGTCTCAGCCTCCTGTTACTGCTCCCTCAAACTCCCTACCATTTATCTCACTGCTTGTATCTGTTCTACTCGATGCTTTACGGTCTGACATGATTGCGATAGATATGTCTGCTGGTGCATGAAGGCTCCTCGCCCCCGCTCCGTATTACTTCTTTCAACTCCCACATAGGTCCAATCTTTTCAATTGAAATGCGTTCTATGTTTTTCTAGCCAGATCTCGAACGACGAGCAAGCCAGCCATCAAATAGAATACTTTCCCTAGGTCCAGGCTATAGGCCCCCAACTGTCTGAACATCGGTTGGCTGTCTACTATTCTAAGGATGAGATGCACCTTTGAGGCGCCAAGTCTTGGGGCCACAATGCAATGTTCAACATTAGGTGACGCTCAAGATTAGACATGGAAGGAGTGGCACGGCGATTGCATGCGTATGGCAGTTTAGTGTGGCGCCTAGCCCTTGAACCGTGACAGCATCAGCTAATTCATGACATAATTCAAGACGTTGAGCCACACGCTCTCAGATCGATGAAGCTGCTCGATGCTGTCTGTCTTCAAAACTCCATATTTTTCTAGGGAGATGATCGACCACCATTCCTACACTGAGTGTTAGCGCCATTACCTTCAATCTTGAGAGTCTCGTAAATCCGCGACTTAGCCAGCCATCGAGACAAGGCCGATAGCGAATTCCCACAGACACAACCCTGAAAAAGAAGTGGAAATCCCGTATATAGTAATCTGAAAAACTGGTTTGTTCCATGATAGATTGTATTCCATTCTTTGGTGGTGCTTTCGACGGTTCCTGCACGCAAAAAGTTGACGACAGTAGATACTGAACATAAAACAGCACTAGTGAAAGTCACAAGCAGCATTCAATTACTTAACAGCGCCCAGAGCACGGGGGAGGATACTTTCATTTGGCTTCGACAATTCCAGATGGTAATTGTCTTTTAATTCATTATTAGACCATGCCTCTAGCGGCAATTGTTATAATGTAGTTAGTCGACTAAAAATATCGCACTAGCGCCTTGCTAGTGGCGCCCGAAATAAGAAACGCAACGATTAGGGTGGAAGCTGATTTCGCCTACGACTGTACAAATACGCATAGAAAATTTTGAATGGGATTCTGCGGTTTTCTGTTGGTCCCTATGGGAGAAGTACTTTAGTGATTCTTGAGACCCATGAACCAATACGTTGAAAACCTCGCCAGGTAACCCCAATTCCTTGCTTTGTTTGACCTCTCTCTCGTCTTCTTCTCTTCCTTTCCATCTCCAGAACACGATAAAAGGAACATATAATCATGTAATTTAGATACTGTTGCAGACCTGAGAAGAAAACGAGATAGAAAGATTGATTTCTCTGCGGGCAGCCTGACCAACCTGGCAGCCATGGACACAACAAATCTACACTTTACGTGATTGTTTGTCCGTTGGGGGATCTCTAGTTATACTGACACGCCTAGGCGCCGGGTGGCTTCCATGCCCATGTGGAGTTGGCCTCATGAATCCGTATCATGCGGTGAGGGCCTTTCAGGAGTAGAGCTATAAGAAGCCTTTGTCTGGTCACTTCTACGCAGCCGTCCTCATCCACTATACCTGCGCTATAGTCACAAGTACCAGTGGATAGCATGCCTGACACGATTCTGAAAGTACTCATGCTACATGGTCAGTACATGGCGCCTTCTCCCACGATGTTCTATTGAGAAGATTTTCCAGGACATGAGCAATCGGCACAGATTTTCCAGCCCAAAACCAGGTATATTCGAAAGGCATTCCACAAGTTTGCCAGTGACAGAGACATCATGTTTGAATTCCAATACCTGTCGGGCATACTGCCGGCCGACCCCGATCGGGACGAAGCAAACGACCGATGGGTCTGGGGATATGGAGATCCTAGTGAGGGTCGGATTAACGGGATAGACTTGTCAATTGAACACATCCTCAAAACACTCGATCGAGATGGTCCATTCGCGGGGATCGTTGGATTTTCGTCAGGCGCTGCTATGGCAGCAGTTATTACATCTATACTGGAGAAAAGGCAGACTCTCCATGACCCCTCTTGGAAGGTGAACGACTCTTGACTTCATTTGCCAGAGAACAACTGAACTCATTAACCATCCATGCTCTGTAGGCACAACATCCCAGTTTCAAATTTTCCGTCTGTCTGAGCGGGTTCACACTGGGACCTCTGTACCAGCAGATCTACACCCCATATATCGTGACGCCCGCTCTGCTCGCTATCGGAAGCGACGACCCAGTGGTGCTACCTGCCCAGACTCGGAGCTTGGCCGATCGATTCCAGGATGCCAGGCTGTTCGAATTCACGGGAATCCACTATATTCCACAATTCAAAGAGTTCCCGCGCTTTCATTCATCCCTCGTGTACTTCTTGGAAACTATTTTCGACACTCCAACGGTGAAGCTATAATAGCCTCTGGCAAAGACGCAGTTTGCCTTCTCGCGGGGTTAGCATCGTTTGAGCCTCGCGGGGCCATTGGCAGGCTTTGTCTATAGTTAGCAACTCTACTTCTTGGTCGATACCCTAGGGGAGGGAACTCAGAAGACTTTCATGGCCTGGGTAGAAGAACACGTAAGATTGATATTCGCAAATGTCTCATCCCTGTCGCACTCATCCGAGTCTCCCTGGCTATAATATAGCTGCTGGTAGGCCTCGCCAAAACCCGCCCACCGCCCAAACCCGCCCGCGAAAACCCAGCCCATGGGCCGGGTTGGGTCTTAGTCAGCAAACCCGTGGGCGGGTTGTCATCCGGGAAACCCAACCCAAGACCCAAATGGGTACCCGCGATTACCCAAAAAAGCAAACAAAGCTGACTGATCATTTTACACTAAGTTATGCAGTAATTTTCGATTATCTAATTGTTTCGATGGCGTAACTACTAGCTTCTGGCTGTGAATATTTGGAAAGGAACATGAAGGGCTTGAAAAAATCAAATTGGCTAATTATAAAGACTAGTATACCTCGTAACCTCGCAGTCTGCTGGAGGGCATTGTTACCCGACCAGAAGATCTCTTCTGGCTTCTATCACTCAATTGCATGATTGGAGGCGGAAGTAAATCTGCTTCGTCGTAATCAACCACGTCTTCCTCCATACTCTCTTCTTCTTGTTCAGGTTCGTGAATATGTCTGTGTATAGAGCTCCGGCCGGTCTCTACCACCGTACACTCCACTTGGTATGTCTCCTCTGGCTCAGAGTTACCCTCGAGATTCTCGCTCTCTTCAATCTCCTCATTGTCGCTGATCGGCTCTGCATCCTCTTCGATTGCCTTCAACGCTTCATCCTCTTCAAGTGCCTCTTGGCTCTCGCTCTCCAACGGTTTCTCCAGACGAATCAATTGCTGTCCCTCTAGTGTGAGCTTTTCTGAGCACATGTACATCATCAAGTCTTGAATGGTCCCTTCGTGAAGAGACCCTCGGCGATAATGACAAATGTCTCGTGCGCTATTGAAGAGCCTTTCTACACCCGCGCCGGTGGCAGGGACCGAAAGCAAGTCTCGTGCGAGCCGAGACAGCACTGGGAATTCGCGCTCGTGTTCTTTCCAATAAAGTCGCGGCGACACAGGGACATTGGCTATTCAAGGTCAGTCAGTTGTTCCAGTGTGTTGTACTGATTGCTCGTGCCTTCGCGAAGATACTGGTCCACTTCGTCATACTCTACTCCTTCATGGAAAATCGATGCACCAGGTGGCTCGAGTAGCCGATCAAGCTCTGTGCTATGCGAATTGGAAGATCGCTGGACTGTACGGAATAGCAACTCGGGGTTCTGCTGCTGATACTGTGTGAAAGATGCTCTCAAATATTCACAGTACCTTTTTGACGTATCTTCATGGCAAGTTGAGTACTCTCGATCATCAAAAGCACTCAGTTTATACTGAGGGGCAAGTAATGTTCCAGTGCCATAGAGAAAACCGTGGTCGCGGTAGGTTTTTTCGTAGTACTCTTTCAGCTTCTGCCTCGCCACAAGCAACGCGCCATACATGTCTTTCTTCCAGGGTGTTGTCTTTCTCTTCAATCTTCGATTCGACCGTTCGATATGCTCCAGTAGTTTCCTATACACAAGGAACACACTATGGATTGTGACGTCTCTGGTCTTCATCAGAGCCATGGTGAACTGAAAAAACGGTTTGGTCAAATGAACGAGGTAGTCAATTTGCCTCCATTCAACGTCGGTAACCTTGAGCTGCGAGTATTCATGATCGCAGCAGTATTTGTCGATTACATTTCTCAGCCGGCGTGCTCGGCGAAGCATCAAAAAAGTTGAATTCCAGCGTGTCTGAACGTCATGTAACGGAAAAAGCCGAGTACCACCTGATTGGAGGCATAAAAAAGCATCACGCCGTTGTGGGCTTGCGTTGACAAAGATCGCAAAGGATCGAATCTAATGCTGTCAGTGCTCTGAGTATATTGAAAAGGTGAATATCTTGGCTCACCTTTGTCAGTGTATGAGCCACGTCTCCATAATTGATCGAATCCTTCAACCCGTGCGCTTGGGTGTCGGACCAAAAGGCTCTGACTTCTTTATTCTTAGGTGCTGCCCTGATATGTCCCAGTAGCTGTTTCAGGCAAAGCTGGATCACATGAGCCATGCAGGGAACCCGGACTATTGATTCCCTGGAGCTAATAGCTCCAATAGAGAGCAGTCTCTCTTGCAAGGCGCGTATCATGGTGTCGTTGTTGGTAGCGTTATCTGTAGTAACGCTAAAAATACGATCGAGAAGTTTTCGTTCCTCCAGTAACCGGTGCAAAACATCACTAAGGTTGTTTCCTGTATGAGGACCGTGCAACGGCTCAAAGCCGAGGAGCATTTCCCTATAGTTCCAATCTTTGTCGATGAAATAAACCGTGATTGCCATGAATGCCTGCTGAAATGGACTGGTCCAACAATCTAAAGCGAGGGAAACCTTGGCATCTTCAGGCAGATCTTGTAACTGTAACTCTTGCTGGCAATTGACTGCATCCCGGAGCCGTCTTCGCAGGGTCTTCGCTGACGGGAGTTCCAATTCTTTGGGACCAGAATATAAAAGGCTGAGTAGCCTCTGAAACACCGGGTTCTCCACCGTCTGGAAAGGCAAACGAAGACACGTAATTGTCTTCAATATCTGCTCCTCGATTTGAAATGTTGTCACTCTGTGGACACTGGGTGAGTCTCTCATGGAATGGTTCTGCAAAGAATCCGAAATCAATGACTGATTAAATCCCTTTTTCTTCCCTTTACGACAAGTGTTAGACTTTTTGTGTCTACTCATGGCGCTTGTCCCATTCCCTTTATACTGTGGATGATCAAGCACAGTGAGACAAGCCTGGCAGATGACTCGAGGACGCCCAGAATCAATATCAGCAACCTGGTCAAAGTGTTTCCACACATCAGCGTGACGCGATCCGGTGGACCATTTGATCTGGGATTGGCCTTCTCCATTCAGCTTTTGGCCGTACTCTGTTTCCTTCCACCATTCAAGAAACTCTGTCTCTAGATGCGACTCGTACGCAATCCATTTCTTTCTGTGCTGAGGTCCCACACGTCGGAGTGTCGCTGGAGGTCTTCGAGTAGTTATGTCGTAGGTTTTGCGGGGTCCTGTCAAAGGCTGCGGTCCATCTTAGTATACATGTAGATAACGCCGCAACACTCAGAGGCTAGTGGAAGGGACCATTTTCTTACGGAGGATTGAATTTCAGAATCCAAGAAGCCGTCAGATGACGGCTCAATAGAGAGCAGTGGACTGAAAGGCCGATGTATTGATCGCGATGATGAGGAAGAAGACGCCATACTGAAGTAAAAGGCCACTGATATTGGAAGAAGGGGAGATTTTTTTCATCTTGAGTACTTGATTGTGGATTTTGTTTCAGTCGCGTCGTGCGTTTGGATCTATCTATTCCTGAGTTGCGTAAAAGCCGCGGGTACCCAAAACCCAACCCAACCCAACCCAACCCGCCCGGAGATGAATACGACTTTGGGAGGACACTGAGAAGGTCCAAATCACTGATTTTAAATGATCGAACTAAAGATGATATTTTTGAGCTCACTCGAAAGATTCTCAATTGATAAATTTACATAAAATCATCAATGTGGCCTGTAATCCCTTCAGTTGTGTAAAGCAGGGCGATGGGAGCAGTGTTCTACATGTAGAGAATATATATTTCCAGGTCGATGGCGTTCATTGTTTCAATGTAATATCCACTCAAAAGCGTGACAGAAATAAATGACCAAAATTACACTAGATGACTAATCAGGGTTATCCACGATTTATGCATGTTTTTGGGTATTTTGGGCAACCCGCGGGTACCCGCCAAGAACCCATGGGCGGGTTCATCAAGGCCAAAACCCGCGGTGGGTTGCCCATGGGCGGGTAAGGAAATTGAAAACCCAACCCAAACCCGCGTTTGGCGAGGTCTATTCATTGGCCGAACCGTGATCACATGACCATCCATCCCCACCAGATTCCGTGCCGCAAGTTCATTTCGCGATGTGATCAAGATCGACCCGTGGGCAGCCTGGGGCAGGAACCTCCCCAGTGGCCCTCGTTCATCGGATATATTTTCACGGAAAAAGATACCATCGTCATCCGCATTGTCTAACACCATCAGCCAGCACCCATTGCGTGCATCACACAACCACTGATACACGAGCTGGAGGATGTTCATCTTCGGGTCATCCCGTCCTGGAATCTCTGCAACAGCGGCAAAATGCTGGTAGCTCTCTTCCAACCGCGCCGCATTGCTGGCGTGGATCCAAAACACCCACGCGTCTGGTGCGAGTTCTCGCACGCGATAGGAATACTCGATAGCTGTCTGGGTTTTCCTGAATGGCATTTCTATCAGTTATTATCGAAGAGGCTTCCTTATGAGAGAGCTCACCCAACGCCGGCCAAGCCCACCAATGCCACCCGCTCATGTCGCTGACCGATTGTCCTGTGTCTTTCCTTGATGGCGCTGATGACAGCCTCACGGCCCACAAACATCGGGTCTTTCTTAAAAGGTACTGTGGAGCACGGCTGGGGCTTTTGGCGCATCTGCGCTGAAAACAATTCGCATTAGCTCGCATAAAGACCAGAGCAAGAGCTCGCAAACAGACACCGAAGCAAGTCACTCACTGAACCGAGCTGCCACCACCGATGGCGCCTCTTTTGAGAACTGCCGTAGCTTATCGAGCACCGTTCGATATCCGGCCGCGTTGCGCGTGTCGAATTTGACCACCATTGAGTGGTCTGCGTCCAGCGGCACCTTGTCCTCGACATGGTCGGGAAGCTGGAGAAGAGCCGAGTCTGCGCCAACCGTCGTCATGAAATCCCCGGTGCGTTTCCACCGTCCGCTTTCCGAATCCTATTGCGATCGTCAATACATACCATAGCTTGTTTCAGACAAAGACCAATACATACCAAGACCAACTGCTTCGTCTGCTTTGTCTCATAGAAGCTGACCACCTTACGGTCTCGGATCAGGTTCTTAAAGTCGGCCAGTTGATGAATCAAGACATCCGATTGGCTGGAAATCTGGCGTAGGAGTGTCTCTCGCGGATGGTGTCCATCGCCGCCCAACATTTGCTGGATATCGTCCATCACTAGCCCTTTATGTGGGATAGCGAAGAGGATTATGCCGTATGTGGCTCGATGCAGCGATGTGATCGCTGGGTGGTCTTCTTCTAGTGTTTGGATGGCCCTCACCAGGCACTAGAAGTTGTTGTCAGCATTTATCAGTAGCTCTGACTGACTATCATCTTACATGAGCCAGGATGATACCCCCAAAACTGTGTGCAATGAAAATTAGAGGTCTCTGCTGAAGCTTGTCACAGAATCAGCCTACACTTGCTACCAATAGAAAAGTAACACAGTGTTTCCTACCTGCTTCGTGGTCCGGACTTTCTTGATCTCCTCCATCAGCTCCCGCCCGTAGTCGAGAATCGTACTGACTCCGGGGCTCGACAGCTTGGAATTGTACCCGTAGATCATAGTGCGGCACTGCGGAAGATCTTTTGACAGAAAGTCCCGGAGCCACATCCGACCGAGATTTCCTCTTCCTTGCCATGATCCATACGCGTGTCCATCCAGTCCGGCAATGGCAATGATACTATGTGGTATGGTCAGTTAGTGTTAGTCCTCTAGGTGTAGATAACGGCACAGGTCCTTACTCGGCAATCACTGGCTTATTTTCGTCTGGCGCGTAGAGCTGGGTAAATCCAAAGAAGTGGCAGTCAAAGCTGATGTCATCATCTCCCATCTCGATCTGCCAGTCTCCGAGCGGGTTGACTCTCAGCTCAGCGAGAAACTGAGGCACCCCACCGCGGAACTGCACCAGCGCCACCCTCTGTGTGTCACTTTCATAGCATGAAGGCACGATCGTGATCTCAGCTTTGATATGCGATCTTTCGTCGTCCGCGAAGTATTCGTTGAGCGCCTCGTGTAATGCGGTCTTGAGTTCTTCATCGAGTAGTTTCCTAGACAGGCCGGTCACCCGGAAGACGTGCGACCTTTTACTAGCCATCGTGATTTATCTTCGTCAGAGGGGTACATCAGACGAGAGTGGACTTTGCGTCGCTTGTTGATGGATGATCACCTTAACCGCTGAGGCTGAATCAATGAACACGTGCGGGGTACCACGCATCCACCTCCAATCATTGCTACTATCACTTCGCAGATACCACTGTGAACCAAATGGAACTTCCTCCCATCATTGATTCATGGTGAAATAGTTCACCGCCACATATTGTATCAGTCTGCCGCTAATTACCACCTAAATGATATATCCTACCGAAGCTGAACACAATAATATTAACTTAAATTTATGTCTTGGCAAGCTCGTACAAGTCTGGCCCTGACATCACGTGCCGTAAGTTGAAACCAATCAGGCTTCTTTAGCCCCAGGCTAGCGAGGTTGGACCTAGCGCCTTCTAAGAAGGAGGCTCACTTCAGGGCAAACCGAAGAGTTTCCTGTCCCTCGGGGGATCCCGTTGACCCTGAACTCCACGTGACCTAGGTTTCCACCAATCCCTCAAAAAGGAGCATTTAAGTTAACTTAGATCTCATTAAATACTTCTGGTGAAATTTGCCCTGACAACCCACCTGGATTTGCTCGCTCGTTGACGGCCAAGTAACCTTATCACGTTTGCTTAATTTCAACCTGACTGCCCCCTCAGCTTCTGCTCGAGACCGTTCAAGTTAACACTTGCCCAACCGATAATGTTCAATCTCTCTGCTGTTCATTCAAAGGTTAAAGCACGCCCTATTTGGCATCAATTCACAATCCGCTTCCCATACTCGACCGACCCGTGGAATTTAGCAATAGATATCAAACACTCCGCGACTGTCCGAGTCTAGATCCAGAAATCAACAGAGATTAGAAACTCACGGGTTAGGAAGATTTATATTCTCCAGATATCGTTATGAGCAAGGTGCTGAAGCTTCACATGGAGGTTCAGTACGTCTCAACATTTTGTGGGATTCACGAAGTCCGTGACCGAAGAATCTATATTAGAAAATACCTCATTTAAGTCACCAGCTAAAAATAATTTAAGTACCAATCTGGCATAATATCTTATAACATATCTTGAACCCTACTCAAGTTCCTCGTTACACATGGCCCTCTGATCTTTGCTGTGATTTTTTCTCCACCGTAACCGATGAGCTATCGCAAATCTCCACTCTTTGATCACTTTGAAAAGGAAAAGGAGTACTAACATCAGCATGAGGACACCAGTCACAAATCCGATCAAAGTGCTGAGCCAGTAGCAAGCTGCAAATAACAAAGCACTCGAATATCTCTCATCGGATGTAGAGGCTGCGAGGCTGACCTGCATACAATTCAGGGCGATCGAGAAAAACGCAAATGCAGATATCAAGGGACCTTGAATTCGAGCAAAATACGCTCGATACTGATAATTCTCACGTTGGTAGTGGCTTTTGCCCAGGAGCATGGGCGCGTAATAGTTCAGCCGGGTCAATCGGATCTCTCCGTAATGATATCGTCCCGAAACTTCGTTTTCCGTGATGTCCTTCAAACGGGCGGTGAACTGGCAAAATCGATGCCACGTCACCTCTTTAGGAACCAGGCAGAGAGCCGGATCTTGTGCAATTCGTAGATCTGATTCATACTGAATCAGGTAGAAATACGTTCGCAGATACCCGAGCGCGGCCTTTCTCAGCTTCACCGCCGCACCATGTTTAGACGGATCGCTCATGAACGTATCCCAGAATACGAAGGACGTGATGTATTGGGGAAGGGGTTTAAGGAAGATTTGGTTGTCGATCCAGACGAGATGTAGCTGAGGATCCTCGGTGACGATGATCTGTCGGCCCTTCACTCGTTGTCGATGCAACGGAGAGATATTGCTGCTATCCTGCTTTGACATCCACCACAGTCTACCCGATATCGACTCGAGGTCCTCTGACCAGACTTCGCGGCGAATGAAATCAAACAACCCTTTTTCATCGCCAAGTTTGATCCGGGGATGACCTGGCAGGTAATCAAGCGATGTATCCAAATCACCGTTGAGCTGATCATCTTTGTGGAAGGGGCATGGCACCGAAGAGGTTTCTATCTGAGCTGACATTTTCTGAAGTGCCAGATTGAGAATACGCTAAAGCTCAAGACGATGCTGAATGCTGAGGAATCAATTGCGAAGATTGTTTTCCCCCACCAAACTTGTCGCTAAAAAGTGGGGTTTACGTTAGCCTTGTGAGAGTCTGCGGGAGCTCAGCCTCGTGGGAACACAACACTGCCTAACCCCTACAAGACACATGTGCAAATAGACTAGGCAACGAGAATTCTTGGTGTGATTCTACAATATTTGCCTTCAGTGGTGATCTAGGTAAATGTAGATAGCAGGCGGAAATTCAATTTGATGTATCCCTAGCTGACAATGATGTGCGAATAGGAGAAATATATAATATCCCAAAGCCGGCCTATTGAAACGATAAGCCACTTCTGGGCGATGGATTGATAGAGACACAGAAACTTCTAACGTGCTGAACGAGTCTATAAATCTAGCACTAAGCAATAATCACTCATATCCCATGCTTGAATTTCATGCTCCCCCTTGCGCTTCTCCTCCGATTTCGAAAGCAGCTTGCCCCCAGCTGTCGACCTCTTTTTCCGCGTGGATTGTTCTGTCACCGTCATGTCGCGTTTCTTCTGCGCCTCAACGATATCCTCATAGCTCATGACTTTTGCATGTCCTACGACCGTCAAGCCGCTGGATTGTCGACAGGTCTTTTCATTGTTCTGCTCAAATAGGATCCGGTTCTCCTCCAGCAACAAGGCGCGCTCTGCAAAGACCTTTTCGGTCGCGCGGCTCATGGTCTGCAGACGACGTTTGCGCACACCGTCTAGATTCTGCGTGTCCTGCTCGACCTCGCTGCGAAGCAAGGCCAAATGATCAGAGGTGTTCGGAGTGTGACAGATATTAGAGGACACGGTCGGAGGCTCCACTGGGATCGTGGTCTGTATCTCCGACCGGGACGCTTGGCACTCTCGAAGGACGCGAGACGGATCGAATGGAAAGAGGCCACTTCTGGACCAGGCCGACCGTATATTGCGGGGTGTAAATGCCACTTTTCGGGCACGATCATAAAGATACGTGAAGTGTGGCTTGCCAATAGTACTCACTCCACCTCGACATGCCTGCTCAACCTGTGCCCGGTATGCTGTTTTCAGAGGACTAAAAACACCCACATCGCACGGCTGCAGTTTGTGAGACGTATGAGAAGGGAGACGACACAGGATAATGCGGTTCGCAAAGCAGAATTTCATGACTTCCAGGGACTCATGGGTGCCGAAACCGTCGCAGATTAAGAGTCGCGGCCGACCGCCCGCTCGGTCTCGAGTCTGCGGGTCGAACACATGTTCCACCCAGTACAGACTGATTTCTGTGTTCGTATAGCCTGTTTTGGTGCAGGCAAAATGCCATCCGGGGGTGGGGTGGGTTGTCCACGAACTGCGATGGGTAGCGGCTGGCCAGATAATGAGAGGATGCAGGAACCGACCATCGGCGGAAATGCATTCAATCGCCGTGACCAGCGTCCGCTTCACCGTGGTCCCTCGATGCTTTCTCAAATCGTCTCTGCCGACGAGCACCTTGAGGGAGTTGAGAGCACTGAGAAGAACTCCCGTCTCGTCCATGTTATACACGTTCTCCAGGAGAATGGCCGGATCGGCCAGCTCTCGGCCAATGATGTCAAACCAGTGTCGGACTTTGTCTTCGATGTGCCGGCCATCTCGCTTCCAATCGATCGCTCGAAGCCGTCGCGCTTTCAACTGCGGGTGTCGTCGATAGAAGCCCTGCGGCCAATTCTTTCCCGGAAGTCGGACCTTGAGGCTAGGGTCGGTAATCTGGAAATTCGACGACCGTTGGCGCACGATAATCAGAGCGAGCGATCGTAGAAACTTAACTGGAAGAGGATAGCCGTTGTCTGCCAACCGCAACACATATTCAACCAGGGCTTGCTCTTCTTGCGGGGTGAGATACTGCTGATTGGCGGCTTTATCAGCGACCGATGGCCTGTTATTGGCTCGCCGCCACAAGGTGGACGCGGGAATCCCGGTTGATCTCGACTGAATTGCGTAAGATGTGCGCACAAGACGTTGATGGGCTGGAGACATTGTGGTTATTTTTTTTGGTCTGGTATCCTAGCAGGCATTTCCTATTTAAAATGGAACCATCTGGGCCGAGAAAGGGCAACGGAGTATGAATACAGTGAAATACGTAAATAGCACCGAGTGAATTGCAGATCACGTTATGGATGCTCAATTGGATGTATGTGAGTATTCCTGACCGGCTTTATTTGAGGTTCTTGGGGTCAAATTTCACCAGCCAGAGCCAACGATCGCATCACAATGTTGAGGATACCAAACTGCATTGAATCTACATACGACGCTTCACCGCTGAATCAACGACCGACCCGTGGAATATTGATGACCTTAGGTTTATTTCCCTGACTCAAATAATTGCTGCGAATTGAACATCCGTATTTGATCCGTACAATCCGGTCGGCAATGGTGATGATATATTTATGATATGCCCCAAAGCCCTCGTTTTGACCGTTGAACAGCAAGAAAGGATTTGAACACTGTCATTTGAACATAGTTTTCGTGTTTACAGCAATTATGAAAACCAAAACATGTATAACTCTTAAATCAACAGACTTTCAACAAGAGCATAGGCAAAGAAGCTACAACATTTGGATTCGGTCAGATAGCGCGTGCTTTAACCGTTGAACATCGAAAGAATTTGAATATTGATTGTTGAACAAGATTAAACAGTGACACATGAAAGCAAGATTGATGGTCCGAGTATGATAAAAAAGAAAAATAATTTTGGACCGTTCACCGTGCTCAAACTACAGAATAGAGCGGGCAAATTCCACCACTTGGCATTTTTCACCAGGAGCGTTTGACCAGACCTAAGTCGAACGGTTATTTTAGTGGAACCCCGCATCCTGTCCTGTTGTGAGTCACTGGTCACGTGGGAATCCGGGTCAAAGCGATCCCCCGAGGAACGGGAGATCTGCTTTCGGTTCGCCCTGGATGTTGTCTGACGTACCACAGTCGTCCCATGAGGCGCTAAGTCTAAAACGGCCAGGTAGGGGCTAAAACAAGTCTGGCTTAGTTTCAGGTTGCTGCACGTGATGTCAGGGCAAGGGGTCCGGAGGATGTCACAAACTGTTAAGTGAAGTGAAGGTTATGGTAATTAATCTAACTTAAGTAGGAGTAATAGGTTTTTGATAGCGACACACTAATAATTTGTATAGCTTAACTATTCTCAACAGCAAGAAATGATTGCATTTGGTATGCAGCAGTATCTACGAAGTGACGATTGTAGGTGGATGCGTAAACCCCGCACGTGTTGGTTGATTCAGCCTCACCGGCAGACTGAGGTGGACATCTTTCCAGCAGGGGACATCCAGTCAGCTCATATTTAATTCACAAGTATATGACCAGCCATAAAAACAAATCACGATGGCTAGTCGGAGAAAGTCGCACGTTTTTCGTGTAACGGGCCTGTCGCGAGAACGGCCCGATGGGGGTCTCGAGACCACATTGCAAGAGACAATCGACGACAACTTCGCGGACGACGAGAGATCGCATATCAAAGCTGAAATCACGATCGTCCCTTCATGCTATGAAAGTGACACAGAGAGGGCGGCGCTGGTGCAGTTCCGCGGTGGGGTGCCTCAGTTCCTCCGTGGGCTGAGAGTCAACCCGCTTGGAGACTGGCAGATCGAGATGGGAGACGACGATATCAACTTTGACTGCCACTTCTTTGGATTTACCCAGCTCTACGCGCCAGACGAAAATAAGCCTGTGATTGCCGAGTAAGGACCTGTGCCGTTATCTACTCCTAGAAGAATAACACTAACTGATCATGCCACATAGTATCATTGCGATCACCGGACTGGATGGACATGCGTATGGATCATGGCAAGGAAGAGGAAATCTCGGTCGCATGTGGCTCCGGGACTTTCTGTCAAAAGATCTTCCGCAGTGCCGCACCATGATCTACGGGTACAACTCCAAGCTATCGAGCCACGGAGTCGATACGATCCTCGATTACGGGCGGGAGCTGATGGAGGAGATCAAGAAAGTCCGGACCACGAAGCAGGTAGGAAACACTGTGTTACTTTTCTATTGGTAGCAGGTGTAGGCTGATTCTGTGACTAGCTCCAGCAGAGACCTCTAATTTTCATTGCACACAGTTTTGGGGGTATCATCCTGGCTCATGTAAGATGATAGTCAGTTAGGGTTACTGATAAATGCTGACAACAACTTCTAGTGCCTGGTGAGGGCCATCCAAACACTGGAAGAAGACCACCCGGCGATCACGTCGCTGCATCGAGCCACATACGGCATAATCCTCTTCGCTATCCCACATAAAGGGCTAGTGATGGACGATATCCAGCAAATGTTGGGCGGCGATGGACACCATCCGCGAGAGACACTCCTACGCCAGATTTCCAGCCAATCGGATGTCTTGATTCATCAACTGGCCGACTTTAAGAACCTGATCCGAGACCGTAAGGTGGTCAGCTTCTATGAGACAGAGCAGACGAAGCGGTTGGTATTAGTATGTGTTCGCCTTCATCTTAAAACAGACTACGATATACACTGACGATTGTAGGACTCGGACAGCAGACGTTGGAAACGCACTGGAGACTTTATGACGACGGTTGACGCAGACTCGGCTCTTCTTCAGCTTCCGGACCACGTAGAAGACAAGGTGCCGCTGCATGCAGATCACTCAATGATCGTCAAATTCGACACGCGCAACGCGGCCGGATATCGAACGGCGCTCGATAACCTACGGCAGTTCTCAAAAGAGGCGCCATCGGTGGTGGCGGCTCGGTTTAGTGAGTGACTTGCTCCAGGGTCTTTGTGCGAACTAATGGGAACTGTTACAGCGCAGACGCCTCAAACGCCCCAACCGCGCTCCTGCATGGATCAGCAGTGAGGAAACGGAACATTATGGACGATGATTCAGAGACCCCTACGGCGAAAAGGGCTCGTCTTCATGACTCTGCAAGTTCTTCAAACTCTGAAGAAAGTGACACGACCCACTACGAAGACGACAACATTTTCGATGATATCAGCCAAGAGAAAGTCTATAATATCAATGAACCTTCAGAAGAGAGCCATAATGGTTTCTCAGAACGTCTTATAGCTAGGGATGCAACAAGTGAAATTGGCTCATCTTTTCGTTATGGATCCCCTTCGTGGGAAGGTTCATTCTCTGAAAATGGACTCGCTGATGAATCTGACATTCTGGAACCAGACGAGTTGTCTTCGTCGGAGGAAAGCATTAGCTCAGGATGTTAGTCTCGCTATGGATTGATATCCCCCAAGGCATTTCCACAACAACAAGAATGAAAAGAGTAGTCATAAACAGAACAGAAATAATTTCCAGCCCACCTAAAGCTTAGTCTAATTAGCGAGACGCAGACATTGTATAAATCATCAAGACATGTCACGAGCTTCCCACAACGGTGTACATTTCTTTCACGTTCCTGGTACGAGCATATATACCAAAAATCAGTAGACGGCTTATTTATTCGCATACTGATTCTCAACCATGCTATCCTCAAATCGAGTGAAATCGTGACATTTTGTGGAATAAATTGCCTGATAGTTGGGGCGCAGAAAGATTTCCTAGTTAGAGTGCATGGGGATATCAGCGCATTCTCCTCTCGCAGCTGCTTTTCATTTCTACAGCTCTTTATACCCTAATAGTATGATGCGGTCTTAAAATACATCTGGACTTATCTTCCTCAAAGCTGGCCATCTCCTCGAGGAAAGGGTTATAGGGCATCTTTTCATCTATTCCGCTTCGCCGCGGCGGTATTTTTTATACATGAAGTTTACATGATGGTTCCTTTCGTGTATTTTCCTTTTATTCTATGTACCTTGCTGCTGCCAAGAATTCCACCAAGATTGGTATATCCTCACATAAAATGATTATGGTAATAGGAAAAATCAATATATACGAGAGAAGGTGCTTGGACGAGAGCATTCCGAAACATTGGCTAGTCTCAACATTCTTTAGACTTCCTAGATCAACACGTAAATCGTCAAGAGGCTTCAGAAGCTCACATGGAGACATAAATTTATACTGGTAATATCCCATGAAGCACTGTAATAACACATAGTTTGCAGCGGGCTGCGGTCTGGAAGTACTTCTAGCATTATCTTTCCTTCAAGCAGGCCATCTCTTACGTGCGGGCAGGGTTGTGGGGCGGCTGTTCCGTTCAGCGGCGCTAGTATTTCTCATACATCAAGTTACATGATTGTTTCCTTTCCGTGTATTCGCTATGTCGGTAATCTTGTCTTATGTACCTTTCTACTGCCAAGAGTTCCACCAAAACTGGTATATTCTCAGGTAACATAATTTTGATGATATAAAAAGTCAATATAGGTCGCTAGGTAGGCGAATCAATCCAACGTCGCCTTTCCTATTCATTTCAGACGCTTTTGTGGATGATCTTGGCGTCATAGTAGTAAACAGTACATTTTCTAGTAGCGCGCGCCGTCCTGTAATCCGCCACTTTAACAGTTTGTAATCTTTGTTGAAAGAAAAAAGATCGAATAAGAAATCACATAATCATTGTTTCTACTGCTCTCGGGCAATCTTCAATTTATGGATTGAGAATGACGGCGCTCGAATGTGGAGGTACCTGGTGGGCGTTTCATCACACAGGGCATTTCATGTCACCGGGATGGGGGTTACAGGCTCCAGGAATTGAAGAGCTTGCGGTTAGAGGCTTTTCTCACCTGTCTTGCTGTAATGAGGACATAATTCGACAGAGTTTTCAATAGATTCAATGATTTAAACCACATGAGAGTGATCGATTCGGCAGTGGAGACTTTCATTTTCAGAATTTGATGGCTGAACGTTGTACTCTCCATTTTATGAGAAAATGATTGCTATTTGAAAAATGAACATTCCGATTATGAAGATAGGATAGTGCCACTTCTTTAATGCAAATGTTCAAGTATGTATTAAAGTATCCCTCATTATCCGACAGCCATTTCGTTTCTAGAGAGATTCGCAAGAGTAGTATAAATCCTTAGTGATTTCACTTCAAGGAGAATATTATGAAGGAAATGAACAGGGAATCCGACAATCGATGCGACTGGAATGTATCTTTCACCGCAGAATGCTCGTAGGTGGTAGATTAAACAATCCTGTTGTTATTGCACAGTTATTGGTCTCCACATTTAGCCCAAACATTGGGTAATGTTGACCTGATTTTTATGACCACGACAGGCTATTCTCATATTTTATGAATGCCTGAATCTAGGCCTTATGGCAAAGATATAAAAGTCACTTATAATTGCCATTTGAGTCTTTAATCTCATGTACCGCTGAAACATTTGATTCCATCCGAGCTGTCAACTATGGCGGAAAGTGACCGCGAGGGATTCAATTATGGAAAATATGGCGAGGGCTATACTGCCTCTACGGAAGTCATCCGAGAGCAAGAGTACCCTAATCTGAATAGTATGCCCCCTTCCTTGATACCATTCCGATCCACCTATACTGATTATCATCCTTTACGGGGCACAGAGACAATTTATCTTGATCATGCCGGTACAACGATTTATGCCAAGTCATTGATCACGGCGTTCTCGCGTGAGATGAATTCCAGTCTGTTTGGAAATCCCCATTCAATGTCTCTTTCTTCGCAATTGTCCACACGGCGGACAGAAGAGGTGCGAACACGGGTCCTTCACTTCTTTAATGCTAGCCCCGAGGAGTTCGATGTGGTTTTTGTGGCAAACGCGACAGCTGCTATCAAATTGGTAGCCGACTCGTTTCGGGATTGTGATTCTCGGGGTTTCTGGTATGGGTATCATGTTGACTCCCATACCAGTGTCGTTGGTGTCAGGGAAGTTGCCGAGATGGGTTATCAATGCTTCCAAGATGTCGATGTGGATGCTTGGGTCGCCGAGTTAGGCACAGCTCAGCTAAAAGCACCCAGACTGTTCGCATTCCCAGCTCAGTCTAACATGAACGGTCGACGTCTCCCAATCCGTTGGTGTGAGCAGATTCGCTCCGCTGCGAATGAAACAGGGAACGTATTCACTCTTCTTGATGCTTCCTCGTTTGTGTCGACCGCTCCTCTCGACCTAGGTAAAGCAACCGATGCTCCTGACTTTACGGCATTGAGCTTTTACAAGATCTTTGGGTTCCCTGATCTCGGAGCGTTGATTGTCCGAAAAAGCGCGGCCCACATTCTCGAACGACGAAAGTTCTTTGGCGGGGGCACAGTAGATATGGTGATAGCAACCGGAACTCAGTGGCATGCAAAAAAGAAAGCTCGATTCATGCGCAGCTTGAGGACGGAACTCTTCCTTTTCACAGCATTATCGCGCTGGGTGCCGCCATTGACACTCATAAACGTCTGTACGGGTCCATGGCAAATATTTCTGCCCACACTGGGTTCCTCGCTAAGCGAGTCTATGATCGACTCTCTGCAATGGCACATTTCAATGACTCCAAGGTCTGTCAGATCTACCAATCAGACTATGCAAACCCAGCTTTGCAGGGCCCGATCATCGCTTTCAACCTGAGAAATAGTCGAGGGGAATGGGTTCCAAAGACCGAGGTAGAAAGTCTAGCCACAATGCAGAATATCCAACTACGTTCTGGATCAGTGTGCAATCCTGGAGGAACGGCCTTCTCTCTTGGATGGACCAGCCAAGAGCTGCGCCGTCATTATGCCGCTGGGTTGCGATGTGGCGATGATCACGACTTGTTAGATGGCCGGCCGACTGGTATTGTCCGTGTCAGCCTGGGGGCAATGACCAACCTGGAGGATATTGACTCGCTGATTGATTTCATCGAGAAGTTCTATGTTGAAAAGGTGCCTCCATTGGTCTCACTGACTCCTCCCCTGGGTAAAGACACCCTGTTCGCTCCTCACTTTTATGTTGAAAGTGTCACCATATTCCCCATCAAAGGTTGTGGCGCATTTAAAGTCCCTGAAGGTCAAAGTTGGGAAATCAAAAAAGAGGGAATCGCATGGGATCAGGAATGGCATCTCATCCATGCTGGGTCTGGTGTGCCTATGAATCAGTGGGAGCACCCTCGGATGGCTCTCATATGTCCCTCTGTTGATGTTGACCGCAACATACTTCGCATCACCTGTGCCGCCAAGGCTGCAAATGACGAACTAAGCCTTGAAATACCTCTTACATGGAGCCGCACATGCATGGGTACGATGACTACTCCAGTTCGTTCGAGTTGCCAAAAACGGCCGGTCAGTGCCCACGGAGATCAGTCGTGTCTTCGCGCCTACGCCTCCCCCGTGGTTTCGGCTTTCTTTTCCAATTACTTGGGGGTATCTTGTACACTCGCACGGTTTTCCTCACAGGACGCAGGCCAAGCTATGCAACGACCACACCTTGGCGACACTTGGAAAGATCGCTTACGGAGATTCACCAGGCTCGGACTCCTCTCCTCCACTGATCAATTCCCCGGAGAGCTTGGCCAAAAATATCTGGCCGTGTCCAGAGAAACGGCCATTTTGATTATTTCCAGGTCTTCACTCAATTTTTTGAACGAGAATATCAAGGTCAACACCAAATTTACATCTAGAATCGGCGGAAATTTCACTGCAGATGTATTGCAGGGCAACATTGTGATCGCGGAGCGGACCTCCCAGCTAGGGCGCGCGGAACTGCCTTTTGTTGAGAAGTGGTCGTCCATTTATATCGGACACGACGAGCTTCGCTTCGATACTTTTGACCCGTGCCAGCGCTGCCAGATGATATCTGTCGATCAGGCTACGGGAATGCGACGCATGGAAATACTTGCTGCTCTTCCCAAAAAGCAACAGATCGATGGAAAAGACGTGTTGGGTAGATATGCGGCTATTTCCACAATGGGAGCCACGGAATCTGAGCCAGGGAGGCCCGGCAGAAGGTCGATTATGGTGGGAGATGTTGTGCTACCATCATACCAGCATGATTGAGCCTTTAGAAAGCGGATTTTACATCTGGTCTATTTGTAGTCCAGTGATCCATGAGTGGCCCCTGAAGAAGTTTTGAGAGCCAGAGAGTCTGTCTGGCTTGATTTAGGTACATATCGTTTAAGTATTCAATAAGACTTCGGGTCATACAATATGGAATGATCTTCAGTGGGCAGATAACGGAATTTGGGCATTGAGACTAGAACTCATTTTGTGTTTCTATTTACCAAGTGCTGTCATTTGAATTGGCTGGTACTCATAGTCAACTGGCTTACTAGTCACCGTTCATTCTGGGGATTTCGGTCTCGAGTCTCATCTCCTACATGTGTTCTGTCCGTAACGGCGCCCACCACTACAAATTAGCCCAAATTCTGTCTCTTGAATTTGTAAACTTACTATTCATAGATGATTTGGTCTAAACTTTTGAGTGCTTTTGATGATGAGATTAAATGCGCAAATAATAGAGAAATGAAGGCTTATGAACGATACATGCTGTTGCGCTGTACCTGATAGCATGGTGCCCATGCATGACTGAAAATTTGTTTAATCCTGATATTGTAAATTATTTCCAGTAAAATCTTTAACTGTTTTCAGTCTTGGAGGTTACCTGACACGGGGGAATCAATTGGCTATAAAATTATATTCGAACCTAAGCCCCTGACCAACCCCATATGGAAGGAAGTCTGGGAATTCTCAGGCAGAACTGATCCCAGCCTGTCTCAACCCCTCCACCTTTCCTGCTGAGGTGGGGTCATTTTTCCTCAAGGGACTCCACAAAGCTACCCATCATATAGGTCTTCATGAGATTGATAGGCGACCAGAGGAAAACCAAGGTCGTGAGATCTAGACACCTCTTTTGTAGATTACTCTCAATGATACAACGTAGAATCCAATGACATCAGGCTCCATTTTGCGGTTTGTCAATTAGGACAGGATGCCATCGTACAGATTTCCAGACACTTTGATCGACCGACCAGTTAGAGATATTCTGTCAGGCATGGCGGGAAGCGGTAACGCGAACCATTCGTCTCGCTTCATAACTTCCGGACAAGCCTTATACTTCAGTAGCAGCTGCACCATTTCCCTATCGTTGTTCAACAGGGCCCACACCAGGGCTGTCTCGCCGCTGAAACCAGGCTCGTTCGGGGGTGCGCCGTATTGGAGAAGAAGTTCAGCCACTGATGTGTTGCGGTGTATGACGGCCCACATCAGAGGCGCTTGACGGCCCTGTGTTGTTTGACCAATACTGGCGCCATGGCATAGCAGGAGCTGCACCATCTCCACAGCCCTTCTCATGACAGCCCAGACGAGCGGTGAGCGCTCCGCCTCTTTCTTTGCTGATGGATTGATCTTTGCATGGTAAGAGAAAAGAAAATTGACCATTGCGAGATCATTCAATACGACAGCCCAGACAAGGGGTCGGTCGCCCTGGATATCGGGTTGCTCCACGTTGCAACCTTCCCCCAGCAATACTGCAGCCAGATCGAGGTATCCATTGATGATAGCCTGAATCAGAGGGGTGAACCCGTGGCGAGCGACTTGATTTGGATCTGCCCCTCGTGTCAATAGCATCCGCGCTGACTTGATATCTCGTCACTTGGTGGCCCAGAACAGAACATTTTCAGCGAGCGCATTGCGAGCAATGACATCTGCTCCTGTATCCAGCAGCAGTTGGAATATGGCCTCTTTCTGGTATTGAGCTGCCAGAATCAGCGGGGTATCGTTTTGTCTATTCTCCGGAACATCCAGCAACGCTTTGTGGTGGGGATCACTTCCAGGAGCCGAACGAATTGCCATACCCCTTCATTGCCGCAGAGTGAAGGGCCGTCATATCATGAGCGTCATGGACCCGGATATCGATGTGTTTGGTTTCCATAAGAAAGGCCACCGCCGAATGCTCGCCTCGAAGGGTGAGTAGCCGGAGCAGTCTGCATCCATGGATCAGGGGCGTCACAATGGTTCTCGTGCACCTGTCTATGGCACCCATAGTGACCAAGCCTCCCACCGAGAGCTTTCTCAGTATGAGAATGTAGATTTCGACCGGTACTCGATTCATCAGATAGCGCGGCTCGACCTTTGCGCTCGGGGACACCAGAGTCGCTCACAGCTCACCAGCCTGCTTGCTTCTTTATACCATAGATGGATAATGAGTCGGAGATTACATGATAGGTAAGCCGGCCGACCCTGTTCCACGTATCTCATCATCATCATATAACGCAATATATGGTGTTTATCCTACTTTATCTACGACTTGATGGAGATTCTCCCACTCTGTTTTTTAAATCAAATGGCGCTCATCGCAGATTGAAAAAGACGACATATCACTCGATAATTGCAGCCGCACTTCGATGGAACCAGAGGGACTATGGAAGTCATAGGGTGTGCCAAGGACCGAGTTCGAGGAATCCAGAAGGTCAGAGTTCGGTGACACTTTATTGAGCACGAAGATAATTCGGTTCCCGTGTTCATTTGTGCGTAAGCCATTCATCCAGATGATCCGTCCCAATGACCCGATGGCTATTTTAGTTGAGCTGGGGAGCTGAGTACTGAGGAGGTGGGACGAACTCAGAGAGAAAGAAGTATGTGAAATACGTCAGTGATTGGTTGACTCGCGCAGCACCTTGGATCCATTTCAAGAATAGTTCCAATCAATTCTAGCACCGTTACACTAATACAAGTGTTGAACAAGGGCTCGAAAAGGAATTTGCGAGTCAGTGACGAATATCCTCGATCCACTGTCGATGCAAATTTTCTACGAATATTACAGAAGAATCATGTCATAAAGGTATGGCTTGGCAACTCGATCGGATCTGCAGTACTCAAATGGATTAAACGCACATTGTCTCATCAAGACTCTGCTACGGATTCCAAATTGGTCTGTGTTTGAGAAAGCCGTTAGACTGAACTGTTGGTCATGCTTTTGGGTGCTTCTTTGACGGCCTCTTTTCGGCTTCTATTTTAAGCCTTCCCTGATATTTTATTTTGGACCGCCAATGCCAATTTATAGTCTCAACTTTGAAGGTCGTGTTGGCACAAGCATATTAATACGAAGCTCTCTTGCAAAGCCTACCTGTTTTGCGCTGTATCCTGTGAATTCAATTTCTGTGCTGTCATGAGTAGAAGTAAAACCCGACTATTACGGCGCAAGTCCCTCTTACGTAGGATTCGCCGTCGTAGGGTGAGACCAACCACCCGCCGTCCCAAATTTTTACAGCCTTCAAATAATGGTGAGTGGCATCCGTCTCATATGATAAATTTTGTCGTCGCTTCTATGGAAGTGTTAAGTGGTAGAGTAAATAGCCGGCTATGTATTGATCCGGTGAAAGTCATTTTAGAAAAGGAGTACTTTGACCTCAAACTCTCACCACAACGACCGATTGAGAACATGCTTTCACCCAGTAGAGGAAGCCAGCGCGATTCACCCACGAAAGACGCAGAAACGATCCTCAAACCCTGAGATGTCTAAACTGGTGTATCGCCCTTGCTATATATTGAAGACCGCAGTACAAGGGCACTCGAGCTTGCTGCTTCGGTGCCTCATCATTGATGCAATTATTATGCCATCAGCTCCTGTCTTGTTATCGACTATGTGATTGCCCCTAGTTGAGAAAATGAAATTCCTTCCCTCTTTTCGCACTGGGCTTCGCCAAATCCTCTCCCATCCCCTGCCCGGCTGTGGAATCTCTTGCTTCTAAGCGGCTGGATGGACCCGTGCACCTATACTCCCATCTTCAATGGTAAGGTGTGGATGTCAGACCTCGTGAATAATGCATCAATGCCAGCATCAGGCCGGTTATTGGTCATCAAGCCTTGACCGCTCGGCCTTGCAAGCGCGGACACTTCGCGCATTCCTTCGCTTCTGCCGTTGGTCCTTTCGCACCACCCAGGTTTCCATGATATCCAGCCGATGATCCCTATTGCTAATATAAAACGGGAGCGGCAGCCTCCTTTTGATCGAATTACACGTTGCTCATTTTTCAAGTGGAGACAGGCGAGGTAGACCCCAAGGATGTCGCTGGCTGTGAATAAAGGTTCTACCCACGCGATTTTCCAGCTAATGTGACAAAGGTGTGAAATCAGTCCCGGGTGATTTCTCGATTCTCATGCCCCCCACCCCTCTTCAAATGATGCCCCTTTAATCTTCATGGCTGTGAGTCGCCATGCTCATTACCATTGTGAAGAACATCGTCCATGTCAGCCTGCATGTGTGCTGCCATTATGTCTTTCAGTATAGGTATCGCCGCTGCGTCCGTAGCTATCCTTTGTTTCATATGATCCTGACTGAATGTTATTGACTGAAATGCCTCGTCGAGAACTAACGATACTCACGTATGCCCAATTGGCGAGGTTTTCGAGGAATCCCCGATACAGAATATCAGCCATCTGGGGGGTAAGTCCGGCCGGGACGCTTGTGGGGCCGTATGTCGGAGGAGGATTATCATGGAACATAGAATCGATAGGCAAGAAGCCGCCGAAGACGGTGTCAGGCATGGGAACGTCTTGACCGTGCAGTGGGACCTGCTGGGTAGAGCCCCGCGTGGAGTATCGTGGTGATGGTCCTGGTTCTTGGAATTGTGGCTGTGTCACATCATTATTCTCCGGTGACTGTCGGTCTCTTCTTGTCCTTCCAGACGATCCAGCCATTGTGGTATTGAATGTGATGAGAGGGCCACTACGGAGATGTGGTTCAGGCGAGCGTTTTATAGTACTTTTTGAACCCTCCGAGATCCCGTCCCAACATGAACCGCATCACCTGAATGGCTGTAACAGGTGGGAACGAATTGGTCCTCGGGGGCAGTTTGGCGTGTGGGCATGCATTAGCTTCATGGCCGGGGTACTTGATTCAGGCTAGAAAGACATGGATATCGGAATTGGACATCCTGGCATCTCGCTCTTCGGTACTCGTTGGCGTGATCAAAGAAAAGTCGACTTGGGTATATCAGCACCCCCCCAACTCACTGTGGCAACATGGTTGCCTTGATAAACATGGAAGTGTAAGTTTTCATCCTACCACGAATTTCCTTTGGAGATCAACTGAAGCAACACACATCTGAATCACTTCCAAGTACGAAGCTGGTCAAAATCCGGCAACTTGAGGTCTCGGCCAGATGTCCATATCATTCGCTGCTGGGGGTGTGTCAAATGTACAGTACTTTTGCCACGGACCTGTTTAGCCGCGCCTAGACGCATCTCTCTGATCGTGAACGGCTGGTGGTGATCTCGTGGGATCCGCAGTTCAGTCGGGTGGGTGGGGTTGACCAGCGACCCATTTTCGTGTCGCCCGTTAGTTCCACCAGCGCTTTTCTTCCTGTCATTGATATGCCGAACGAGAAAAGAGACGACTGGATTGAAGTGGAATCGGATTTACCCCTGACTCGCCGCAGGCGAAGGATCGGCCGTTGGTGGAGCTTGACTAGACTCGAGATTCGCACCAGAGTCCAGCCATGTTGCGCAGTCAACGTGCAGGAGGTTTGCTGGGTGGTGGGGAAGCGAGCTTTTCTCCGAGGGTCTGATTGGACAATGGATGTAGTCGTTTAGTGGATACACAACCTTGTTCGCTTGGAAGGGCTACGATCCTCATTCGCAGGCCGGCCTAGTCAGAATGTGGGCCGCAAAAAAGGAGTTCTTGGTATGCGATCTTATCGTTTGTCTGTTCACAACGGGCCAGGCATGAATTACCGTGCTTTAGCGGACTCAGCCGAATGCAATGTCACCATTCCAGACTAGCGGCTTTCCCAGATCCTACAGAAGCGACCTTTCGGCAGGTACTTTCCCATTCATGGAGACATAACGCTGCCCAGCAGTGCAATCGTATTGAACGCAAGTGGCTGACATCATTGTCCCTTTCCGAGATTCAGTCGAGAGGGTTGGTCAAGGATGGACGAGGGTAGCAGATAGCGGCTCAACCTACGTACCATCTTCATTTGGGCCACGGTCAGCCTTAGCGCGTTGATGTAATGCAGGCGGCTTTAATAAGGTACCGACTGTTCGTACTGTAGAGGTTGTATTTCAGGAATTCAGGGGCTAGGTGGCTTGCTAGGTCGTTCCAAGGTTATATCCGGTGCGGGGCTCGCCCCTCACCGTTTTTCGGCCAATCGTTTCGGCTGCGGTGAATGGCTATTCGTTAAGCACAAGGCAGGCACCTGTCATTGGATCCCGGCCTTCGTGTCTCCTGTCCGTTTAATTTCATCTTCGTCGATCGAGGTTGCATTGGTGGACGGAGCCCATCGAGAGCTGAGGGTCACTGTGCAATCTTGTAAACGTAATATTTGGAGATGGAATGGTCGATCGATGGCTTTCACATAGTACATACATAGCTCAAGTGGCGTGTGTTCTACGGAATAACGTAGCCGGATTTCATTTCGTGCAGCCAGCTTTAACCTACTTGCATGAAACGATGGGACCCCCAACCAGCGAGTTTTCCTATCTCCTTGTGTCGCCGCATACCAAATAAAGCCACAAGTAGCATGGTCTCATCCGTGGATCTTTGGTGATTCACAAGCGAACGGCTACATACAGATCTGATGCAGGTGTGGATGAGTATGTGCCTACAGGTCCAAGAGATTGCAATAAGAGGGGCAACCTAGCAAATCGATCTAGCGCCATCACAGGGGAAGCATACGCTTGATTTACCAACACCAACCGGCGGAGGGGCCGGCCAGTCGTCTTGGCATTCCGAAGATGAGTTACGTCATGTCAATGGGAAGCCGATCACTTCTACGCCTGGGAACCCAGCATGTGGTGCCTGCCCCTGACACGAGCTTACTAAAAATGATTTCCCACGGCCTTACAGGTTTGGTAGAGCCGTTATTGGATTGTCGCCGGAGAGATAACGGGTGAAATAATCGACCAGGGGCACATCTGAGAGAACGTTTAGAGTTTCCATCAGAGCATATCATTCCGATTGGCAAACTAAACCTACTGCTTGTCAGCGCCTTTTCAGCTTCCCGCGGGATGATCCCAAGGATTCTACAGAGTCCGCTTGAAGCAATCTGTTGCAACAGAATGCCGAGAAGAGAAGCAGTAGGTATCACCCCGCTATTCGCCTCCCTCCCTTTCCCTTTTCCTCCCTCCTGGCGAATGAGGAAATGCCCGTCTTCTGTACTGACGGCTACGTCGAAATGGGAAACCACACCGTGGACACGGCGTGATAAACCCTCAATAGGCTTTCTTTTCTCACTCGCCACTGGCCGTTCGACGCTCGCAGTAACAGCTTTCCTGTCATTGTGAAGCAAACCGATGAAAAAGACAGAGTTTGTTGCTTTATAACTGTGTCTAGGCTCCCCGTTGGGACTTTTCTGTCTTGTGGAGCAGTCTAAAATTGACTGTCCAACAAATCTATCCCTCTTTGTCCCGAGAACGAGCCGCTCGGCGGTAGCGAAATCCAGGAATGCCCCGTGTATGGAGCTCATCTTGCCGTGTGAGACTAGGTACACTGGTGAGATCTCTTACTAGCTCAAGCCCGTGATTCTTCAAGTGCCCGAATTTTTTGGATCTCCTCCAAGGCTGTATACAAACACCTCTCCTGCGTTTTGCGAAAGATGAGAGCCGGTCTATCTCTATCTCTAATTGGTTGATGGATCACGAAGATTCTACTCTTGATGTTCTTCTGCGACGCCGTATGCATTTGTCCCTTCCGATAGCGAAGCCGGGATCCTGATACTCAACAAATTCCATATCAAATGTAGACTCATGAACCTTCTACTTGGGAAGTCATATCTAAGTCTACCAGATCACGTTGTGAATTACAGTAAGGGATACTACCCCACATGAAAAGGCAGATGCCTCCTTGTCAGCGTGTCTTTCCAATTTTAGCACTTGAGTCTTGAGGAGAGTTGATAGCACCATTCTAGAATATACACCATATCAATCACGGAATCCTGACAATTTGCGTACTTAGGTATAGCCAAGGACTATTTTCGGATGCTTCCAAGGTTATCATTGTATATATTATGAATCACCTAAGGCTAAGTCTATATATATGATGTTATTTAAACGGTGGCGGAACGATAGTTCATAAATCAACAAATTATGTGGTAGTCACACAGTGGCTCCATAAACAACGACTAATTACTCTGTAAAGGGCACTAGTTAGGATCTCCAAACTAACCTAAGATACGGAGTACGCGGGAGTCTGATCCACGGGCCCCGAGCCAATCATTACTCAGCAAGCCTTGAGTCCACCACGGGTGGATTTGGAATCTGCCAGGTCCCGCCCTCAGGTATTCTCGGGCGGCTTCCAAAAGAGTCCGTTTTGTGTATTCTTGACCTCTCAGGTTGTATTACCCTGTCTTGACATGTAAAAAACTCATTCCTCTTGTATCAGGGTCTGGTAACTACAGTCTAATTCTCGCAACCCTTCAGGGAACTGGGCCGGAACTCGGCACAGGAACGGCGCCAACTTCGGTTATACTTCCTGTAAAGGACGAGAATGACGATTGTGTGCGCTCCTCACAAGGGTAGACGGCCACTGTACACGGAATACGGTGAGAGCTAGCCCACTAATCAGGGCCCGGGCGCAGCGCAACGGAAACAGAAAACAGACTAAGTGGGGTGCGCATATATGGTCGATCACGTGACAATCACACGTGTGAGTCGGGTGAAACAACGCCCCGACCTCACCCAACAATTACGGAGTTCTTTTGTCGTCATGGCGGAGTCGTGCAGCGAGCAAGCGTGCGAGGTAGTCCCGATCACGATTGATATCGGTTGCTCCAATATTAAAGCCTTCCTCTCCGAGAATCCCGACTTTGATTCGGTCGACTAATCCCTGGAGTTCCCGTCGAGCGAAGACGACAGAAGAAGAACGACCACCGAACTCGTTACTACCATCGTCTTCTCTGCAAACGGTCAAGACTGCATCTTCGGTTCCAATGGCGGGTCTTTGTCGGGCCGTCATGTGATCGTGGATTGGAAATTCGGTGCGATGGGTTTGGAACCGTATGCCAGCCGGCTAGCCACCGCCTGTGGGGAGCTCCGACAATCCGCGCCACAGCTCGGAGAGATCAATCCGACGACAATCTACCGCAAGCTCTTCTCGCACATCGTGGACACAGCCCAGGGACGGATGTACTGAAGACACGGTCGCAGATTCGATGGGATAGAATGCTACCTCACATACCCGGTCAGCTGCAGTGAGTCGCTGAAACTTCTTCTTTACCACGAGGCTACCGCGGTCGGGTTGAATGTCCTGGGAGGCGTGTCGGAGCCATTGGCGACTTCCTACTACATCAAATCCAAGACAAGCCTCAAGCTCCAATCCGGCGCCAAAATGATCATTGATTCTGGTGATGCCACCGTTGTATGATATCTTGGGTCATTCCTTCGAGTCACGTGACTGATCCTCTTTACAGGATGCTTCAGTTGGGTATGAGGACAGCATGGGCTGCATCATGCAGGCTTGCGCAAGTGACGGTCTGCGTCCCCGGCTGATGTCAAATCCGGATGCCTTGCTGATTGAATGTAGGGTTTCCTGAAGGTGGACAAAAGATCAACGAAGAGGCGCGTTCGTGGCTTCAGTACCAGTACCATGGTTAGGCGGAACTCGGCCACGATATCCAGTGGGCCCTGGACACATCGTGATACGTTATGGAGATGGCAAGGCTGCCACTATATCATCGTAAGTCTTTCGCCGCTTTGGGCCAAAGTGAGAGGTTTCTTGCCATAGACGGGGTGCCTGATCGAAAGCTTATGAGCATACTTCTCTCAGCGATACCACGAAATCATTCTTCGAGCCTCTGATTTCGAGGGGTGTGGCGCTAGCTGAAAACATGTGCAACCGGGCAAGGCTTGTTGGGCACCCTGTCAATACAATACTGGTCTGCGGTGGTGTTACGGGAAATCGCTGGTTTTTCCAGGAATTCGAGCAGCGACAGCTCTCTCAGACCGGCATCGCCATATGCATCCAGGTACCAGAGTAGGTCCACGATCATCACTCCGTGGTAGAAAGCAGCTGACACGTGTCATCACTCCTCCTAGGTCTGAGATCATTGCAAATGGAGCACTCGCGTACTCTCGCAGTCCTATTGTTGAAGCACATGTCATCGCGCAACGCCTTGGTCTGAGCTACATCGGAGACTATACAAAAAGCGGGAGGCGCCTGAAGTGTCGAGTGTGGCGCACCGGTATAGGGTGGTTCCTCTCTGAGGTGGGTCGGGACTTTGTTCGCCGAGAGCTGGCAGATTATTGATATTCTGACTTGTAGTTCACAGGGTCAACCAGCCACGGACCTGCCACGCCAACTAATATTTACTAAGGACATCGAACCGGGCACCGATGACGAAGCTGATCACTTGATCGAGACTGTACGCCACCTACGTGGATTCGAGAGAACTCGGCCAACACATCCGGAAAACGACCTTGTTGACTGGGACTGTGAGATCACATACCCGGTCACGGACTCGATCCTTTCCACTTTGTCACACTTGGGCACAATTTCCGGGATCTTTCCACATGAAAAACTGTTTCCCCTCGCGACTGAAATGCACGAATCAGAATTCGAGCTCCAGATTACCCTCCAGGCCTATAACAACCTGTTGGAGGCTCAGTTTGCTGTCAAGCTTCCGAGCGGGATTCTATGTCCATTAAAGGACGTGCGTTACTATCCTTTACAATTGGCACCCAGATCTGAACTTCTGAATCGGGGTGCTCTTTCCGATCAAATTCCGGTCAACGGAACTGCCAGAGATGAACCGCGGTCAATCCATGAGCAGCAGAATCTTACTTTATCTGGTTCTTCTCTCTGGGTGTCCCCGGGAAGCCGTGGTCCATCCACACTGGCACGAAATGAACATGCTGCGCGTGGTATAAGCACATCGGGTGCGTCTCATTTCAACTCAACTACTTCTGAAAGGACCATTATCCCATTTTCAGAACACAATATCACCTAAGCCAAGACTGCAACAAGCTTCGTCCGGGTAAGGACTGCGACGAGCTTTGTTCCTCTTGAGGCCTCAGCAAGTTCCACTCATGTGGAGACTGCGACAAGCTTTACCAACATCTCAGTCAACAACCCCCCAAATAAGGTTAACAATGACCTGCTAGACAGGCAACCTGAACCCGGCTATCGCCGCCTTGCACACCAGCAGGCCACCGTAAGTCAAGTATCCTGAGAGGCTTTTGTGAACCAAGATGGGTGCTGTGCCGCCGTGCTTGATTACTCTTGACATCGTCTATAAAGGAGGCGCATCGGGGTTAGCGTAGCTACAAAGACTGCTCCATGTATAGCCCAAACTCGAGAGTGATAGACACTATGAGGATATCTGAAAGCACTGCTGGGGCTAGTCTAGATTACTTCCTTTCTAAATGAAATGATATTGGCAGCTGCCTTGAGGAGGACAAAATCGGCTAGTTGACGTGATCATCACCAAACCCCTCCATAGACAAAGTGGCATCACGTTACGACGCAAATTTCTGGCTGTTGCCATCAATGCCATCGCCCCGCCCGAGGAAACCGACCTGAAGGGCGGGAGATGTTGCAAATTAAGTTCACGTCAAAATGGCTCATTGGCGTATTTCTTTCCTCCCCTGCGATTGCTGCCTAGTCATGGTGTTGTGATATGGAACTGGTGCAGATCAGGAACCAAGCCGCGCCGTCGGAATTAGATTCGAAGTATCTATACAGACGACCAAGTTGATTGGAAATCAACTTGGGTAATTATTGTATATATAGGCTCATGTATCCCTCTGAGATAATAAGATAATTTATACCTCTGAACAACAACATATGGGCGGCTCCAATCAACACCACGATGTGCAATTGGAACGGTTTCCGTGGTAAGTCACCATATTCGGGGTATGAGACCACCCGAGCATTGTGATGATTAGAGCAAGGCTTCCAAGCATGGCAAACTATCATGTTGAACGGCGGATGATTGTGGTGGCGGAGGCTCGTATTTACGCTGATCCTTATAGAACCATCACTGATGTGTCCGAAGCGGATATTGGACCCTATGGTGTTCCAACAAGTGATGGCAAGTAACCGACCGCGCTTACAACTGGTCGCATCGAGCGTACACTGATAGTTCTCACCAGGAAACCCTGGGGGCACGTTCTACAACTTGTCACTCGCCAATGGTTTCAATGTTGGGACATCCAACTTATCCGGTCTATTCACAAAGGTCCCTGACCCCACTGCCGGCTACGCCAATTTCGAGGGTGGTGCAATGTTTGGGAACGACCGAGAAATCATCCTTTACGGGTGAGCAGTGCAACCCCGCGCCGTTCGGAAAGAGTGCTCTAACAGCCCCACCACAGAGGATTGACCCGGCCAACGGACAGCGAGGGTGTTCCCCGCGCGAGCGAGGCGTTGGGATATCGATATTGGCATACAAGCTTGGACCGTGATGAGGAGTCATTCTTCAACTCTACATTACCAAGCACTATCACTCGCCACGTCACAGATGGAGGTAAAACCTCTGCCCCAAGCGAAGATCTGGCGTTTTACTTTGGGGGCATGCGAGGCCGAGACTGGGGTCCCATCACGTCGGATGACGGGTCCGCGAACACCTCGGCGGGAACACTGATCTTGGCGAATCTGACGGTGGCCGGGGATCACAAACTTTGGCGGAACCTGACACTGCCAAAGCATGTTGGAAGCCGAGCGAATCCGCAACTGGTCTGGATTCCTGTCTCTCAGAAAGGGGTGCTTGCAGTGATTGGCGGAGTCCAATACCCAGAGAGTCTCTATCACTCCGGTCTGTCTTCCGCGCAGAAAGAGCAGGATGTGAGACCAGACCACCTCATCTTGTTGTAGTTCAGAGGTATGAATTAAGTTGTTATCTCGGAGGGATACATGAGCCTATATATACAACAATTACCCAAGTTGATTGAAAATCAACTTGGTCGTCTGTATAGATACTTCGAATCTAATTCCGACGGCGCGGCTTGGTTCCTGATCTGCACCAGCCTCATATCACAACACATCTAACTCGAGGGGCGTATTAACTACCCGAGTGCAGTCACTGGTTGACTCAGGATTCATGTCCACCATCCTAATATATGATATCGCACACGACAAGTGGTATGTACGCCTCTAGCTGCGAGGGCTGAGCAGGAGCTCAACTACTCTGACAATCAACAGGTATCTTCAAAACACCACAGGTGACATTCCCTCGGGCGGTCGGGCTTCCTTTTGCTCCACCCTCGCTTCTGCATCAGACGGAAGCTCCCACAATATTTACATCTACGGGGGTTACAATGGGCAGGATCCTACCGCTGATTTCTATGACGATGTGTATATCCTCTCCTTGCCATTTTCGTGTGGATCAAAGCCTACGCCGGGCGGTCTCGCCATGGTCGTGTCCTGCCGAGCCACATGTTAGTGGTCGGAGGTCTGTACGAGGATCCATCTCTCTGTCTGGATGGTGGAATTCTACAAACGTTCAGTCTCAGTGACTTGGAGTTTCAGAAGACATACGCGCCCAACGCCATTGAGGAATACCTTGTGCCAAGTATGGTGGCTCGGCAGATTGGTGGGACGTAGGTCTCATCTCCTCTGACGAATCTAGCTCTGTCGCTAACCGAAGCAGAGCAAAAGGGAACGCCAATCGAGCCGCACCCGCGTCGAGGGGAGATCCCCGGCTCAAGTCCCTTTTTGGGGCGCCGTACACGAAGACGATCACCACCTGGTACCCATATGCAACTTCTGCAAAGCCTTTGCACCCAAAAACAACGGCTTCTCAAGGGTCCACGTCGCAAGGAGACGGCTAGATAATTCCGGTCGCTGTTGGCGTTGCGATCCCTACTTTTGGAGCCGCTTGCATGGTGATCACATGGCTTGTCATCAGACGTAAGCGCCCACGTCATGATCTTCGCTGCTGTAGGTCTCGGGGGCGCCAATTGCTACATGCGCTGGGCCTTGGACCCAGTCCGTCTGGGCCAATTGAGGCTGATGGGGTCCCAGTAGAGTCGCGGCCTACGGCACGCTCTGTCCGAGTGCTGGGCAGCCAATTAAACGAGCTGCCGGCACATGAGTACTACCTACATACTTCGCTGAGTGTCAGCGGTATCAGCTAGTATATGTTGATGAAAACGTTACTGTATTGTGGTTGTATTGGTGAAGTGCACAGCTATCGTTGAGGGCTTGTATTGGGAGGTGTCCAAGCGGGCTCACTGTTTCACAATAGAAGTCCACAATATCATCCCACGCGCTGAAAACACAGCATAGCGTATTTGAAAAACAAAACAATTGAATCACTTTATTATTGATGGTGGATAGGCAAATATAAAATTTCAAGCTGTATTGCAGTCTCTGTCAGGCAGTAAGAACCATTCTCAAGCCGAATTTTCATGAGTCGCACTGAATTCAAACGGTGCCACTATCCTTTTCGCTTTCTTGTGCTTTGCTGAAATCCCTCGGTTCCAGCTCTCCCATCCCAGGATTTCTTCCTTTGCCCGCTTGAGCAAGCAAGCTTGATTCTCAGTATGCTGCTCTAGCCTGAAAACATTCATTTGCAGCTCATCAATAAGACCTTCCAAAGATTGAGTCGATGTTCCACTTATCGATACCCTCCGGGCGAGTTTGCAGGTGACATCAACCATAAAATCACCCCCTTCTGCTATCAAAGCTCTCATACTCTCGTCTGATAGTATGGTGTATTTAAGGGCCACATATTGAGAAAGTAGTTCCCGAGCTGGATCATTCGGTTTCGACTTTGGTGTTGCGCCGTAAACCAGACGGATAGCATCTGCAAGGCCCAGGAAGAATGGATCCGTTGGTGTACCGCATTTGAGAAGAAGCTGCGTCAGGCGCTGTAAAGCCAGATCCTCGAGTCGGGAGAACAAAAACTGGTGTGCAAAGCAGTAAACCTTGGCATGCATAAGAGCGATGTCACCAAGGCCTTCATCACAAGCACTAGGTTCCTTCATGAACGCTGCTGCGGCTGTTTGCATAGTCTCTGCTGGCAAACCAGCTTGCAAACACCGACTCAAAGGTGTTAGCGGTCGTTCCGAAAGCCCTTCATTTAAGATTTTGGAGTCAGGCATCGACGACCCCACTTTGGTAGAGAGGAAGGCTGCTTGTGCTAAGAGGTCTAGTCGTTAACAGCGAACAGAATTAAAAGGGACTATGGAATGTACCCATCCGATCATCGTCTTTTCTCTCTTCAGTTTGTTCACTAACAACTGTTCGACCACGCACGTCGTAATCTTCAATGTATAGATAGCTCAAGGCGCATTCAACGGTTTCCTCATCGAATTCCGTCCAGTCAATAGCCCCACTCGTACCATTCTTAATCCACTGGTCGCTGACACGAGCTTTCAACACCGGTGAGCCGCACGACGAAAGGACTCCAGGATGAACGTAGTAAACGATTTTTTGAGGGCCAGCAATGATCTGGACTGGGCAATCCTTGAACGTACTTCATTAATGTCAGCACAAGAGAGTACAGAGTATAGGGACGTACCTACCTAGGGAATTGGTGAAAATTTGTACGCGATGCCATTGCTGAACATATCCCGGAAATTCAAAACTGATACGAAGTATCGAGAGAATGTAATGTGGTCAGAACAATTTCATCTCCAGCGAGCAGTGTGTCTTGCTGGCGACCACTCTAAGGAGCGGTGTAGACCTAGAGTGTGATGGTCCTACGGTTCACGCTGTGGAATAGCTAAATCCTAGAAACCCCGTGATTGAACGCAGTTGAACCGGGTGACGGTAACGTATTAGATTGTGCTGTCGAAAATAATGGCGGGGAAAATGTGTTGGCCTCGAGAAAGTAGGGAATCCACCACGCCGCACAATGATTGGCTGCACAAGGGTGGGGCGGCCCTGTGAATCATTTAAGTCATGGGTGGTGGAGCAGTGGGAGATCATAGTCAGATGACCCAGAGATGTCAACTGGTTTTTCCCTGGTCATGAGGGGAACGAGCGAAGCTAGGTGGGGAAGATGTCGATTTGGCCAGATCGCCCAAATCTATAGAAGGATTCTAGGTGGCTCCATGTAATATTACGGTACCGTGACAATGACTCATTGCTAGCAATACAATAATTACGATAACAGTTTTGCCAGAATTATGAGGCGGTGGACCAACCCGGCCTAGCGCCTGTAGGAATTACTTTCTCCGAATTAGACCTCGCCAAACGCGGGTTTGGGTTGGGTTTTCAATTTCCTTACCCGCCCATGGGCAACCCACCGCGGGTTTTGGACTTGATGAACCCGCCCATGGGTTCTTGGCGGGTACCCACGGGTTGCCCAAAATACCCAAAAACATGTATAAATCGTGGATGCACTTTTTTAATGATCTGGTGTAATTGCGAACGGTTTCCACAGCTGCCTACCCCGGGGAACGGCAACCTACTGGTCGCTAAGCGACTCAGGAAGAAATTCCACCATGACCTAATGATAACGAACCGGCCAGAGCTACTGATCAAGTGTCATCTCTACCACGAAAACTACGGATCCGACCACCGCACTACGTATCCCGAATGGAATCTCCACACCCATAGCAAACAAGCCACGTAGATAAGGAAAGCCTACGAACGTGCGGACTGGAACTAGATTGGCGAGGAGGTGGTACAGCGAGTCGGCCCCGGGAAAGAAATTAAAACTCGACCAGCATTGGACGAGGCTGTCCAAACCCTCACAAAGGTAACAACAGCAACAGTAAATGAGTTAACACCTGACACACGCCCAACGCCATACTCCAAATGGTGGTTCACGCCGGACCTCAAAGTTCAAAAAACCAATGTCTACCAACTACGTGGGAGATTGCAGGAGAACTGCGGAGTGCTCGGGCGAGACCATCCCAATTCCACCGTTGCCTTCCAAAAGATGCAACAAGGCCGACGAGCGTGGACTCGGACTATTGAGAAAGCCAAAACATCACATTGGAGACAGTTTCTAGACGAAGCCGGAGACGGAAAACTCTGGAAAGCGGGCACCTACGTGAAACCACGGAAGACCTGGGGGTGCGTCCCGGCACTTCAGGTTGACGACCAGGAGCTTATCGAGAACGAAGACAAGGCGTAGGCTTTCTTGGATTCTTTCTTCCCTGAAATGGATACACCCGAGGCCAACTCGACAACATCGGCACCATTGGAGCTCCCGTGGCAGCCTTTCAGTCAGCCGATTCCCATCCAATTTCGATATCTTCAAAGTCATTGTCCACAATCCGGTCAAGGCCCTTCTCCGTCCAGGCCGGTGACCGTATTTGGTTCCATCCGCTCTTTCTACTCCCTAGCGCATTGCTCCAACCGTGTGATGTTTTTATTCCACAATTTGCATCGTTTGGAGAATGAGCACTTGTGTCTCTTGGACCGAAGCGCCGTTGTTTAACAAATGGCCTATGCTATCGACCATTTGAAGAGTAGCACGAGCAGGATAACTGCCGCTTTTTTGCTGCTGGTTCAAGAACTTGAAAGGCATTTTGCCGCAGCTGGTCGTATATGTGTTTGTCCATATTTTTCCACGGTCAGATACTCTGCTTGTGAATACATAATAGCGGTGTGGACTTACACTGATCGAGAGAAACAATGGTCTGATGTGAAGCTAGATACTATCCAACGGAGAAGTGCAAGAGCGATCGGAAATGTAGAGAGAGCTAGGATCTTTTGTTCGCGATTTGGATACCAGACAGAGCAAGATGGTTATATTGACCTGAAGGTGGCGGCCGGTGATCAGGAACATGGCGCTGTATAGCACAGCTACAGAATTCTGTGATTGTTGAGCGGCTGACGGGATGGACTTTAGCGCTATCCAAGAACCCGGTGGGGGCGCGAGGTTGAGGGTTACATTTGATGCACTGGAAACTGGAGCCAATCATAGCGCCAAGGTGAGCGCCCCGCGTGCACAGACCCCACGGCCGAGTCCTCGTTCACAATTTGCTGCCAGTCAATGCTGTTTATCGTATAACCGTACCACGGTGATATGCTGTATCACCTAATCCACCCCCTGTAATTGGTACAAGAGACCGTTTTTCTGGCATTTGAAGCGATTCCATAATTCTGGGCTGTTCAGCTTGGTTGGGAACCACATGCGGCGGTAGATTCGTATGATTAGTTCCCACCTAGCCCCATATAATATGGGCGCCTAAAAACGATTGATTTTCCAGCGCTAAATAATTGGGTGACAGTCTCCTGGTATGTTTCCACATCCTTAAAGTGGGCTAAAGATGGGTCGCTGCGGTGTGACGGAGCGCGTACGTCGAAAACGAGACTGCAGATCGCGGAAGAGAAAAGGAGATCCAATTCCATTCTCCCTACAAAGGGCTCTGCCATACCATTTGCACATAAGTAATCGACGGCGGAATCTCAGACGCTGTACGAACAAGTCTTTCTCGACCCACCCAGCCTAACTTATTCGTCTACTTTGCAATCGCTGCTCCTGCTCTATTTCGTGCCTCACGCTTTCTTGTCGTCATTGAATTGTCTACGCTCCATTACTTCGATTTCAACGTACCCTCCCTACACCGAATTCTAGAGCTAGAACATCCACCCCGCATCGCAGGATACACCATTTTCCATCATACTGCTCTAAAAACAGTACACTCGCATAATTCGTCAATTTGTCCATTCGTTACTCTAAGTTTGGACTACAATCATGGAATCACTGCTCAAGGAGCAAGATGCTTTGCTGGAAGAAGTTGAAAGTGTTTTGCCCAATCTCAAAACCATACTCGGTCTTCGTGGTTGCACCTCGAGCAATACATGGAAATCTGTCGAACTCTTGATGCCTAAGACCTGGAAGTTGGTTCGGTTTTTCGAGAGCCATTACAAAACAGCTCTCGATTTCAACAATGTAGAGTCCTGGCTGGAGAATATTAAAGAGAAGATCTCCAAGCATAAGGAACATCTCAAGGATCTTTCTGAGCATGGGGTCAATTTCAACGCTCTTTCGGATCGGGACTTTGCAAAGTTAAACTTGGAAGAGATGATGAAGAAGGTGACTGTGGACAAGTCCCAATTTAAATTCATGCAGGAAATGATGCCAAGTCTTTTTGGAGTGAACTGGGCATCTCAGAGCGATGCAATCTACAGACGAGCAGAAATCGATTGGGATTCGTCGAACAAAAAGATACCTCTGGCGACCTTCAAGCTGAGCGTCAGCAAGATTGCGAATGAGGTCCTTGATCTGTGGAAAACCCTAAGGGAAAGTGGAAGCAGAATGGAATCCTTTAAAGAGCAGTGGGACAAACTTCAACCTGAGGCACGAAAGAGTTGGCTTCAACGATTTACCGAGCTCCACCGATGTCCAGGCTTGGCTATTCACATGCTGGCGCGGTACAGTAGATTTCGAAAACGGATTCCCCCATGGAAACTCTCGCGTTGTTTCTTGGCCTGTACCCGAAACCACCCTAATCCGTATTAGGTTACTTTAGTAAACAACCCCTGCTCCGCCGTATCTCAGTAAAAAAACGTATCAGGCTTTCGTGTCTAATGAGTCATTGTAAATTACCGTATACAGTCGTTCTCGAAATCGGCTTGACCAAAACACAGTGAGGAACTCTTTTCTGGACCCACTGCTAAGGCCTTAGCGCAAATCTTTTATCTAGCCAGCTGGATTTAATTGAGGGGTACCGTAAAATATTTATTGTATAGTACTGTATCTTTCCACGTAACATTACAATTTTGTAGGGAATCTAGTGGAATCCCTTCGAACGAACCACATGGTCAATGGTCCAAATCACGTGGGGAAGCTACTGACAATGAAGGGCTTAGCTAATACTCGCTCACATTAGTTAACGTAATTCACCACCGAGTGGTCCACACCAGCGAGTGGTCCAGCCCAAAACACATAGTAAATGCGATAAATTACAGCATTATATCTCAACAACGATAGTCTAAAGGCATTTTTCCTTATAGTCTAATGCTTTTTAGATGATGACTAGCCACTTTAGGGAGTTTAGAGAATTTTTATAGCTTTGTGATTAAGATATATATATTTCTGGCTCATAACAACGTAATTTTCGATACCATGACAATGCGGTAGTTCGAATTCCTTGTAATTGATATATAGTATTGACAAGTCTTATCAACAGCTATCGACAAACAATGAAGTAAAGTAAAGACGTGGTTGTTGAGATACAAGTGTAGAATATATCTCGTTTACTATGGTGTTTTGGGCTGGACCACTCGCTGGTGTGGACCACTCGGTAGTGAATTACGTTAACTAACTAGTTAACTAGCGTCTGGCGCTGGATGATTATGTCATTGGCGACGTGAGCTGTACCCTCTTACGAAAGGGCTAATATGAGGCCATGTCCTTTCACTAGCCAGGATGACTACAGCGGTTCATGAATTATTATGTTTTGTTTTTTTGGACAATGAAACACAATATGCGCGGTGCCTTGAAACTCAATTAGGTGAATTGATGCCCAATCTCACTTTTCCTTCGTCCACAGGCTTAAATCCCGAAATGAACGTATGGAACCCAATTTAATGACGACTCCGTTTCCGTATCTGCATCTCTCAGATTTCTCTCCTTCCCTTGATATGATCTTGTTTGTTTCGTCGCCATTGAAGCATATCCGTCTTGCAGGACTGCCATCCGCTTGGCTGATCTAGTTGTGTTCTCTGATATCCACATTTCACGTAGCTTCCTGCTTGCACGATGAAGGCCTTCACTGACGGAAGCGTCGGTCATCTTTCGTTTTTTCAAACAACTATAAAATATAGTTGCAACATCGACACATGCTTCGTCCTTCACCTCCCATAGAGTCCCAATAACATGCCGGAATCCAGCAATCTGATAAGCAGCGATCAGGTGAAGTGTCTCGTCGATGAGTGCATCATGTTTGATTTGTCCGGTTCCGCAAGCTGAGAGGTAGGCAAGAAAAGGATTCCGATCATGAAGTTTAGTTTCAAAGAGATCCGCCACTGCTAGCGGCCCGTCGGCCAGAACTAAAGAGCTTTTCGATGGGTCTTGTTGGTCAGTTTTTCCGTGACCAGCAAAATGGAAGATAACGCAGTTATTCAAAGCAGATAGGACATCTTCTCGGCAAGGCCGAGGCTTGCAGACTTGGACTTGTAAAAGGCCACAAAGGCTCTCTATCCTTTCCATCTCTGACCGCACATATGGAAGATCAGACTCATGCGGTGTTTTCTCCATACCAACTAAAACGGCATCCCCTAAGCCCGGTTCTGCTGCTAAAACAGAGTATCTTTGGCGGCTTTGCAAGAGCGCCCTAACAGAAGAGCTATAGGATGAAATCGCTCGGTCGAGGACAGTCTCAGACCGGTAGTAATGATAGCCTGCAGCGTGAATAGGGAATTTGGCGAGAGGTCCAGTCAGAATCCACCAGATCCGAGGCCAACAGCCATCAGGCGTTCGTGTGAGTTCTAATGCGTCGAGTACTGGATTCGCGATCGCGTCCCATAGCCACTCTAGTAATTGCGTATCTAGTGCTTCTGGTGTCGCTAAAGCTGCTTCGCGGTCTTGAATATCTGCCTTATGTAGACGAGAGAGCGGCAAGGACTTTATCCCGTGTTTCTCCACTATCAATGCATCACATCGGAGATTGCCGACATTAATAATGACAATCGGCCCTGAGGCAGCAGCAGCATGAAATTCGTCCTCGGATGGGGCCATAAGAAATCTAGCAAAGCCTGGCAAGGTTCTTATCGCCTCGATTGTTCTCTCCAATTTCTGGCTCGCGCTGTGACGTTGATTAACGCGATGCGCTATCACCGTTCGCATACTGAGCGGATCAGGTTCGCGGGTTGGAGCATTGAGTTGATTCTGGAGGTCGATGTATTCTTCTGCTAAGAGACGATGTTGCTGGAAAAGGTCGGAAGTATCGACACGCATTTCATTGATCGAACCCATGATGACACCGCGGCCAAGCTCTAGGAGTTGTAATGCCTCAAAAGGCGTTTCTCCTGCCATCAGAGCAATTCCGGCTGCATCTGAAGCCAGACCAGTAATCTCAGTGAGCAAGTATTGTTTGTCCGAGATATCTAAAGAGTTGGGCGTGAGGCGAGAAATCATAGACATTATGATAGATGCGATTTGATGTGCTGATAACCAGTTTCCTGCTTTAGTGTGTAGATTGAGTAGATGCTTGCCGGACCATAGCCGATCCAGGACACGAGATGGAAGATGGTATACCGCATTCTGATATTGTTGAATAGCGAGCTCAAGGTCTGTCTCTGCACCTGTTCTTAGGTATCTGTCGCGGTATCCATTTCCAAGAGATTGAAGCCGACGGGCCCGATCTGGATGATCTTCTGGTGTGGCCTCAAGAGCTTGTTGGAATTGTTGAATAGCGAGCTCAAGGTCTGTCTCTGCACCTGTTCTTAGGTATCTGTCGCGGTATCCTATTCCAAGAGATTCAAGCCGACGGGCCCGATCTGGATGATCTTCTGGTGTGGCCTCAAGAGCTTGTTGGAATTGTTGAATAGCGAGCTCAAGGTCGGTCTCTGCACCTGTTCTCTGGTATCTGTCGCGGTATCCTATTCCAAGAGATTCAAGCCGACCAGCCCGATCTGGATGATCTTCTGGTGTGCCCTCAAGAGCTTGTTGGAATTGTTGAATAGCGAGCTCAAGGTCGGTCTCTGCACCTGTTCTCTGGTATCTGTCACTGTATCCTGTTCCAAGAGATTCAAGCCGACGGGCCCGATCTGAATGATCTTCTGGTGTGGTCTCAAGAGCTTGTTGGAATTGTTGAATAGCGAGCTCAAGGTCGGTCTCTGCACCTGTTCTTAGGTATCTTTCGCGGTATCCATTTCCAAGAGATTGAAGCCGACCGGCCCGATCTGGATGATCTTCTGGTGTGGCCTCAAGAGCTTGTTGGAATTGTTGAATAGCGAGCTCAAGGTCGGTCTCTGCACCTGTTCTCTGGTATCTGTCGCGGTATCCTATTCCAAGAGATTGAAGCCGACGGGCCCGATCTGAATGATCTTCTGGTGTGGTCTCAAGAGCTTGTTGGAATTGTTGAATAGCGAGCTCAAGGTCGGTCTCTGCACCTGTTCTTAGGTATCTTTCGCGGTATCCTGTTCCAAGAGATTGAAGCCGACCGGTCCGATCTGGATGATCTTCTGGTGTGGCCTCAAGAGCTTGTTGGAATTGTTGAATAGCGAGCTCAAGGTCGGTCTCTGCACCTGTTCTTAGGTATATGTCACTGTATCCTATTCCAAGATTTTCAAGCCGACCAGCCCGATCTGGATAATCCTCTGGTGTGGCCTCAAGAGCTTGTTGGAATTGTTGAATAGCGAACTCAAGGTCAGTCTCTGCACCTGTTCTCTGGTATCTGTCGCGGTATCCATTTCCAAGAGATTGAAGCCGACCGGCCCGATCTGGATGACCTTCTGGTGTGGCCTCAAGAGCTTGTTGGAATTGTTGAATAGCGAGCTCAAGGTCGGTCTCTGCACCTGTTCTTAGGTATCTGTCGCGGTATCCATTTCCAAGAGATTGAAGCCGACGGGCCCGATCTGGATGATCTTCTGGTGTGCCCTCAAGAGCTTGTCGGAATTGTTGAATAGCGAACTCAAGGTCAGCCTCTGCACCTGTTCTCTGGTATCTGTCGCGGTATCCTGTTCCAAGAGATTGAAGCCGATCGGCCCGATCTGGATGATCATCTGGTGTGGCCTCAAGAGCTTGTCGGAATTGTTGAATAGCGAACTCAAGGTCAGCCTCTGCACCTGTTCTCTGGTATCTGTCGCGGTATCCATTTCCAAGAGATTGAAGCCGACCGGCCCGATCTGGATGATCATCTGGTGTGGCCTCAAGAGCTTGTTGGAATTGTTGAATAGCGAGCTCAAGGTCAGCCTCTGCACCTGTTCTCTGGTATCTGTCGCGGTATCCATTTCCAAGAGATTGAAGCCGACCGGTCCGATCTGGATGATCTTCTGGTGTGGCCTCAAGAGCTTGTTGGTTTTGTTGAATAGCATATTTTGTGTCCTTCATGCCTCCAGTTATGTTGACTTCAATTCTGTCACTATTCACTTTTGGGATTGATCAACTATCGTCGTCAATCACTTATTGTGAGAACTGATAAGAACTGGTAGGAAATGTACTCCGTTACCCTCTATGGCCGCCTCGGGGTCGAGCTGGTACTTATGCGACAGACCTAATCAAACTCCGCCCCCTGATGTTCCATCCGCATTGGATTGCTTTGGCTCGTCATCCGAGGGAAACTCGCTGGACTTTCTTAAATTGGTCCGTTGAGGTCGCCTAGTTGTAAAGTGGCGCTACTAGCTACATGCAGCTCGAAACATCTGTCGGTTTGTAGGATATCCGTATGCACTAGTACTGAGGGAAGCAATTGTCCCTTGATTGATTGAACTAACTATCCCAGAGACGACTGTCGAAGTGTCTCTAGACCTCAGGAGTGAAGGTTTTTTTGAAATGTGAATATTCCCCGAGTTGATCTGGTATACCCATGTAAAATAAGCGGGGAAATGGGTGGCCGCTGAATCATCCAATTTCTAGTGGTAAGTACCACTGCTCAGATCGACACAATCTCCTCTCCTTTACCCACAGAAACAGTTCCCATCTAATACCGTTAGAGGCGCTGATTCGCTCAGCTATCTGGTGCGGTTGAGAAGTGGGGCTAACAAGAACCTGCTTTCTTTTGGGTGGTAACTGGGAACTGGGCGAAAACATGATGCGTCAATGCGCATCCCCGAGACGTGGTGCCCTGAGGTGCCTTGGCGCCAACTCAAACAACTAGCGGAACTTTAGATTCTCTGTCAATTATATTCAACGCACGTTCTTTGTTGGCGCTTGTTGTATTCATTAAAGGGTATGTGCTGAAACGACAAATCACTCCACCTATATATGTCCACACCAGCCTCAGCATTGATAGCATGCTCAATAAAACTTTCTTGGTTGACTGTCGAACAGCCTCGATTCCCATCAATTGTTAGATTGTCTCTTGACATACCCCCTGTGTGCTCTCTACTACAGTAGCAATATGAGCCTCAGGTTGCACTGCCTCCGGAGACAAATCCTATGTAAACAGTAGCATAGCTAGGACAACGATCAGTTAGATCAGATATTGTGTGTTATTTGGAATGAAAGGGTAACGTACGTCACGCTTATAAGGATTAATTCAATCGTTTTGGATCTTGTTAACAAGGCGAAAATAAGGAGGAAAAATATCGTAGATGCCATGACAATGACAATTCGCCCCGAAGTGTTGTCAATAATATTGCATATGATCATTGGACCCAGTAGTAGGAGTATGATCAAAAGTAATAACATTGCTCTGGCGGTTTCCCGAATCTGCGTTCCAGGATGTATATAAACATTAGAATCCCTCGAAACGTTGTGGGAATGGCTCTATATAATAAATAGTCAGCTTGGCCTAGTGTTTAACTGTGGTCTTACTCTTTGGAAACTCGGCCAATATCGAATAACCTTATCTTCGATCCATGTTTCGAGCTGCACCATAGCATTGTCACCGGCGGGAGCTAGTGACACCAATTCATGATGATGAGCGAGATACGCAGTTTCATCTCGTGCCATACAGCCAGTGCTTTCCACCCAGTTACGCAGACTCTCAACGTCTCTTGGACAGGAAGGACCGACACTCAGGACGCGGCTCGTTCTCTCCATGAACTGGTCTGATTATTCTTAGCAATTGTGATATTTTGGAGACACTTGCGTTACCGTAATCAGCAAGAGCTGTATCAATCTCCGATAGAAGAGATATCCGTTCCGTGTTTCTATCACTTCGGCTTTTCCCCAGATAAAGAGGCGCAGCCTCGAGATAATCTACTTCCTCCAGTTTCTCCTCGAGGATAGACAGCTTATCTTGCTTCTGCAACAGTAGTCGAGCTCGAAGCCAGTCGAATCTTCGGCACAAAAAGTACGTATTGTGTGCTGAAAGAAGCGCGGCATAACGGGGGTATCCGGGCCTGTAATCCTCGACTGGGCTTATTAGAGTGCTAGTCCATTTGGGAGGGTAGAGAAGTGCACACTCTTTCTGTTTGATGTCCCCTCTAGAACGGCGGGTCTCGGGCATTCGTATATAGGCAGATCGGATTGGGGGGGAGGGCGACATGTTTGAAGAATCCGTGAGCTGGCACTGACGAGCGAGCATAAGGTCGCGTTTCTATGAGTTTGGAAGGCATTGATGTATTCGTCTAGGGCGACCAAGTATAATCATGTCCATGAGTTTACACAGCCACATGCGCAATGCACGAGTGCCCGATGACGACGCATTGACCACCTTGAGATCTGCGTTTGCCTTGCCGACTACAAGGCAGATTTTGGGGCTAGGCTGACTGCCATATATAGCTCCTCCTACCTCTAGGTATAGTTGAGCTAATTATCTGCACTAGCAAAATTCGTAAAGAACCGCCGCAGCTGCCCTTTCAAACCCTTCCTTTCAACCGCTTCAGCCTCAAGAGAAATGTCTTCCAAAGCGTATGTATACCAGCCTATCATGGTCTATATAATATTTTGACATGAACTAGGGAAACCCAAGATAAGTTTATCTTTTCAGATGAGGAAGATCGCCCATATATCGCTAGTTCTCAAGTGAGTCACCCTAGCCGACAGGTTAGTAGTTATGTATCAAGCTCACTCAAAACTAGGGTCCAAGATTTCGAGTGGGAGATAAGGTCAACCTGCTAAACTCTGACGGATCTGATGATGGCCCATTTTTTGTGGCATCAGTAATCTCTGCGGAGAAGTGTACTCTTAGCCTTGAGAACGGGCAGACTGCTAGGAATGGCGAGGTAATACCGATGGCGAAACTCGAGGCTGCATGAGAAAAGTGGGGCTTTCACCTCTCCCCCAATAGAATTTTTCCACGTCAATAGGAGGCAACCAGAGAAGGCCCAAGTCTCTCGATAGCAAAAGATGCCTACATGGTTTTCACAGCCCCCCATCAGCTTTCTGCCCAACAGCAATGCTTACACCGGTGTGCCTGGTCTGAGCCGCATCTGATCATATTGTCACTGGTATACAAGAAATTAGCCTCATTCCAAGAACTTTCAAGATAAAGTAAACACGATCTTTGAGCTCTTCTCCCTCCCCAGCCGACCATTATACAGTATACGGTCCCCGCTTTCGATTTTCATAACTTGCGCTAGTGCCCTTCTACCATTATGGACAACCAGCATGCAGTAACAAGGCATTATGCGATCCTCATCGGCATTGATGCTTATCCCCGCGGATCCTTGACCAGCTGCGTACGAGATGTAACAAGGATCAAGGAATGCCTCGAGGATAAACTGAGTTCGGTGCATGTCCGGACTTTGACAGCAAGCAAGAGCTCCGATCCGGAGATAGTTACTCCACGTGAAGACCCAGCATGCTGGCCGACATGTCGCAATGTGACCTCGGCTTTTGAAGCCATTACATCTCAGGCAGAGCCGGGAGATTCCGTTTACATCCATTACTCAGGGCACGGCACTAGACTTGATCCGTGCTTTGACTTCTCAAACCAGTCCACCGGGGATTTGGCACTGGTTCTTCTCAAAGGAGATCAAAGCCCAGAGGAATATCTAAAGGGACTACGGTTGGCCTGCTTTCTCAAAAAAATGGTTGACAAGAATTTGAAAGTCACTCTTGTTCTGGACTGCTGTTTCTCTGCGACAGTATACCGCAATGGTGGACCTAGTGTCCGATACCTCCCATGCGACCTCGTGACAGCCCCATCGACTTTACTAGACCCTGAGATCAGCTTCAGAGGTGGAAATCCTTGTTCTGCGAAGCGCAATGGATCTATGCGCGACAACTGGCTAGTGGAACCTAACCGCTATGCAATACTCGCTGCTTGCGGGCCTGACGAGAACGCTAAAGGAGGCTCCGAAACATCCGAAAAGGGGCTAACATACGGAGTCTTGTCCTACTTCTTACTTCGAACAATTTCTGCTCACGGGCTTGGGTGGAGACACAGGGACATACATCATCATATACGTGCTATTTTCTGGGAATCCTGTATCGCGCAACATCCTGTCCTGTACGGGAACGCGGACCAAGGCTTCTTCGGTCCAGTCCAAACGCACCGCGGTGTAAGGTCAGCCCGCATCGTCCAGCGTGAGGGAATCATTCAAATACTAGCCGGCCAAGCGCACGGCGTCCGTGATGGCGACCAGTTTACTGTGTTTTTTCCAACATCGACAAGCGGTGATGGGAATGAGGAAAGATTGATCGCCAAGATAATCCAAGTTGGCGGTCTTACGTCTCAGTTAGAGCTGCTGGATCCCCATCGAAAAGTTCAGACAGGATGGATCGCAGAGCCACTCACTTGTGCGTATCTCGCGCAATTCCCCATTCACTTGGCGCCCGACCTCCCACATCGTGATGAATGGTTGGCAGCACTGAAGGAACGGTCACTTAGTACCAACATCAACACTCCCCAGATCCCAGTATTCCACGTCGTGTTGAAGAACATCGATGAATACGAGATCCTAGACAGCTCTGGTCAAAATTTGATCAATTTGCCAGCCTTGCCCCGAGACCAAGTGGACACTGGCCGCATCTGCGATGTGCTAGAGCATTTGACCAGGTTCAAAGCGACCAAGGAATTGAATAATCAGGTGCCTAATGCTGCATTCCGAACGTCATTTGACGTTCAGATAGTCAACGATGGAGCAGTGTTCGGTCCAGAGGAACAGATAGAGGTGCGACACAACACCCCTCTCGAATTAACCATAAACAACAAAGGCGACACAACTCTGTATGCGCATGTTTATAATCTCGGCCCGTGTTGGAGGGTCAAAGGGATTATCCGAGCAACCTACGAGGCGATTCCTCCACGGAAAGATCCCCACAATGGCAGCTTGTCACTTCCAGGAAAGTTGTCAAGGAGGATCAGGATGACAGTGCCTCCCATAATGAAGGACTATGGTTCATGCGAGGATATCATCAAGGTCTTCGTAACATCCCAGCCGACATCGTTTGACTTGCTAGAGCTACCCAAACTTGGTGGGCTAACAGATATATTTTCGGGCAATAGGGGCAGCCAGTATTCCAGCTCCGCATCGGGGGATTGGATGGCAGTGAATTTCTCGATTCGTACATTAGCCTGAGTAAGAGCTGTTAAAGACCAGGGAGTCCTATTTTAAATATACAGTGATTCTTGCACAGAAGATGAGTGTTGTACTTATTGTGTTTACTACCAATCATCTATCTGTTCTTCGTTTGCCTGTTGTAAAGACGATCAAGAATCGGTAGAGTAAGCCTTCCAGTGAAAGGGTTTTGCTCTTGGTGACTTATTAACTCCGCAAATATTCGAGAGGGTGTCGATATCCCAGTTCCATCAAATCCATTTAGCCGGAATAAGCGTTTCTCAGGCCGATAGGACCTATATTTGATTTCGCACCATTTGCTGCCATCTTTGTGATGTCATCTTGCTCAGGTAATTGTCGGTCCGTTCAGGACTGCCTGAGCTCGCGCTGAGTGTCCACGTAGCGCTGACAAATAAGATATAATATCTGGTCGAATAAAATGACAAGGCCTCATATCACTAGCCCTTTCGTAACGACAGGCTAATGTGTGCGAGTATTAGTTAAGCCCTTCGCGCTTAGTAGCTTCCCCATATGATTTGGACCATTGACCATGTGGTTCGTTCGAAGGGATTCCACTAGATTCCCTACAAAATTGTAATGTTACGTGGAAAGATACAGTACTATACAATAAATATTTTACGGTGCCCCTCAATTAAATCCAGCTGGCTAGATAAAAGATTTGCGCTAAGGCCTTAGCAGTGGGTCCAGAAAAGAGTTCCTCACTGTGTTTTGGTCAAGCCGATTTCGAGAACGACTGTACCCCCATGGAATGTTCGAGGAAGATAATCTCAATAGGCGGGGAGACATGGCGATCTGGCTTGAGCCAAGCCCACTCCCTTTCTTCCTGTTCTTCCGTCTCTTGCGCAGCCTTCGTCTTCATCAGCTCTTTTCATGACGAAGACTGTGTTACTGCTGTAGAGGACCGATACCGGTAGTCTAATATCGTTCTCTTTTTGCTTCCCATGGCTCTAGCTCCCCTATTGTCGCTTTCATTCATTATTGGGCCCATCTACCCACAGATTTTACCATCAACTTATGCACCTTTGGGCTTTGATCGTGTGTAGATATGAACGGAAGCCCGTACCACTACGTTTACATTTCTCAACCCCAAGAGCTCGAACAATGGGAACATGATTCACGGTATTCCCCACCTACCCCGGGATACTTCCGAAGCCCTTGTGCTACACAGTCCAACTGCAGTCCTTCTCCAACTATCCTACTCGACGATGAGCCCAACCCGGAAAGCCAGCCTCGACCAAATATTATACCTCTGCTCCAGGAATCTGAATGGGAGAAAGACAAGACCTACGACGAGGATCCACCAAGCTGTATCCACTATTCCATAGAATAGCGAGTCACGCTTAACAACAAGGCTGTGGTAAAGGACACCGAAGAGGACCTGGTATTGGCCCCGAGCGACTACTGGCGGTTATTCTTGGAAGATAAGCTAGAAAATGTACTTCGAGAGAAAGTTTCCCGCAACAAGAGGGTCAGGGTCGATAACACGGCGATCGTTGTATCAGTCAATGATCGTTCCCAACGTGATCTGACCAAACGGTTCAACAAAACCGAAATTGTTTAGGCTCCTATCGAGAAGCAGCTTCGGATGTATCGACACATTTCTGTCGTGGAAAGAGACTCACGGTGAGGATCTATTTCAATTACGTAGAGGATTGCACTTCTCTATCCGCTGGACAGAAAGGGGAGAAGAGAGGTAAATCTTCTGTCACACAGAGGATACTTAATAATCGGGATGCCCAGCTAGACGCTGAAGAAAATACATCCGGTCAGCAATCAATTTAGCATCGCGTTTATAACTTGATAAAATGTGACTCAGCTGCATACCACTTAGGCCCCTCCTATTGGCTAGATCCAAAGGGGAAAAAGCATTATCGACTTCGCACGCAAACTCTCAGACGCTTGGTCACCTATGTGGAGAAAGGTGGTTTCCTAGAGACGCACAAAGACATTCCGGAGGAAATCTGGGACGAGCTCTATATGGAGGATCAGCAGAAGCAGGAGAAAGAAAAACGCAAGGGCGGTCATATTCATGGCGGTGAAATACCGTATCCCCCCATCAACATCAATGTTCACCCATCACACTCTGCTAGCTTGGCGACAACAGCTCCTACCGTTGATTCAGCTGAGCTAAAAGGTGTTTCACTGAAGATTCCCGGGTTCAAAGACGTAGCTGTCAGAGAATACGGTGAGTGGCTTGCATCAAATGTATCCAATGATAGCCTAAAAGCTGGATATCGACAAGCATGTGATATAACACTGTCAGATGGCTTTGAACTTGAGCACATCTACAGTGATCAAAACCCAGATTTCTTTGTCGGCAAGGGTATCAAGCCCGGGATAGCCCGGAGTTTCGTAGAGAATATTCGTGACTGGGTTGAGAATGTGAAGAAGGGAATACCCGTTATTCAAATGGCATAGAAATATGTGTTGGCATTGGGTATTGGCATGTTTGGATTCGATTTGTATGCATTGTTGTATTAGATGTCACGCCTCTCCGTAGTTAGTGAGAGAGCGATCTATGATCTATTTGCTTAATTTATTCATTAATCTTGAGCGTTACTAAGCAAATAAAGTGCCTCCTTTACAGTAAGGCGACGAGACGATAAGAATCGCATCAATGCTTGGGTCACATGAAGGAGCCATGTCTTTGCACCCTGGTGATTGGATATAGCACACCGCTTTGGGCACTCATAGCCGCCCGTATAAAAAACTACAGCACCTCCCAGCATAATTTTGCTTTCATGCAAATCTGACACCTGCTCGCCTCTAGTGCAATCCTGGCCCGCAGTGTGCTTTCAGGGGCCAAGCGGAGGGACAATCGTGATTCAGCCCCATATGCTGTCCGATAGATCTCGCTTGACGTATGTCTCTGTACATACTGGTTTCACATAACATTGATCTGATTATCACAGCCCTAGATAGAGTGACCATTCAACAGCTAGGGCCATGATGGTTCAGGGAGAGGGGAGAGTGTTATCCCGATGTTAACTAGCTAGGAGACGGACACGTTGGCCATTTGCTTGGATAGCCCGGTCAATCGGACCGGTTCCATGTTTTGCTAAGAAAACCCCACTTTGTAGGGAAGAGAAGAAAATACTTGGCTGACTTGATGCTAAACCCATTCAACGCTAAGGTCCCATGAAGTCACCTGACAGTGAGGCTGAGGATAAGACCCCACAATTTGTCGACTCCTTTGCCCGAAACACCGAACATCGTGTGCATGGTGTGTTGACTATGACCTCTATATCGTTTGGCAACGCAAACTCGGGAACCCAGATAGGGATCAACAATGGGCCAATATATTCTCCACCGGGTAAGTTTCCAATGGCCCTTGGAACAGGTCTCGGTAAGTTTGACTAAAAGCGGCTTCCTGTTTCTAGAGCGACCGGAATCTCGCCCAGACCCTCTGTCGACCGTGCCATTTCCACACGAACCAGATTTTGTCAGTCGTGGTGCACTTCTTGACCGAATTCACGATAAAGCCTCGATCCCGGGGTCTAGAATAGTACTCGTCGGTCTCGGGGGCGTTGGGTGAGTGCAATACGGGCTCCAGGGGCGGTCCCTTCAATACTGACTATCCGTAGGAAAACACAACTCGCCGTCGAATACGGTCACCGGATTCGACGACACTCGCCAGGAACATGGGTTTTCTGGATTCATGCGAGTAACGCGGCCCGCTACGAGAAAAGTTTCCGTGACCTTGCGGATCGAGCCAAAATTCCCGGGCGCCAAGACCGCAACGCCAATATATTTCAACTCGTTGGCAACTGGCTACGTGATGAAAGCATCGGAAAATGGGTTCTTATCATAGATAATATCGACGATGACGTGCTACTCCGCAAACCTTCGGCGATTGGTCAGGAGAGCCAGGCAACTGGCCAGAGCAATGCACCGACACAGCCACTGCTAAACTACCTCCTCGAAAACTCAACTGGCTCCTTCATTGTCACAAGTCGGAATAAAGCAGTAGCATTTGATATCGCCGATCACAAGAATATCATCGAAGTGCAACCAATGAGCAAGGCCGAAGGGTTGAATCTGCTACAGAAGAAGCTGGATATACCTGGGATGCGCGAGGGCATGGTGCAGCTGGTTGAAGCGCTTGAATTCATGCCACTCGCGATCGTGCAGGCCGCCAGCTATATAGCGCATCGTTCTCCCCGTTGCTCAGTATCGCAATACCTGAAGAAACTCCAGGAAAGTGACGGCGAAGCTGTACGGTTGCTCAATAAAGAAGCAGGTCTTCATTACCGAGACTGGGAGGCTAAGAACTCTATTCTGCTCACATGGCAAATATCTTTTGACCACATTCGAGGCGTAAGGTCATCTGCAGCAGATCTGCTCTCTTTGATGAGCTTTTTCGACCGACAGGGAATCCCAGAGAGCATCCTCCGAGCTCAGCAACGCCGAGAAATGAGAAAATACTTGTGTGCAGAGACAATTGAGGATAGTTCCGGAGAAGAGGATGAACGCAGCGTGTCTGATCTTGACGCGGATGAGACTTTTGAAGATGATATTACCACGCTGAGAGACTATTCATTGATTTCGGTCGGGGTATACAGCACAGTGTTCACAATGCATCGACTAGTGCAATTGACCGTGCGCACTTGGCTGGAAACTCACGGCCAACTTGAACATTGGAAGGAAAAATTCATCAAAAATCTCTGTTACGAATTCCCAACCGGAGAATATGAAAATTGGGTACGGTGCCGCTCGCTCTTTCCACATGTTAAATCAGCGTTGTCACAACGACCAGAATCGACAGACTCTCTACGGCAATGGGCCACGCTACTTTACAAAGGGGCGTGGTATGCGCAAGCTAGCGGTATGTTTGCGGAATCAAGGGAAATGGCATCGAATTCACGAAAGCAGAGAGCAAAGATTTTTGGCGCAGAAGGAGACGAGACCTCGGAAAGCACTGCAATGTTAGCGACGGCATATCGGCTCGAGGGGCGGTGGAAAGAAGCCGAGCAACTTGAGGTGCAGGTGATGGAGACCAGCAAGACCAAGCTCGGTCATGATCATCCGGACACGTTGTCGAGTATGGCCAATCTAGCGTCGACGTATAGGAACCAAGGCAGGTGGGAGAAGGCCGAGCAGCTAGAGGTGCAAGTAATGGACACTTGCAAGTTAAAGCTCGGAGAGGAGCACCTCGACACGCTGTCGAGTATGGCCAACCTAGCGTCGACCTATAGCAAACAGGGTCGTTGGGAGGAGGCTAGACATCTCAACGCACAGGTGATGGAGAGTCGTAAAATGAAGCTCGGCGAAGACCATCCTGACACGCTGTCGAGTATGGCCAACCTAGCGTCGACGTATAGGAACCAAGGCTGGTGGGAGAAGGCCGAGCAGCTTCAGATGCAAGTAATGGAGGCTCGCAAGTTAAAGCTCGGCGAGGACCACCCCGACACGCTATCGAGTATGTCCCGCTTGGCCTTAACGTATAGGAAACATGGCCGGTGGAAAGAGGCCGAGCAGCTCGAGGTGCAAGTAATGAAAACTCGCAAGACGAAGCTTGGCGAGGACCATCCGTCGTCCCTATCGATAATGGCCAACTTAGCGTCGACTTATAGAAATCAGGGCCGGTGGGAGAAGGCCGAGCAGATGCAGGCACAGGTGATGCAGACTCGCAAGACAAAACTTGGACCGCAACATCCCTCTACGCTATCCAGTATGGCCAACCTGGCGTCGACATATAGGAACCAGGGCCGGTTGGAGGAGGCCGAGCAGCTCCAGATTCAGGTGATGGAGATGAGCAAGAGTAAGCTCGGCGTGAATCATCCCTCTACGCTATCCAGTATGGCCAACCTGGCGTCGACGTTCTGGAAACAGGGCCGGTTGGAGGAGGCGGAAAAGATCGACGTGCAGGTGATGGAGGCTCGTAAGAGGAAGCTAGGCGAGGACCATCCCTCTTCGCTAACGAGTATGGCCAACTTAGCGTCGACGTATAGGAAGCAAGGCCGGTGGGAGGAAGCTGAGATGCTCGAGGTGCAGGTGATGGAGACTCGCAAGACGAAGCTCGGCGAAGATCATCCCTCTACGCTATCGAGTATGGCCAATCTGGCTTTCACCTGGGAATCTACAGGCCGATATATCGACGCGATTGATATGTTGAGGGTCTGCATAGTGAAGCAGCGACATGTCATAGGTTCAGCCCATCCTCGCACCGTTTCTAATGCCAAAACCTTGCTAGAATGGGAAAGTAGGGTTTTGGATATCGATATATGACCAATTGACAAATGTATTTTTGATCCTTTTACCTCGTAGGAGGTATATCCTACTGAATTTGGCATGGAATTTTTTGTAGCACAGAAAACTGTGAACCCGGGATACAGAGTTAGCAAGCAGCTTTATAGGCTCGGTGAAATGGTTCTGCTAGAAGCATAATTTCAATCATCCGATTTTTCATTAGTCAAACCTGCATGCCGAAAATGGCCTCTAGCATCAGCCACTCTTGCCCCAACCTGATTAATACACCGCTCGAGAAAGGAGGCAAACTCTCGGTCTGGATCTTGTGCGTAGTAGCTCCAATTGTGTTTTATCAAGCCTTTGAGTTCAGCAAAAAACTCTTCCATTGGATTTAGGTCCGGCGAACTCGGAGGCAAATAGACCAATTTAACTCCCGCATCAGCGCACATGTGTGAAATCCGCTCAGAGTGGTGAAACGATGCATTATTCATGACCAGAACAGACTTCGGCTCCGGCCATCGTCCACAATGACAAAGGAGCTCCTCGATGAAGTCTTCGAACACAGCGGCATCCGTCGAGCCGCGAAAGACGCGAGTAATTAAAATACCATCTTGGGCATACGCAGGCAAATTTTGATAGCGCTCGTCACGATGGAACTGAGACACTTGCCGAGGTGCTACACCGAGTTGTGACCAGCCTGTCCGTCGGAACCCAATTCGCTTATCGCATCCAGATTCATCAATATAAACAATGTGGTACAACTCAAAGTCGGAGAGGTTATAAAGATATATTTCTCGTAATTCGGCATTCTGCTCTCTAGCACTCTGCCGGGCTGTCTGTTTAGACCAGCCTTTGGATACGAGGGCCCTCCGGAAGCTAGAGGTTGACACTAGCATCCGGAATTCATCCCATAGAAAGATAGCTATCTCTTTGAGGTATAGGCCTGGTTTTCCAGCAGATGGTCGCAGAGAGCTTATAACATGGGTGGTGTTATGCTTCGTCTCCGACCGATACGAGTTGAGGGGGCATGAACTTGTCCAAATAGTCGCAGGTTTCTGCGAGTATTTTTGATCGTCTTTTCGCTACACTCAGCTGCATCAGCCATTTGAGACGTTGTTAGTGAATTAATTTGTATCATATCACGAATAAAATATAACTTTGAAACAGGTAGGTTCGGTGCCATATTGTGCAAATGATTCTACTTAACAGGCGGTGCAGAAGGATGGAATGTCAGGCATAGAGGGGCATTAAGGTAGCAGTGTATATGGGTTTCATGTAATATACAGTATAATACGTAACAATGTGGTTCTAAAATTGACAACTGGTCTAATTTTAGGACATAATTATTTACGTTTTAGCCGAATACGGATTAGGGTAATTTCGGGTACGGGCCGAGAAACAATGCGTTGGTGTCCACAGGGGAATCCGTTTTCGAAATCTACTGTATCCGAACGAGCCTTTAGACAAAGAACCGTTTCTGACGCCTCTACTCAACGTGGAGGACCTGGCTGAGGGAAATGTTCTTCCAGATCTGTTACAAACTCGGTCAGCCATACATCCGAAGATGTTCCTATCTACAGATACCCGCCTTGTTGAGCTTGGATACTGGATCAAATCGATTACGCAAATGCAAGTTGAGGGAAGAATATCGTTTTATTCCGAAGCCGGTATCGACGAGGATCGGTACGGGATACAATTTGAACCTGACGTCTTCAAGAACCCACACCTTATCGATCCAGCTATCGGCTTACATCAACTCATAGCGCAAAAAAAAACCTACTGTTTTCTCGTCTCGTGTCTTTCGGCTCAGATAGGGCCTTCTGTCGACCAAACTACTAGTACCGGAAGGGACAAACGCGAAAAACCTCACTCGCTTCTGAGTCGCTTTGCGCTGCTACAATACAAGAGACCAGATTATATAGACTGGGATTACTTGACAGACGTTTTGACATCGTCTGCTGAGGAAGCGATGGACGATCTTTGGCAGCTTCGGACTGACGCAGATTATTGGAATCTGCGGTTTACGGACATGGACAGGAACGCTTCGAGGTTCTTGCGTTCTGTCTTTGGACGTATCGATCTGTTCCTCACTATTGGTGAAAAACTCCGTGTTTGTCGGAATGATCGCCAGATGAGGTCCTCTGGTAATTTGTCGACATTTCAACTTTCTTGCGACAATGGTCAGATCACAGGCGCAATATCCATGCATGCTACCCTTCGCTCTGTTCTCAATGAGATTATTTGTTCGTTGCGGGGCAATGCGTGGCTGGGCAGAAAGGCGAAAAATAAGACATTACGCTATCTTTACGACTTGATGGAGAAGAATGACCCTACAATACGATTGATGGGTTTTGATGCAGTTTTGAGAACAATTGAGCAGGAGCTTTCGGGTAGCAAACCTGAGGAAACGCCCCCATTCCCAGTCGCTCAAACGTTCCACGACATGTCAATTATCGCTGCTTGTATGCAGGAGACTTCCAAACACTTGAGTCTCATCCTTAACCTGGATATAAAATATACCACTCTGGCCCACGATGCCATATCGGAGTGGCAGGAACGCGAACGACCGTGGGTATTACCAATCCAGGGTTTTTTGAAAATAATTCAGCGCAAGGGCAATGAGTTCAACAAAGAGGCCAGGGACGAAAATGTTTCCTTGGAAGACCGCCACTGCAAGTTCTGGAATAGAATTGATGAATGCATGAGCAACTGGAACAAGACCGACCCTATCGTCAGTATGATATTCAGCCAGGCCCCTGTCCCGAGTGCATCCGCACCCACGTCCGCACCAACTGCCTTGGAACCGGGGTGGAGATCACAAGATACGAACACCACGCCAACTCAAACAAAGTCGAAAAAGTCGCGAAGAAGGCAAACCCGACAGAAACCCGGACGGAAAAACTTAGAATTGGTGCGAACAGTCAGCATCTCATCCACTACAGGAGAACCGCGTCCTCGGCCCTCAGTAGCCATCACGGCCACCAAGGATATAGAGTTCTGGAATTGGATACAGAACGAAAAAGGACAGAAGCGATTTGGGCAGTGGAAGGAATTTCTTAAACGTATAGGCTTCGACGTCACACACCAAGCAGGATCAGGGTATCGATGCGTATTCAGGAGCCCCGAGGGAGGATCCCATACAATTGTATACCACGATTTGCACGGGTCGAACGATAACAAGCTCCCGCATCATTCGGCACAAGAAATGTGGACTGGAAGGCTTGAAAGACATTTCAACGTCATTCTGTCAGTAGAGGGAGCGGCAGGTTGAGAGATTATGGAACAAATAACTAAATGATTTCGATAAACAATCCGCTACTTTACATCCTAGAATGATCGCGAGAGTGAAAGTTGATTCGCAAAAAAGACAGCTGAGTTACTGTATTGAAGGCTTCGGCTCAACGGTGGAAGCAAAAACCATCGGACCTACTACACTACGCCTCTTCCTACACCCGACGAAGCGCTTGCAGTGCATTCAGCAGAGGGGCTTACCCACCAGATTGGCCTAGTTGATTCTGATGATGAGCACAGACAGTCATCGGAAAAGCGACTTATCCTCGTATACTTCGATTCCATAGTTGATCGTATGGTTGTTCAATTGCCTTAGTCAAATGTCTAATTAAGGAATACAAATGACGAAAGTTGTTGACGGGGATTGCGCCACCCTTTTTGGTGCATCTAAATGTAATCTAAACATGATGATGTATATCTGTCTCCAAAATGTTTCCTCAATATTTGATTCGCCACAGCTCTGACAAGATGGAGGGATCTCGGGTGAGATGGCACCACTATCCTGCTTGCTCATCACCATACCCCCATGAAAATATATTGACAACAAGACCCATTATACTTAGACAGTGCTGAAATACTATTTGTATGCCGTCTAAGACAGGAGCGTCTTGGTCAAGTCATCGAGACGAAAGGCTGCGGGGGTTTTTGTATTGGACGGTGTGGTTGTAATCGTCAACCAAAGGCAAAGGGTCTTGACCGTGTCCATCGTGCATTTCTGCTAGGGTCACAGCAAGAGTAGCGTCTAGCCTTTCTTGTCTGAAGATGCTGATTCTCCTCTTCGACAAGCGAAGAACATAGACTGGTATCGTGGTCATGTCAGTGTGCGCAGTCTCGTAGACATGGTCGACATTGTGGACATCAAGCACGAAATAAGAGTGCTTCTGTGGGTGTATGTTGACGGCGAGGAAACAATTTTCAGCGTTGGGACGGGTTGCACGAACGGATTCCTCGAGCTTTGCCGTAAATAGACGTATGGAACCCAGCTTATCTCCAACGTCGAGTGCGCTGTTAGGCGTGTCGCCAAGTATTCGTATTGCTGTTGTCTCGACCGTTTGGAGGAAGTCATTGATGGTATCTGGAATTTGACTCTTGATATGCTCACGGATTTGTTGGATCTGTTCTTCTATTTTCAGGGTAGATTTTGATGCAGTGCGGAAGAAATTGATTTATTTACTAAGTTCACTTTCGAGCCGTGACCCTTATTTGAGTGGGTCCACACCGCCAGGGTATCCCCTTCTAAAATTGGAATAGCGCTGGCAGAAACCAGTGGCACAGTGATGCGTACTTCTCGTGCAATAAATTAGGTGTCGGTTGGAAGACTACAGTATGCGATAGTATCCGAATGAACCACTGAGGTCATTCAAACTGGTATTGATATGTGTCTTACCAACTACCAAATCGATCCTTGTTTTTACTGTCGACGATCGATGGATCGTTAAGGTCTCGTACAATGGATTATCACTAAACAGCTGTTCCTCTAAATACCTCAGTCCGCCTGTTACATACATGAGCTTGCTTCCACATGGGTTTGCTTCTTAAAAAGCTTCTATTTTGGGTCCTGTCCAAAATGGGCTTAGTGGTAAAATACCACTGACATTTACTTTTCTGTGGTAGAGTCACAATCTACACTTCAACTTAGCACTGTAAGCCTACATCTCCAACTCTCTGCTTAATACTATTTACCATTGACTTGCTATTCATCTTTGAAACTTCCAGACACCACTTCAAGAGACAAGACAGAAGACCATTTCTGCTATCTCTTTCCACATTGTTTTACCACAACCACGTCCCGGTGGTCACTCTCTTCCATCCTGAATACTTGCAATCTCCAATAAGGAAGCCATGTATGGCTCTACAATGCAGATGAAGACAGGGCGTAGCATAAATTATTCTCTGTGCTAGACTAGGAAAGTACACTTCGTGTACTCGGTCATATGAATGGCGAATACGATATAACCTTGTGTTCCTTGGGTCATTTTCTCCAAAAGAATGGGCCCACTGGAGTCATTCTGCAAAACTTGAAGTTGCTGAAGTCTCGTTTTGCCACCTTCTGTGCCAATGCTTTCAGAAATTGGAATGAACCGTTCGACACCAATACAGAATTTTTCGACGGGTTTCAATCTCTAGGGCCTGTGGCACTTGCGAGGTCTCTGTCTGAAACAGTTCATGCGTCCTATCGGAAGCTCAATAATAATTCGTTAAAAGGAGAACGTCAAGCCTTACAGAACCTGAATGATATCAGTAACCGTTTATGTTGCTCGGTGAAGAAATCTTCAGACGCTGGAGCCATAAGTGCCTCAGAACTGCTTCAACTTACCCAGGTAAGTCACAGAAACCCCGTGACCCGACAAACTGCAACAATATTTCACGACAAACGCCTTAGCGTCACTCGGCGCATTCAACAAAATAATCGAATACTCCCAACGACGAGAGCGTGATATTCTACCAACTTTGACAGAGTAACCTCCATGACAACGCTTGGCCAACATGTCATGAAATTCAGACTCGCATTTCTTAACAATGCGGTCGTCCCAATATGCCACCTTTCCCCGCACTTCAACGTCAGAAGTTGCTGCTGCATTTTGCGAAGAACCAAAGCCGCCCATTGTTGCGGTAGAGGTGGTGAAATAAGGCAAGGAAGGCAGAGAGGAAGTGAATATACAAGCAAAACCCACAGAGGCTTGCTGGAATCAAGTGCCCCAATTTGAGTTTGATCGTACTCTTTGATATCCAGAGGGTTCGTAAGCGGCCGACGCAATTGACAAAATGGCTGGACTGATACGTGGTAGGGAAAGACAAGTGTGAAGGAAATCCGGCGGATCGAAAAGAGTTGAGAGAAAGAAAACCGTGTGGAAAAATGCCCTCAGTTTTGCTTTATTCACAATGTCATGCGATTCTATCTCTGGGAGTAGGCACACATGAAAGGATGGACGCTAGTAGCTCTTTTCTTGATGCAGCCTGGCCTGATAGCGCTCCTGCATAGAAGGCTATACATAGAGTAAGATAAACTGGTTTATATGCCCCCAAGACCAGGATGATCCGAGCGCTTAGTGGTTGGCTGTCATAATGCGATATCATCAGAGTGTTTGATAATACGTACGCCCTTTATGGATAGATGCAGTGTCGGTATGAGAATGTATTTTCGAACCAATAATGTGATGCATCCAGCCGCCGTGATATGGGGTACATTGAGTGAGTGGGTCACGCAACTCCTTCGAAGAACCTAAGACCAGACCTTAGGGGCCCCGATGTTTATAACACGATTATGACCAATGAAAAGTAAGAGGTTGAGTGGATATTAGCGAATCATGGTACGGACGACGTGAGAGGATCTCATATGAAGGGCCCACTTCTTAGGCGCTGTGGTTCGTGACAAGATTCAAGAGAAACAATACGCTGGTGGGCCAACAATTGAGCATGTGGGGGCCGGCGCTTAGTCTTATAGGTAATTTGACCGCCTTCTGGGCGGCCGAGGGACAACCCAGCCGTACGCCATATCCCTCACCTGACAGTATTGACATGCTGTTCCAGTCTTCAAACTGGTAAAAAAGACATTGCACGGGATTTTGATAGCAAAGAAGAAAAAAAGGACGGTTATACCATGTGCCTTTCCTGGATGCGATCCCTAGGGCGACGGGTTCTGGCGAAAGGTCAGCGTGATACACCTGAACACCCAGTGAAGAAGGCCTTCCCTTCCGGCATCAAACAGCTTTGCGGTCCCGTTGACGGCACAGTCGAGTATGTACCGTCCTAATTTACAAAATAACACCTCTGATTTCTCTTCCAGCATCGTATTCGTCCACGGCTTGAACGAAGATCGCGATGCAACGTGGACTGCCAGAGATGCCACCGATCCCTGGCCTAAAACCCTCCACCCACTCATATTTCCGACAATCTGCATACTTACATTTGGATACGACGCGTATGGGGATCACGGGCGAGATGTAATGTTGCAGGAGCTTATCGCCAATCATGCGAGGAGTCTGCTAGAATCTCTTTCGTCGTATCGAGTTGACCAGACGGTATGGTAGCCAATACTGCGATGTTGTGGTGTGTTGACACGTGCAGGATGAGCGACCGATCATTTTTGTATGCTCTGGCTTCGGCGGACTGGTCTGCGACATGGTATGGTGCCGTCATGATTATGTAGGCTGCGCTAATGTCGATGGCAGGCCTTAAACTCCTCGAGGCATCATCCGGAGCGTTATTTTAACAATGTTTTCCGCTCCACCCGCGGTGTTATCTTCCTTGACACGCCGAACCATGAGGTTGGACGAGCGAGTTGGGCCGAGGCGATGTTTTTATCCACGAGCCTTATCGAGCAGACGAATTCCGAACATGACAACAACCTCAGACGCGATTTCGAGGTGATTAGCGACATTCAAGACCGCTTTTTTAACCTGGTCAACGAGCACAGCTCAGAAATACAGCCACAGGTCGAGGTTCTTTATTTATACGAGGAATCACCCAATTTAGTATGTCAGGTAAAACCTGGATTTGTTCCAAATACTAACGACCGCGCTTAGGTCGCGACCAAACCCTCGGCCATCACGGCTGACCACACCCCGGACCATACCCTAATCGAAATTCACGGCCATGTTGATATGACCAAGTTCACCAACGTCGAGGACCCTGGATTTGTGGCTATTTGTAAGCAGCTGCGTCGATGGAGTAGAGATATGGATGCAGACAAGAGATGCCACACGAATCGACCATCGGCTGGGCATCTAGGCGTTGCCAACCAATACGGCGAGAGCAGTCGTCAATATAATTTGATCGGCGGAGGCTCGCAGAAAATCGTGGAAGGCCAATATTTCGTGGCGAGGGGGCATCAGCATTTCGATAGCCCCTGGTCAATGCCCTCGAAAGACACGCCAGACCAGCAACCCCCGCCTTACAAATAATTAGTCCGACCGGTGTATTCGCTTAGCCTGCTTACTGCCTTCCTTGCCCTTTCTGACTGTACCGAGATCGGTGTTCTATCAGCCAACTGGCTCTTGATAAAGTTTTTTTTTTTTTTTTTTTTTTTTTCAGACATCTCAATCAAGAATTGAGAATATAGAATCTGATGACCACCCACCTGGGCAATTCGAATCCAAGCGCTTTGGCGGACTGTGGGCCATGATTAAAACAAGCCTTGTAATCCCAACAGGCCACATTATGTCCAAAGGTGTAATCTCGGTAAGACAGGAATTGGCAACGCAGACCTTGAGCAACTTCTTCCTGATTCCCAAGGCAGGAATTGCTGAATCAGCTCCAATGAGCCCTTTTAATCTGCTATCAGAATTATTTTAAAATATGCATCTCAAGTACTGTGCAATTGTCTCATTGATTTATTCTAGTACTACTGTATACTAAGTCTCGGAACCGATAGACAGGGCCAAGTCAGTCATTGTTTTCATACCGTAATTATTTCATGATCTTGATTTTGATCACCTGGGCTCGGATACCAGTACCCGCAGTGGTAGCAAATAAGCATACAGTATTTACCGCCGGGTCTGTTTCGGATATCGCCAACATCTCTTTAAACAGAGCAAAGGCTAAAAGCTTGCAGATCAATGTTGTTTTAGTAAGCAAGTGCGCAGATGGCTGCTTTACATCTCTTGTGTATCAGCGGGCTGGCAAGCGCGTCAGAGGACATATAAATATTCTGCCATGACCCCGATAAAAAGTCCTATTATGAAGTGTCTGCTGACCGCGGAGTCTACATTATGTTCTATCTTGAGCCCGCCGAATACAATTTTGATAGCCAAATACCGTTTGTACCAGACGGAGTATCGCCAGTTACCGGCTCAGTCGAAAAGGTAGTAAGATCAAGCGACCACCTCCACAAACTTGCTCGAAAAACAATCCTAAAACGTGCTCCACTCGGCGAGTGGGCAGAATTGTGGCGAATCAACGAGAAACGAATGCTAGTGCAAGAGGCATTTATGATCCAGCGAGCTCGGCATCATCATGTCATCCAACTGATCGAAGTATACTTTGATGATCAAAATCAACGCGCGGATGAAATCAGATTCGCAATCGTCATGGATCGCGCAGATAGTAACCTTCGTCGTTTCCTCCAGCCTAAGGCATGCCCCGATATACGGTGGTTCGGCTGTTTGTCAGACGCTGTCTGTTGTCTCCATGCTTCGCATATTCTACACGGATCCATCAAACCGGAGAACATATTGATCAAAGGAGGACAAGTCTTGTTGACAGATTTTGGCTTGTCGCAAAGAGGACTTGGGGAGATGGTTAAAGGTCGCAGCCAGTGGAACCCAGTGTACGAGTATTGCGCTCCTGAACTGAGGGACAAAGGCATATCAAAAGAGACAGATGTGTTCTCTTTAGGCGCTGTCTTCTTGGAGATGATCGTCGCTTTGGACTACTCCGACAAGTTTGAAACCCTAAAATCTATCTTGAAGCGCCCATGCCCCTCCGATGGAATATTATCTTATGCGAACAATATCCACCAAGTTCATTCATGGATTGAGCAGGAACTTGATGGTCTCGGTTGGCACGACAAAAAAATTCGCTCTATGTGCAAAGAAATGATTCAACCTGACCCTATTCAACGCTCTTCAATAGACGATTCAGATGATTTCTCGCCATCGCTGTCGGCAGGGTATAGGTATTGCACATGTGTTTGCGTGGGTGCATAGCGAATGTTCCGTTCTACTGTGTATGCAATCTCCAACCTCTGCATTTCTCACACTCCCTTTACGGGCTCTTAATAATATGTATATTCTGCTCAGAAGATCGATAGCAAGTTAGACTCTGAATTGCGATGTAGCTAAGGGAAGAGAGTTCTGTCAGATATGCTCCTCTGAGATTTGTCGTGAGTCATAGCTCAAAACATGCGCCCTCAGCTGTGTAATTCCAAGACTCCAGGGAAGAGAAGAAAGGTGATGCGACAGCACAATGTTTATTCTCATTGCCGAAGCCATGAGGTGACGGCTGCATCATAGTAGTTTCCTACAGTTGGCTGGAAAATCGGGGACTGCCCTCAAGATCCCAATCATCTCTGCATGTTCGTACAGAGGAGCCAACTGGAGAGCTGTTTGGTCGCCGATTTTTTCCAAAGCATTGACGTCGATGCCGGGCTGTTCTAGGAGGCAACTGAAGATCTTCGTATGCCCCCACCGAGAGGCGCAATGAAGAGCTGTTTGGCCGCTCCTGTCTGAAGCGTTGATTTTGATGCCCGGCTGGCCCAGGAGGCACCTGACGATGGCCATATGATCACATCCGGTAGCAACAATCAAGGGAGTATAGCTGCCGGTAGAGTCAGTTGTGTTGACGTTCGCGCCCTCTAAAATGGCTTTTCTGACTGCTCTTATATGGTTGTGTTCTGCAGCGAACAACAGAGCAGAATTGGCTGGTCTTGGTGCAGAACGATCAAAAAACCATTCACCATCAAGTTTCTCGTATATGTGGCGATCAACCCGAGAGAATCGATATATTTCAGTCTCATTTAAATATTCGCATATCAATAGGAGTAGCTCGAGAGGCAGACCAAGGAGCTTGCAGACGGGTTGCTTTGGACTCATCTTGATACATATCAAGACCGCTTGCGAAAACCACGGGTCCCTCTATAAGTTGAAAAGTTTAATTGCCTAATGAAATTTGATAGGAGCCCGGAGGCAGAGAGCAAGGCGATGTTGCTCAAAAAGTCTCTCGTCAACAAAAGAGGGTCGGCATTTTACTGGTGCGCCCGAGGAATATTCAGTATCCCACTGACGCTCGTAAGGCTCCCAACGACTTTACTAAGCTCATCCCCAGTTTATTCTATACTTCCATGGTATATAGAAATCACACTCTCAAGAACTTCATTGGATATGTCTGTACTAGTCCGTACTGTAACGACCACGTTCTGACACTATGTATTCAAGTCAGAGACAACCACAGAATTGTGGTGGGCCAATTGATCGACAGTCCGGTGGGACCACGGTGTGTTATTTGGGGCGGGCACGTGTTATGACTTCCATGAGTTATCTTTGCCTCGAGTTTATCTCTTTCTAGAACTGCCATCTAGTTATTGCACATTTATCGGTGCGACAATATCCTTGCACGCACCAGGCAACAATGTTCGCTTTGCACGGATTATGAGCGATTTAATCGAGCGCCATTTACCGCCCTTTTCCCCGATTTTTGTTTGAGAAAAATAATCCCGCCCCTATGTCGCCGATTGACGTAAACCATCCGCGCTAGCTATTTTGGCTTTAAATAGATCATGCCGTTACGCGCTTAGGCATAAATCTGCCGTCACTGAAGTTGAAGCAATGTTTGACCAATGGGTTAACTCACTGAAGCGACTAGGTAGCGGCGTGATTCGGTTTTGAAGCTAAGTCCGGAGTCAAGGGGAACAAGATGTGTGACTGCCAAGCATCCAGCTCGCTTCTGCACTTCCACCCATGATCGAGCATGAAAGCTGACTGTAATGATAATGGCAATTACCAGGGCCGTAACTATCCTCCCTTGCAAGTATGATGGGATATCCAGCCACTGGAGCGGGCCTGGTGTTGGCGCTTGGAAGAAACGTCTCCGGAATATCGCGGGCTGCAACCCCTCAAATGCCCGTGGCTGTATCGGCGCCCGAGGCTATAAGACAGCCAGTATACGAGAGCGAGAAGCCCACAGAGACTGAATATATCTTGGACGGAAGCTCTCGCAAGCTATTCGGCAAACTTTGAGCTAAGGCGGGGCATGCTTTTACGAGAGGCAGCACTGGACGTCAGCAGGTTTATATATTGTTTCCTAATGGTTGTTTAATCAACGCTGACCTATTGCTTTCATTTGGACAGTCAATTCAAAAGCAACTCATTTGACGCTATGCTACTACAACACTGCGTATATATACCTTGGTACGTGGCCGCTTAATATGTGGCCAAGGTGGTGTTTAGAGCGTTATGGATTATCAAAGTGCTTGCAGGGACCAAGTGAAAATTGGTGACAATGTGTCGACCCTAGGCGACCGCGGTATATCATTTTACAAACCCCCAACATGGTATGAGTTTTCTTACGCATATTTTCAGTCGAAGTGCTCAGGGTTGATTCATGTCGGCATATCCAAGTTTCTGTATCGGGATCGAAGCCACCGACAACCTTTCAAGCTCAGGTGTTCAAGTTATCTCGAAGTTGAAATGTTGAAAAACGCCATATATCTCCAGCACCAGTCTTTTGTTGATGTTATCTTTTCCGGTATTAGATGTCCTGAAACCTTTTATTATTAGGCCCATGGTCTCGGGTCAGAGCAATGGAGCAATTGCAGAGAGTCTTTTGGTGCTGATGTATGAAGCTGAATCTTGCGTCATCCTGCATACAGTCAATCTGGCGAGGCTCGAAAAGAAGCTGGCTGCCTGTTTGGCCATGGGCCTTCGTTAGAGGAGTGCCGCCAAAGATGCAAGTGGTTTTGTGTTTTGTGAATGGGCTGACATGACCAATGCCATTAATAGATTTGAAAGAAATGTGAATGTTGCACTGTCGCACATGAACAGACTCACGACCATAAGAGGATTCGATGAATGAGGGTGGTGTAGCTTCGCGCCCACGAAATGTGCATGCAATGGAGGATACGTTTCTTGCAGCTACTACCAACGAAATTGGGGGCGTGATCTATAAGGCGATTCCGAACCCCATCAAAGCAGGACAGGTAGAAACGCGAGAGTGATAAGCAGAACGTCACAATGAATAACTTTATTAGAAAAAATTGGAAATCAAAATTTGAAAACAGAGCTAGAACAACTTTGGTTACCATTAAAATATTCCCCGTGAGGTTGGCAATTATTGGCCGAATGCATGAAGCATCGGGAAGAAATATCAACAAGCCCAGCGCTAAGACTCCCGTGGCGACTTGTATAAATTTGCAACATTACGTTGTTGGATGTGACCGATTTCTAGTACATGGAAGGCTAGAGACAACTACGAGAGCCGTGCGCCGCATGCGATGCTGGATCAGTGACTTGTGTTCCAGCTTTCAAGCGTAGTTTTTTGATTTCACCACAAATACAAACCCATGGCAAGAAAGTGGGAGCTCTGTCTCGTTCTACTATGCAGCACAGAAGAAAGAAAAAAATGTTACCAAGTTACCACGACATAGTTTGAGCCAAGGAGAAAAGGGTTCACTTGGTATTACGCTCTCGCATATAGCTAATCAAGAAGCACGGAGTTGAAGAGTCTGTGTCCCGTATCGGTGGGCCCTTTGCCGGTGAATTGATTGTTTGACAGGCGAAGAGCAACGAGAGACAAACGCCGGAATCGCGAGAGCTCTTGCGCAATTCTACTCGTGGAAACCGATTTTGTCTGAATGACACCAGCAACGACGACAATGCGGATAGAAACATGAAGGGCTCGAATGTGCTGCACAAATTCCAAGATTGATAGGCCGGTGTTGACTACCGAGTCAACGAGAACGATCGTCTTGCGACCTTCAACATGCTTATGCTGAATATCGCCTGGGAATTTTGCATGGAGGAACATGGCGAGTGGGAAAGCCCTATTCACACCCAGTGCCATCGGTTCGCCACCTCGCATCAAAGGCACAATCAAGGTCTCTTTCTCATGAAGAATTCGAAAACCATCTGTTTGATGACCTTGAACATGGGTTATGTGGAACGTCTCAACGCCAAGAATCTGGGTACAGAATTCAGTGGCAAGATACCATCCGACTTTAGAATGTGCATCCCGCAGTGCTGGCCCCGATATCGCTGCATCGCGCATCGGTGTCATGAGCAACTGGGCCGCAAAACGATCAGTAGCATGAAGAACATGAAGGTTTTGGCGTCGGACAAATAATGACTCAACAAAAAATTGATCCGTCAATTGTACTAAAGGCAGCCGGGACGCATCAAGGCGGGCGGTTGCATTTGGAGGGAGCACAGCCTGGCGCGGCCGAAATCCGTCCTTCCCGATTAATCTTGTCAAAGCCTCGTCCATGCTAGTACTTCTCAATGCTTTGTCACCTGTCACAACAATCGCCTGGTTCGCCGCTTGGAGCATTTCCACATCCAATGGGCTATCGCCAAAGGCCCAAACGTAAGCGTCGTGCACATCACGCAAACGCGTCACGAGTGCTGCTTTTAGAGCGGGTGTCATGACAAGAGCGTCCGAGAAGCGCCCCCCACCAATCACTGTGACTGTTTTCGCCAGACCCTCCCTCTTCAGAACTTTCTCCCAGACTCTGCGAAGCCCACAGGTCAACACCAGCGCGCGGACGTGAGTCTGACCTGACACTAAGTGCAGAAGATCTAAAATCTCAGAATGGACCTTGATCATGAGAGCCACTTTGTCGCAGCAATCATCATATTCTTTGTTGTCGACAATGACTTCTTCGCAGAGGAAGGTCGCTTGGCGGAAGGCAGTATATGTGTAGTGCAAAGGGCTGCTGAACAAACTTTTCAAGGTGTATCTCTCCTCCGCCTCAGCCGAAGGTGCGGAAGCGAGCTCCCAAAATAGTTCACCGCTGTCCTGCGGTGCGAGTGTTTTGTCGGCATCAAAGACTAGCACGGTCTCCGACCGTTCAGATCCGTTCGTTATGCAGTCATCCATGCGTTGCTGGGCTAGTCTGGAGTTCAAGCCTTCTGTATGGATCTTAAGATCCTGAATGAAAGGAACAATCTTCCCCATTGATACCTGGCGTTGAGTAATGGTCGTGAAAATGATGTCGTGCGACCTGCAAATGTGACGCAATCGCTTTTTCTCTTCTTGCTGCCATTTTTCCAAATGAGCAATTGACGTCGCTGGACGACTTCGTTTCTGATCACCAGAACGATACTCCGCGATGTTCTCGGCTGGCACATCCAAATACAATATGTGAGTGTATGTGTGTAAATCAGCTGGTGTGCACACCAGTTGACCGGCAGCTTTTTCTTCGGCCCAAAACATGGCATGTCCAGTGACTATGGCACTCCTCCCACTGTGGGAACTGTCCTGTTTGATCCTTCGAATCGCAAGATCACGAACCCTTTCTTTGCTATCTTCGTTCAAGTTCTGAAATGCTTGGAGCCCCCCAGGCGTAGCCGCCGCAATTGCCTGACTGCCATCATAGAAGGAAAACTCGGCATGGCTCAGGCCACACTTGAGAATATCCAGCAAGAATGATTTGCCAGATCCAGGGAGGCCATAGAGGCCAATGATGACTGGTTTTGGACTGTCGACCGAGACCGGGTTGGTGGTTGCGTGATTGTGGCTGTCAATGCCATTGAGATATGATACAGTGAGAGGTTGCATAACTGGAGTTGAGGTAGGGTAGAAGTTGACATGAAGCAATGTAAATGTGAAGGTTGGATTTTGGGCGGAGAAGGAAGAGTAAAACCTGTACTGGCAAGGCTTATATCATGGCCTACTGGTGAAGAAGCGGTCTCAAGGTATACGTGGACCGGTTAGCAAAGTAGGTGCTGGAGGAAGAGGAAATATCGAGATCAGAAAAAGCGAGTAAAATCATAGCGAGCTAATCAACAATCACCAGGGCCCACTCATCATCAGCAGGCCACGCAAGGCCATATATTTCGATATATCAGATACCTGAGCTGCAACACCGTGACTAAGGTAGAAGAGGCCAGACACGCCGGAGGCCACGGCTTACTCGCCGGAACTCTTTGGAGTCTATTTGGTGTCGGCAGGCCACAGAAACGATCTTTTCATCCTTGCTCGGGTTCACCACCTCATGTATCGAGTTCCAGCGCTTTTCCATGCAGATCAAAGCAGCCACTTTGAAAAAGAACCATCGCGAGGTGAACTTGGCCAACATGTAAACACAGATTGGAGCGATCTGGTACCCAGAGAGAAAAGGAACCCGACGGGATGTAAATCCGTCATATTGAGCCCGTGCGATTGAAAACATGACGTCTGAGGCTTCACTTAGTCTAGAAAAACGCGTGTTTGCAACTCGGAGCTCCTGGAGCTCCTCGCGGAGCCGGTCTCGATGCCAGGAGGCTTGTGGCTGCCGAGGAAGATTCAAGCTCTTGAGCCATACTCGTAGTGTTGCTTGCCCCAGTTGCATCGGTAACCGTGTCACTGAATGCATCTTGAAATTCAACGCTAACAAATTTCGGTCATCCAATCGTCGGCTTATCGAGAAGGAAGATTCGCCGGTGGCTAAAAAGGGGCTACTAAGATCCAAGTCCCCATCGGAGACGGAACATCTTGGTTCCGATTTTGGTTGCTGCGGCAAGCGCGCCAGGCTGTCTACTAATCATTTTCCCCTGGTGTTCCCCAAGTTCGAAAATGATGATTCACCATCTTTTACTGCCTACTGCATGCCTCCTGCATGGTAGTCCTCCTGCATGTTAGTCCTCCTGCATGGTAGTCCTCCTGCATGGTAGTCCTCCTGCATGGTGGCCTCCTGCATGGCAAAATAGTTTTTTTGGACCTATTGGGGATAATGCTAGGAGCCAATCATTGACTCGGAATTATATGCTGTTTCAAGAGCTGGAATGTCTTCTGGATGATTAATATATAAAGTCCACCGATAGCCCTTGTGTGTATTTTCGCTCGCCAACTTGGTAAACAAGAAAGTCAAAATGTATGCTCAAGGGGAGAGACAAAATGTTACAAGTATGGCTCGACATGACTATGCAAAGATCTAGAGATCGATCCAAAACATATCGGTTGCCCCGGACTTACTCGTACCAGAGGCTTCTCGGTCGACTTTATGAGCAGTCATTTCTTTTGAATGCGCGTGGACAGACACGCGGCAATCATACAACTTCATCTGTTGAGCTTGACGCCACCCGGGCGCAACGCCGTCGATTTCTGTAAAATTATTGTGACGTTCTGGATTCCGAAAGGGATGTAGAGCATGCACTGCAATTGGGCTTGAGGGGCTCGATGCGTGCTAATTGCAACTTCTATATTGCTCCGAGGAAAGTAACCGATAAAACCGCTGGCTTTTCCCGAAGCATTCTTGGCGTTTGACGGGCCATAGCCCACCAAGCTGGCACAAATGATGCTTGCAGACAATCGAAGTTCTTTCAGCTATGCATGAGATTTCCTGCTGAGCGCATCGAACAGGAAAGCAAATGTTTTTAAACAAACGTAAAAGACTGTCTTTCCAAGCTGAATGTGTCGACCACTTTCACCTATCGATAAAGTTCCTTTTCTAATTTGTTAATGGATTCAAAGAGTCGCGGTTGATGGAATTGCTGCAAACAGCTATTGGCTTCGATGATCACTTCAGACTTTGCGAATTCGCACACGACAACCGCCGTTCCGATCATATGAAAGAGATTTTGAGACGCGGTTTGGAATATGAGAGACGGTCAGATCCTGCCAGCAGGCGGTCATCTTTCATCCTTGTACAACATTACATTGGTCGACTCTCTCATCACATACGGGCTATAAAAGAGCTGCTTCGGGATGCCCAGGATCTGAGTCACCTTCTCGATAACCACGCTGTCTGTAAGATTTATGTACCATCCGCCGTACCTTCACCCATTCGCGACTCGCACACCAACTTTCGGGAAATTCTGAACCGAATGTTTAAGAAAAATGATTGTGATAGGAAACTGCTCGACGATGGTCTCCTCCACTTGGATAAGGAGACCGGGATCTTTGAATCTTTTCTGCTTCAATACGATGGCTCCTTGCTCGAAGTCCATGCAGAGGTCCAGGTATTGGAGTGCTTCCACAAGATGCAAAAGTCATTCACGGGTGACGATCGTCTCATCGGTTTTAGTGAACCAGCTTGCCTCTACTACGAAATGTACTTTAAATATAATCCAGCCCGTGTGATGTTGTCTTCCTCTGACCGCAAGATTTGGACAAAGTGGAGTCCTCCACATGTGTAACAATTTGACGACAAAACCCCTGCCGCCAGGCAACAAAAGTATATCTTGAACAAGATGACGCAAGACTTTCGCGCGCAAGTGATAACGCATGTTTTGCAACACTTACTATCAAGCCGTTGGCATCCCGATTCAATCACGAACATCACAGATATCCGGCAATTTGGCATCATCTCTGACTCGCTTGAGGTCCGATATTCGGGTCCATGACGCTCATGGTATGACGGCCCTGCACTATGCGGCAATCAAGGGGTACCGGTGCAGAAACTCCTGAGACTCCTCCAAGTACCAATTCAGAAATTGTCAAATCAGATCCAACAGTCCGCCCTACACAGATCTTTCAGGTATTCCAGAAAGAGAGTCGGACTCCGATGAAGATTCGGGCTCAGAAAGGGGGCATATCTCTATTTGGCAGCGCTTGAAAGCTCCAGCACGTGCTGATCCTTATTCAATAGCAAAATGAGCTCAATCTCGGCTTTTATTTTTCCCAGAATTACCCAGCGGAGCGGAGATAAAATTTATTCATGATTTGTATAGAGGTGATTTAATCATTATTCCTCGTCGCCATTCAGAATAAATTTCGCCTGGTGCATCTCTATCTCATTAAACCTAAGAACCCATATCATTCATGGAGTCTCCGCGGCAAAAGGTGGACGATGAGACAAGACTGCGGCAACAGGGAAGGACTTGAGAGTTTGAAGTGTCAGACACCATGTGTAAAATTACCATGGGAAGGTGATTCAAATACTTTGTTTTTATAGCTAATGCCTAGTGTTCAGATTGCAAAGCGCTTTCCGGATCTCGTTCGCTCGTCGGTCGCTTGGCGAATAACGTCCACAGAACGATATTTCAATTGCAAATCAACTTGAGCAGACTCAAAGTATATGACGTATCTATTATTCAATAGCTATTTCACGTTGGTGTGTGACGCATGTCGCAAAAATGGGGCATTGCGAAGCGCTTCGGCCTGGATTTCCCAGATAGGTTCTGCTAGTCTGAGAAACTGAGGGCCAAAACTGTCTCTCATATCTTGCACGACGGCTTCATCCGACTCATACAGACTTGATCGAACCAGTGGGATTTCCTTAAACTCTTTGAAAGTCAGGTATCTCCAGAGACTTTTTCAATAATCCATGGATTCTCTGGCAGCGTGGTGTTTCAGATCAACTCTTTTTGCGACCAGATAAAATGATGATTTGATAGCATGTGCCTTGGGATGTTTATAAAGTTGAATATCGGAGAACTCGCTGAAAGCGTGGAGTATGCATACCGTGTCCCAAGACTCGATGCGATGAAGAAGCTGGACAAGGGAGCCACCAGGCTTCAGACGATGCATTGCGAAAACTAGTTGCGAAACCATCAAACGTTGCGACTCACAGTCGCTGCGGTAACTTTATCTGGGGTGATCTCTGCCAACAGCTCCTCCGCAGATTGCTATATCGTATCGGTTGTCCAGGAAAGGCCGCTATTGTTCAAAACTGCTGGAATCAGGATGTGCCGTGGGAATGATTTCTTGGCGAGCCATTTCCAGGAGATACATCGTGATGTCTGCATATATAATATATTGGCAAATGTCCTTAGCCATTACTTCATAACCACCACTTTCTGTTAGGAGAGTAACAGCATCGATGAGTGATCCTGGGGTTTCCTTTGCGGCCGTCATAGTAAACCCACCAGGCGCCATGCAGAGGTCAAGCATGCGGGGACGGAGAGAGCCCAATTTGAATATGTTTGTTTTCCATGCCATTCCTTTGCCCACCTGCTTCGTCATTTTGTAGAACGATGCCTTTCCTTTTTCATTCGGTTTACTTGCGTTTTTTCTTTGGTTCTCGAAAAAGGTATCACCGCCTTGATTTGACCATCCCTGAATCTTAATCTTAGTCTTAGACTTGAGAGAGGAGAAGTGTTGACGAACTCTTTTCTTCAAGTCTCTCAAATCCCGATAAGTTGGGTGGAGCGATACATAATCTATCCACAGCCTGGTTGATGCCGCCACAATACCTTCAGCCATAGTCTCTTCGCATTTGAATTAATGACTTGTTCCAAGCAGACCTTTATCTCTTTAGAAGTTCGCTCAAAATTTGGAGAATTCTTGAAGAACTTTGATTCTTAAATTGTTGTCAGTAGGGTGCGGAAAAAGTATTATAATTAACAATAGTGCACAGACCCACCCTTGATGGTTGAAGAAGACGGCTAAATATTTACATCGTTGTCCTCCTGCATGGTCTGGTCTGCCTCCCGCATGATGCTTATCGGCCCTTTTAGATGTTCTATTATGGATTTTGAGTCCTGCGCTGGCCGAGTAAAAATTGCCCCTCCCAATTCGACCATGTACAGCTTTCCGCGGCTAGCCATCATATATTGGATCCACCAATAGATGGCGCCTATTGTAAATTGATTTTTAAGGATCATGCTCCTCTCACCATGCGTCGGGGTCTTCGGAGCACACAGTGAACTTTGGAACAGCCAAATTATGGGATACGTATCAATTTTCTGGATACCTTGGCGCGAAAGAGACTAATGCAGCCGGTGAGTGGGGTCTTTTTTACTTTTTTTTTTCTTTTTTGACAACGCTCGGACTTTGAGCCAACGTATACTTCACGAGTGAAGTCCGACGCTCTTGGAGGTCCAAAAAACTGCCACTTCGTTCTTGACTATCTCGATTTTATGACAATGTTTAGCCCCAGAATCGAGACAGTCCAGCAAGAGCCCTGCTGAGATCAATTAGAATCCCAGAATTTGCTATCAATGATTGGTCTGTTATCTTCATCGGGCTCAAGTTCGTCTGCTCCCGTGCAGTAAACCAAAGTGTGATTTGTGAGCTCAATGATTCTTGGAATCTACTTAGTTTTGCGTGAACCCTTCGGAAGCTTCGCCGATGCTAATAATGAGATGAACAAGCAAAACTCGCGCCCGTGGAGATACGAATGATGACGTATGGAATGAATGGCAATACTTCTGGATAAGGCAAATGAAGCATAAATCTGGCAGATAAGGTCTTAGAATTCTTACTGAGGAGGACCGTGCATTTGGACCGACTCACGATTCTGCATATTGTTTCACGTACACGTCGCACGGTGGAATTGGCGCGAGAGACTCCGCAGCGGTCACGCTTATTCGATACATCATATGCACTACTTCACTTAGGTATAATGACGACCATCTAAGTGTAAGAGCGAGATGAACTTCAAGAATATCCGTCAAGATCTACAATCCCAAGTGTCCTTTTCAGATTGCCAAGTTTGAGCATCTCTCTAGTTTGTACCCCGAAGCTGCGGTTTTTGCGACGCGCGCGTTCGCAGCGGGGGAACCCATCCAGTTCCTCAGCGGGGTCTGTGTGCCTTTGACAAAGAAAGACCAGCTGCAACTCGAAAATATGGGGAAATAATTCAGCATCCTCCAGTCATCTTCCAGTCAAGCCCTTGCAATGTTTCTGGGTCCTGCGCGATTCGTAAACCACGACTGTCACGCAAATCGCGAGATTGTATGGGCCAAGGGGCGTAGGGCCATCATCATACCCCTAAAAGACATCCACCCCAATGATGAGACCACCGTGTTCTATGCAAAAGACTATTTCGAAGAGAATAACCAGGGCTGTTCTTGTCGCTCGTGCTCATAATCCACATCGTTTCCGGACGGGTATTGATGGACTTTGGATAACAATCTCCGACCGTCGCTGATGCCTGATGTCATTGAATATAATGGCTAGCCACGGTGATCACGGCTCGTTGGGCCCATGGTATGTGTTTAAAAACAAGTCAAGAGATTCGGTTTATCTCAGGGGAGGCGTCCTTGCCTTCGCTGAGCTGAAAGCCTCTATTAAACGCAAATGAAGTTACTATGAAGTAGACCCTGATCAAGACCTTGATGCCTTTTATGAATGGTGTATTGATGTGGTCGGTGCAAAAGAAGACAGTGCTAAAGGTCATTTTCGGCAAGCAGGCTTGAAATCGAAAAGTCCTAAAGGATTGCTAGGTATGCTTGAAAACTGGTACTACCACCTACACTCTTCGATTAATTATCCAGTCCCACTGCCAAAACACACGAGACTTTATTGAAAGCTTATCCGTAGTACCTTGTTAGTTGGGCATGCATTGCTTTTTCCGGGATTTTACGATACTTTATGTGCTGCTTGAATTTAATACATCTGATGTCTATTACCCTCAAACCCTTGGAAGGACTTCGTATCTTCACAATTAATCACGAGAAATCAAACCGAGATGGCGTAAAGCTACGCTAGAGCATGAGCTTAACCACAACATGATCCAGAGTGGGGGATTACCTATGGCACAGACAGCTGGCTACAACACACACCGAGAACCTCTTCCAGTGTACAGCATCAAAGCACATCGTGGAGAACGCATATATCCAATAGCTCACGAAGATCCATGGGTATTGGGATGGCTCTTCCGCTAGCGTGGAAATGTCTTGATCCAATTCAGCATCAACAATGCAGTGGTGTTGATTACTCAGCATGACATGACGAGGGGGCGGGGAAGTGAGGGGCAAGGTGATTGAACTTCGGTGAGTGAAGAACAGGGGTTGAATCGCCTAAGCGCTCGATAAACCTGCTAGGCAGATAATTTATCGAGCTTCAAGATAAAGATCGCGTAATAAGAAGGATTTTCAAACGTGTAGTCTTGTTGCTCAACTTCCCTGTGCACGAATTTATACAGTATACGAAAACATACTGTCCCGCTTATGTATATGAGTTCTTGTTAAATACTCTCGACCATTGTCTAGACCAATGGCACCGTAGGGAAGCCTTAAGGGGTGCTATTCCAGGCCACCAATTAGGTCGTGACACAAAGCCAGCTCATCGAACATTCACAAGCCAAATGCAGCTAAATACTGTCAGTCGCCCTTGAGACAACATATATCTTGTTTACATGATATCAGGACCATTTCCATACTCTTGGGATTTCTTTTCTCTCACTGTGCATACGAGCTGAATTTTGAAGACAAGCAATTAACGAAGTAATACGCCTATGGCTCCACCATTTAGCAAAAGCGACAAGTTTTATGCGGTCTACAAAGGTCGTGTTGACAAGCCTACCATATATTCATCTTGGTAGGATTGAATCCAGCTTGGCAAGAGACCCTTGATGCACTGACATGCTACTTGCCTAGGAGTCAAGCGCACCCAAGAGTCATAAAATGCCAAGGCGCCGAGCATGAGGTGTGGGACAAACTCGAGGATGCTCGCAAAGCAATGAAAGTTAGAGGCTTCGAGGACTTTGACACCTTTGTCAAAAAATCAGCTGAGACCAAAATCACGACGTTGCGAAAAGACAAATACTATGCCGTTGCAGGCGGCACGACCACTGGAGTGTTCATTTCTTGGGAGTAAGGCTCCTAATTTTGACATACCAACATAGATAACTCACATAACACAGCGATGCGAAAAAAGCGAGCAATGGAACCACTGCGTGTCAAGAATGTTTCAGCACTAAGCAAGAAGCAGAAGATTTCATTGAAAGTTGGAAAGACGCCTACGCTGATGTATGGCGAAGAGCAATTCGACAAGGATTGAACGAGGGATGGAAAGCAAGGGACATGAGTTTGAACCTAGGATCATTCTTGCTTAGGGAAAATGACAACGAGACATTGAAAGAAAGCGGCCACGAGATGGTCAGAACGGCTCAAAATGAACTCCCGAAGATTGGGCAATTATCTGTCAAAGAAGGGAACCAGGAATAGACCGTTCAATCTATGGTTAAGGTTGTAGTAAGGCTCAACGAGCGAAGACTAACACGACCGAAGATGAGCTCTACAAGGCGCCGGGACTTTGGAGCTTCTTCTATAACAAATCTAACAATGAATGTCATGCAATTCAACATACTTTGCTGAACACGCAGCTAAGCACTGCCACCTCGCATTGCTGCGGAAAACTACGAAATACTCAGTATTCTGATAGCCATCCCAGAGCCAGAACCTGGACGTCCTGCTGATCCAGGAACCCTCCATCACCACCTATCGAACACACGTCAACCATAGCGCCTGGCGGCTGTACCGACCGACCGTCGAGAGTGAGGCTGTCCGTTTCCGCAGCCTGATCTACGTCAATCGAGGGGTGTCAACCTCTTCCCACCGACAGATACCGTGCAACCACCCAGAACTCACAGCAATCAAGATCTGGACAGCAGACCAGCAAATTCTTATCTTTTCAGTCTACATCCCACCCGTGCCTATGCACAACCCCGATGGGACGTCGGCAGAAGCAACACTCACAGCCATCCAAAACACAATAGAAAACGCTCTTCTGGACGGTCGGAAAACAACGAGCATAGTGCTTTCCGGAGACTTGAATCGCCACCATCCAACATGGGGCGGCAATCACATTCACCCGCGGTTTGTAGAGGATGCAAGCGAACTGATTAACTTCTTTCAAACATATGGCCTATACGGCTGTCTCCCTCGAGGAACAGCGACTTTCTGGTCTCTGAGCGACCCGGGAAGGAACTCGACTATTGACTAGATCGTAACGGACCGGCCAGACCGGCTCGTTAAATGTCATCTTTACGATGAAAGTTACGGCTCGGACCACCGTGCCACTTACTCAGAATGGAATCTTCAAGCCCAGCGTAGGCCAGCAGCCAAGGCGAAAAAGGCCTACGACCGGGCAGACTGGGACAAAATCGCCAAGGAAGTTCTTCGACAGATAGGCCCATGGAAGGAAATTAAAACTAGACCAGCGCTAGATGAGGTTGTTGAACGGCTCACGGAAGCGGCTACGACGGCAGTCGACAGTCTCACGCCCGACTTACGACCGACACCATACTCTAAACGGTGGTTCACGCCGGACCTTAAATCCAGCAGACCGAGGTTAATCGCCTGCGCCGAAAATGGCAGGATAGTTGCTCGGAGTTCGGGCGAAACCACGATCAATCCGCGATCCTATTCCGAGAGATGCAAGAGAAACGACGAGAATGGACTCGGACTATTGAGAAAGTCAAAGCGTCACATTGGAAACAATTTCTCGATTCTCGATGAAGCCGGGGGAAGCTGTGGAAGGCTGCCACCTACATGAAACCGCGAGATGCCTGGGGTTGCATCCCAACCTTACAAGACGATACCAACGAATTCATTGAGAATGAGGAGAAGGCGCAGGCCTTCTTGAACACTTTCTTCCCTGAGATGGATGACCCGCACGAAGACCTACCGACCCAAACACCCCTGGAACTCCCATGGCAACCCATCACCGAACTGGAAATCCACCGATTTCTCCGAACTATGAGGGGTTTCACTGCACCTGGTGAGGATGGTCTACCGTCGCTCGTGTGGAAACACCTGTGGAAGTATCTCAAAAAGTTTATCACCGGGATCTTCACCGCATCCATCAGCCATGTGACAACGGTGAAAGGTACGCCTAGGTCCAGAGCATGCTGCATGCATTGTTTCCTAATTTTTGTTCACAGATTTCGTTACCATGTGACGCTGCAAGCCCCCACAGCAATGCTCTGGCATGCCAACGAAACTCCAGTGACATACCTCAATAAAGGTCAAACATACTGTCTCAAGGTGGCGAATTCTACACCGCCGTCAAATAAGGTTGGATTATTCAAATATAGAACGTTCGTGCACATATCCTTCGAAGGAGAAGATCAGAGATCGAATCCGGTCGCATGTTGGCAACTATGGAAGGAAAACCGAGGCTCAAAAGAAGTCCATGAGCCCAAAGGCAAGATCTTGGCTGTCGAGTATGTCAATTTCCGGGGAAATGTTCGGGATCGGGGCCACATACAGCTTGAAGAAGCTTTCGTTGATGGGTTCTGTGTCACCTGGGCATCTGATATAACCGCGAACATCTATGAAGCTGCAATTCTGCTTAAATTCAATTTTCTATCAACCGATTTTACCCGCTCAAAGGAGGTGAAAGGAGTTCCAGTCAGGCTATGCGCAAAAACCGAAGTGTTGCGGTCGGACGACGAAAACCCGACCATGGAGGCAGGGCCAGAAATGTGTTACTGTGTGGTAAAGCTCTTCCGGGACCACGGTGCCGAAAGGAAATCTGCCAATGACAAGAAACATGCCGAAAAAAGAATTGTGAAGCTCCACAAACAAAAACTCGACATGAAGACAGCTGCCGACTTTGCTAGACGAAGTCGCAGCAACAGCCCCATGAAAAACGATTCTCGACTTCACAGGGGCAGGCGGTCAATAAGTTCGCGCCGATGTTCCATGTCCCGTGAAGACATTAACGCCGAGTTAGCCAAAATAACTCGGATCTTTTCATAGGCTCGTCCAGTTAGTGTACTTGGTCTTCGTGGAAACGAGAAGCATGATCCAGATCTATATTCCATTAGTTCATCACATGGAATGAGCAACTTCACGAAGGCTGGGATCTCGGAAAATTAAGATAGCATACCTGCTTTACCCTCGGCATATGAAGGTGTGGCTCAATTGTCAAAAGAGGCCAACGCAGAGTTGGACCTCCATAGCCCTGGCCGTGAGGTACGTCCCCTCAAAATTCCAAGAATCTCCATTGATTATTTGCAGGTGGGCTTTCCGCGTCCTCAAACCCACTCTTCCAAGTCCGGTTCGTATTACGATAAAGCGAACTTCATTCTTTATTTTCTGATTTTGTTGCAGTTGCATGCTTTTACATCCAGTTCATTCAGAGCGCGAAGCAGCCCCAGGGCGAATATTATGCAATATATCTGGCCAACCGTACTTCTTTTTGCTTGAAAGCCAAGCTTGCAGAGAAAGTGCAGATCGACTCATCGGTTATCTCTCATATAATTTGGGTCAATAGAAAGGGTTTGAAGGTCCTGGTGGACGACAATATGGTCCAACATCTTCCAGAGGCGCAGACCATGGTTGCCGACATCTGTGAAATCCCGTATACACAAGTAACAGATGACCCGAGGGCAAAGTGCTCTAGGGTGGAGGTCAAGCTTGTGTTTTGAAATTCTAACATTTTATCTGCAAATGAGTGGTTAGATTGCCTGTGACTAGGAGGAGCAGTCGGGTCAGCGCCGCAGCCAGAAGCCGTCAGTCATATCTCGCCCCGTTTGCTGGATAGTGAAAAGTGGGCATGTGCAACTCTACAGCGATTTTGATATTCCCAAGTCTTACCTGCTTGGAGGTTACATCTCTCAAATTTCGGAACACTTGATTCATATGTAATTTCATAAGACTACGAATGCCATCGATCAGAGACTTTGAGCTCAGTAGAGAACTCTTATAAACGATTCCAGTGTGGAGAATATGAAGGCAAACACACTTACTTCACACTTGTCTATGACCAACGCATACTTCAGTTCTGGCCATCTTCCACATCACCAGAGAAGCTTCTTGATAACATCATCAAAGACGGACGTGTTGGTCGAGCCTCAGAACAGGCGAGAGAAATTATTGCCGGCTTGAGCATGTGCAGGTAGTATCTGTTATATCATTTATTACGATAGAATATGGAGGACTTTATCAGTATAGTCCCCAGTGGGGACCGACCTGTTCGCCTGGATTCTATTTTCTCATCATATGTAGATTCATCTTATAGGTTGAGATTTTCAAGTTGGTGATTGCGCATGGCTTCCAGCATAAATAAAATGATACTTTGTGGTCTACCGCCTTTATTAGGCGGTGCTTTAACGCTACCGTATGGTGAAAGAGACTCTCAGAATGGTTCGCTTATTGCAACCAGCAGCTTTTTCTATCTATCAATTTTACAAGTCGATACATCCCTCAATATATCAAGATCACCTTGTGTAAGAAACAATACAAGCCAGCCCCGGTGACAGGATACTACACAAAAACCCCTAATACAGACTAGTCTGTCCTGGCATTTGCGGGTTGAGAATTAATCAATGAATATATACCTGAGGTGACACCAGATTCGGGAAGAACTGTAATCTGTGTCCAACACGGGCCTCAGACTTGATTTGTTCGCGACATTCCAGAGAATGACCGTCTGATTGTCTTGTGACATTTGTAAGACGTTGATTGACCAGAGACTTGACCCTCGTTGCCAGACTAAATTGACTGAGAGTGCTTTTACGACTTTTCTGTATCAGTGCTACTGCCTTGTGCCGTGTTTCTTTGGATCGCCGCTTGAAGCAGGCTACCTAAAGAAACAGATTGTTAAGAGAACCGATTACCGTAATTTACTGTAACTTGTAGAAGATACATAGGCAAGAGTGGGAAGGGCGGATTCTAATACAGACTAGTGCGCTTAGGGTGGGGCGTTGGGAAAGAAAGAGAAAGAGTTTGGAGTTGTTGAATTTCAGAGGTATGAATTGTGTTATTATTTCAGAGGGATAAATGAGCCTATATATACAACAATGCGCCAAGTTGATGGATTGATGGAAATCAACTTGGTCGACTGTATAGACACTTCGGAGCTAATTCCGACGGTGCGGCTTGGTTCCTGATCTGCACCAGCCTCATATCACAACAGGACCAAGTCCTCGTTTGCCCAGCCTTGTATTATTTCAAGGGATACTGGCGTATTACTATCGTTTATATCCCGTGGAACGAGAATATATATAAATGAGCCACACGCCTCGACGTTTCAACTAATGATCTAAAAGAAGGGTCATATATAGTCCGACCGTGCCAATCGCACCCCAAATCCCCCTTTACGGCCCCTGGAAGTAAGCAAGGAAAATTCAAAAGGTGAAAACGCGCCATCAGTATTGCTATGTATGAACGTGTTGTGATGGATATAAAACGATATTTCCTATTACGGGGGTTCAACTCGAGGCACACCCCATTGGCCTGAGCTCCATCTCACGATAAGAGATAAAATCTAATCCAGAGCAAAATACAACACGCGCACGTGGGCGAATATGAAGACACGCTTTGACTGGCTTTCGCATCCTTCTGCAATCGCGACCAGTACACGACTGGATATTAGACAAGGCCAGGCCCATCACCAAACAACCCTACTTATTAGCCCAGATACATACGTACAGGATGTTTGCCCCTAGCACCAACCGCAATGTGAGGTCAAGACGCGTCGACGCGTATCGGAAACGGCGGCTTTCCTAGCACCGTGCCATCCACGCTGTCAACAGACACATCCTGTCTCTCTCCGTGCTCTGAAGCGCTTCCCTCCTGCGTCTGATGGACCTGCAACGCCTGCATTGCTCCCCTTGTTCCCCTCGTGACACGAACCAGCTCGTCTTCCAGGTGACTGGCTCGAGATGATACACCGCCAAGTTCGTCCTGCAGCCGATCTATTTCTGCCTGCATCTCGTTCTTTTCACCGAGGGAGTCCTTCAGATGCATGCGGGTGCGACCAAGCTCGCCGCTCATTTCACGGTTGGCGTATTCCAATTCGCAGATTTTTGCCAAAAATGAACCACTTCCTATTTCGTCGCTCCGGGCCAGCCGTGTCTTGTATCGCCAGCGCTGTGCAGGCCCTAGAAGCTGCTTGACGGATCGAAATACTCACCTCCTCTTTTGCCAGGTGGCCCCGTTCGGATTGGGCAACCTGCAGCGCCTGCAGCGTCTGCAGAGCAACTGCCTCGAGCGACCGGCCCAATTCTTCGCAAATAGACCGATACAAACCCACACTTCCACTGCCCAAGTTCGACTGCAGTAACCTCTTCTTGGAAGCCGTCACCGACCAAGCGTATCCATCCCCGGCAGATGGCTGTAGACGGACTTGGTGGGGAGCGACGACAAGGCCGAGTCGGTTGTCTGGAAGGATGAGTATCTTTCACCAGGCGGAGGAAATATAATAACCTATGGATATGGGCAGCCGATGCCTCTCGGCCCTGTTGTCTGAAGAATGCGCGTTTCTCATTGCTGCTGAGGACCATGATTTTGTTTGGTCTGTCAAAGAAGGCCGCAACTTCTTAGATTTTGAGACGTATTCAACCCATGCGAGAAAGATCCCAATCAAAGCACCGAGGAGTTATCATTCGACGGTTGCCATTTGACCGGTCATGTATGTTCATCTGACGACCGAAGTTCACCAAAACATGGAAAATCTGCACCAGGTCAAGTCGAGCAGTATTGAGGTGGTCGCCATGAGTTCTTAAGCAATTTCTACCAACCAATCGATGGGGCGCTGTCATTTCAGTACCGTCTGTCTCCGCAGACATTTTCTAATTTTGCCTCTGCCATTTGTGAGGCTGTTCGGGCATGCCCGGCCCTGGGCAATGCGACTGCAGTGCTCCGATCCTGCTCCATGAGAAATTCGGGTCGCGGAGGAAGCCCGTAGATCGCTAATCTCGCATTCAAAACCATAGGGAAGTATCGTTTCGAACAGTCTAAGTTGGTGAACTCAGCCATTCTGCTGTTCTGGGTTGTGAGCCGCCGAGCGCAATCACATGGGGCACGTTTGTTTGGCCGGATAACTGACTCAAGCAAATTAGACATCTGGAATGACCCCAGCACATGGCTATCGACCTACCTCTGTCCCCATGCAAAAGCTCCGACTCCGAGCCCACGCATGTCTCATCGTGGAGAACCACGTGATATGTCACTCGAGGGCCGTAATGTCTCCGAAATAACTGTCTCGTTGTCCTCCCAGGTGACCATCAACACCCCTGGTAGAGACTGCTTCAAATCGACGCTATGTGGCATAAGCCGGAGCCTGTGTCTGACATCTCGCATCATCTCGCTTTCATTGTGGAATGAGATGAGCAAAATTGAGGAAATTAACGCGAGTGATATCCTCGGGAGCTCTTCGATAACATGGTCGCAAAAAAACATTGCATCCTGTCCTGCCATGTTGTCCTACTGTACCCGCACAAAAAGCGTGGTTTGATTTTGCAAAAACGAGAATGATACTTCAAATAGAAGATATAACGTAGCCTTATAGTTTCGCTCTAGCACCGAGAATGTGATTATGCATGATGGACTCCCTATGCCACCACTTCTGACTCATCATATACCCGAGCTGATACTAGTGAAGCACCACTACTGTGTTCATTACACTCTCAACTTTCTACCCGGGGCCAAACTCCTGGGACAAAGGTCTTCATTCATCCAAGTGTGGGGCTTCAATCATTCTTTAGCAATGTCATCTTCCTTCGTATCTAGAGTGACTGCAGTTACAACCCCACGGAACGGCAGTTTTCCTGGATTATCATGTTTTGTAATGCTGCCATCGTCACTTGCAACGTTCTAGTATCGGTGGCATTTGTGTAATGTATATGAATATGACGGTTCCTCGTTTTGTTAATCCCTTGGAATTGGTCGGCAAAATATGTTGCAGCGGCACACAAGTTTGTGTTAAGGCCATTGAAGTCGGTGAAGTATTCCGAAAGAGGCGAAACTGCGAGCTTTTTCTCGAAAATATCCAACTTATTCAAGAACACGATAACAGGCTTGTGCCTGAATTGTTCACCGTTAGCCAAAGAGTCAAAGAGCATCATTTCTTCATGCATCTGGTGTCACACATGAGTCAGGATCGTCAAATTGAGAAGCAGAGTATCATGAACGTACAGCGTTGTGGCCTTCAGCCGTGTGTTGGTCATAACTAGGCAACGCAGCCACGAAGATCATGTATCCAACATCCTCAAAGCAGCTTAACCACTTCTTTCGCTTTGGTTCCTGATTATCCACGTCCAAAATCTGCACTTGAGTTGAACATAGTTCGAATGTGCTCTCGTTGATCCTTGTCTTTGGTTCATCCTCCGACAATGCACTTGAGTAGACAATCCCCATTTGCTTGATGATTGTCGACTTTCCAGACTCGCCAGCACCTGACATTCAGTGAGCAAATCTCCAAATAATAGTTTTCCGAATGCATACCGAGCAAGAGTATCTTAAAGCTCTTTTTCGCTTTTTTCTTTTCAAGCTTCAGCCGCCTTCCAATATCGGAATCGTGACGTGACGCTTCATCTGCCGCCCGCTCTTTTGTAGCTTTCAGACCCATCCATCCGGTGAGACTATTATCCAAGATACCCATCTTCCTTATACCAGGCTGGCTGGTAGATCTGAGGAAGCGTAGATCTGAGGGTGAATAAATTTGCAGTGTCCAGGGAGGTTATTAAGAGGCGATATCTCGGTATAAAGTCCCTGTAAGATACTTCTCTCTGTGGAAAGAACAGGAAACCATTGGAATTTTAAACAGATTGTGTGAGCTCGTTGACGGGGGAGTGCGTAGAGAAAAGTGCAAGCGGTTGGGTATTTAAGGTTTATGGTCTCTATATGTAACACCCACGATTTCAATGACAACCACATCCACTATGACATCATGACATAGATATAGGCAAACTTAGACATGTCCCGCCACAGGATCTTACATCTGTAATTTCCTTAAAAGGAAACTTCAAAGAGAACTTCCTTCTCATCGAAAACATCCTTCCCGCTTTCGTCTAATACCCTTCCAAGGAAATATAATTAAGGAAGGCTGTACTTCCATGAACGATTGAGATGCCTTTAAAGACTTCTGAAAGATGGAAAGTGTTTGGAGAACAGACTCCCTCCCCATCACTACATGTAAGGCTAGTAGGGCTACTGAAAGTGCAGCAACTCTTGAAATTCTGTAAGATTGGGCAGTTCTCATGCGAGCATGCAGCCTCTAAGTCAATGTCGGAACTCAACAGCTCGACAAAAATATCTAGCTACTGTCTACATTCACTGGGAGCGCTGTTGGTTACTTTATGTGACACTGACCAGGATTGAAAAATCATCTCACTAATTGACATCAAACAACGGAAAAGGAGGATGTAGCTAACCTGGTCAAATCAATTCCACATTTTGTTCCAGGCCGCCAATAGCAGACCCTACTGCGTCTTAAACCGTGGTTCAGCTTCACGTCCACGGCTGTCTTGACTTGACGCCTATTGTTTGATAGCTCACCTGAAGAAATTTAGCTCAATTGAATTTAATATCATATGTGCCAAAGCCCCTCCCCCCTGGCTAAAGAAGAGATTACGTTCAAAAAAAGAGGAAATGAATTCATCTTAGACAAAGGGTCTGGGGCATGTTAGGTACTAGGAATTGAATGTGGCTTGATGATCTGATCTCGTAGTTCCGCCGAGCTTGGCCGCCCAACGTAGACCTCATGGTAGCTTAAGAATCTCGAAACCGTAGTGTGGTACTGCCATCATTGGACCCGAGCCGCAGAGGTGCGGTTCAACTCGGACTTTTCATGAACGATGCCACTGGAATGAGCGCCTCCTTCCATTATGAATTTGGTGACACTAGATAGGCACGAATTCAGGCTCTGCAGATGAGAAGTCAGTACAGCTATAATAAGGCTCCAAGTGGCGTCGACATATTTGCTGTGTGGAACCAGTGTATTTATCATGTGAGATCAACAGTGCAGCCTCGCGCTAATGCACAAAGTGTCACATTGTTGCCTACCTCCCTGGAAATTTTTATATGCTGCCAGGCAGGCCAGGGTCTAACCAAAGTATCGTAAGCACATTTGCAGCTCTTGCCCAGCTGCGTCGAGAGGATATTGCCCATTAAGACGTGTTGAAAGGGTACAGACACCCCAAGTGGCAATGAGGACGTCTGCATCCAACCATCGGCCCAAGCAGTATCGTAAGCAGGTTCTCCGCTCGGTTCATGGAGCGTCAATGTCTCAACCACTTAGATATGGTCCAAGACTATGAAATCCTCGCGTTCGCATAGGCTTTGAAGTTGGAGATGCATGTCTTGTTATTTGCTTTTCATGCCGAGGTTGTAGACATGAATCCAATGCTGTAGTGCACCGATGGCAAAGTGAACATCATTTTACCAAGCAATGAGGTCCTTTCATTTATTTCTGCCTTAGTATATCACAAGAATCATTGATAGGAGATACCCACCGGTTGTTGAAAATGGGACTGATTGCAATTTGGCTTTTTGACAGTCAGCCACCAAACTGTATTTATCGATGTGCCTATACGAACAAACGCAGTTCGTCGAACCCGAACCATAATGTAAACAAAAGAAGGTCGCGATTCTACTAATGCAGCCCAGGAATATTCAGCACCCCCGTCTGCCTGGTGATCGTTGCCTATGTATTCTGCAAGTTCTATAGTATATGGAACACTCTCTAGTACTTCATTGACTATGCTTGTACATGTCTGTATTGTAAAAACTACATTCCGACAGCGAATGTTGATGCGGGTGGAATGATAGAATGACGGGAGTAAAGATAAACGTTGGAAGCAATTTGGAGCCCGATGGTATTCAACAATGCTAACAGAGCCACTGACACGGGATCGGGATCGGAAAAGTCAATTTCCGATGTGCGGGGTTCTAGCCGTAAACAAATAGGGTGCTTTTGAATGATTGAGATAGTGATAAGACAGGAATTTCCATCGATATTATGGCTCTCCATGAACATTTTTGGGAAGATGTTCTGAGGTTTTTGGGTGATGGCACTGTTGCAAAAGTCGGCAGCACTTGCCGAATGTTGTACTTTATTGCCAGAGACGAGTTGAGATTGAGGGCAAGGCATTATTTGAAAAGTGATAATGCTTGGGAGCACGCTTTTTATCCCGCAAGAGGTTATTATGATAAACAAGGAGATTGTGGTGGTGATGGTGATGAAATGGGTTCGGGGGAAGGCATGTGCTGGGTGAGGTGTGTTTGTGAACATCACAAGATGGTATTTCTCGGGCGAGACTGTTCATGTGAGTCGGGTCATGCGAGTGAGCGACCTGGGAGCATACTAAAATCCTACAGGCGGGGTGTGTTTTGTGAATATATTGGGGGCTGGATGGACTGGGCAGGTTCAGATCCAGGGCGTGAAGTACGAGCGTGAAAATATACATGCGCGTTTGGAATGCAGGAATATCTATCCAATGGAAGAACGCGGATCCCAAGTACGGGTTTGGGATTTGAGAAAAGATGGGACATCGGCGTTGAATTCGGGGTATCCGGGGTGGGAATGACGATTAGCAAAAAGTGCGACCGCTTTGTGGGCTGTCTCATCCCCTTTCATTCTAAAATTATTTATCACAGACAATACCCACTACTACTTTACGGCAATAATGGGCCCTGAGAAGGTGGCATGACTTGGAAAAGGAGCTTGCGAGATGGGTCATGAGTGAGAAGTGGGCTTGGTTTTCCACACTGTCCTGTTCGCCGGCCCGGAATCCAATTGGAGATTTTTCTTTGCCAAACCCAAAATATATTCATTATAGATATAAGCCTATGGCGAGGACTCAATGCAAAGTGATGCCAGTTTCTCAATTGGTACATTGATGTTTTTGGCGCCAAAGAACACAGTGCTAGAGTCCATTTTCGAAATTGCTACATTAATGTTGCATGATCGGCAGATTCGATAAACTAAAGAGACCCCCTTCGAGAACTGATTAGTGAGATCAGAAAGCACAGATTGTTTGCGTAGATTTAAATACCACAAAATATGAACAGGGCATACAAATGAAAGAGAGTGACGAATCGAGGGAGAGTGTTCAGCCTAAGTTCTAAGCTAAAAGTCGCGAGTTTTACATATTGCATCTGCCCTGATCTACAGGAGTGGCGGGCGTTACGGGAGAAAGTCGGCGACGCGTTGAATAACGTGTCGAGCTTGCTAGGGGGTAGACTCAGCACTCACCCTCAATTAAGACCTGCCAAGACGCCAAAGAGGGTGCAAATTTTGACCCTGGACCTTCTTAAATAGTATTCTGAGGCATAAATAGGCCTAAATGGGCAATTATCTGCTTGTAAATGGTGTTTTATACACCCTTATGAAAAAAGGGACCCTCATTGAGGATCCCTTGGCGGGTGGAGGGTGTGGATCAAGAACCAAGAAGAGGTCAGATATATCATGCCTCGCGAGCCAAGACGGTGGCTGCTGCATACCGCTTCGCACGAATCGAATCGAATCTATATTGAAAAAACGATCTTTACGAAGTCGAACTCAAGACTGATTCGAATTTGGTTCGAAGTTCGCGAAATTTTTTGTTCTAAAGCTTCATTGGGAAGACGGTCAATCACACTGTTGCTCTACAAGATAGCCAGCAACATACAGGTAGTCTAATAGTTGGATATAGAGACAAGTAGGCTAGACTCAGTCTGGCATCAAATTGAATAATCGGGCGTTAAGATTAAGAAGCTGTGAGGCAGTATCAATAAAAGCAAGTTTCTGTCAAAACCTTCATCCAATCATATGTCTTTCGACTCTTGAGGTTTGTCCACAGATCGATAATCTTAAATATGGTCTGTTTTGCTTCAGATTATACTAGCCCATTAATTGTACTGAGATACACGTAAAATATTAATATAGAGTCACAATATGAATAGCTGCACATTGCATTTAATGAAGAGTAGTTAAATAGTCTAATCGGGCTAGCGGAGACTCCACTAGAACGTGTCTTCGCGCATACGTGCGCTTACCAAGAATAACATCTAATCTCGGTTCAAAGGCTACAAAAAACCGTCACTTCAGGTTGCTCGAGGGTAAGCGATCGATCAAGACACAAGCTGAAAATACAAATATAACGTTACGAATGGCTTCTCCACTTACTGCAACATTTGACTGTCCTAATACTAGGAAGAATAAACGCGATTATGGGGCGCTTAATAAATATGGCCTACTTGCAGAGGATTTACCACTTCCGCCTCCCCGAAAGAAGAAGGCAGTTCGGTCCACCGTTAAGTCGCCGACTCCTCCGATTTCAACCTCTCTACAGCTCCCTGCAGTGTCTCCATGAGTTAATCGAATCTTGATACGGACATACGTCCTTCGCAATCAATATCTCAGATCAAATGCAAGGTAGAGAGAATCGAAATCAAGCAGAAGGAGACTATGTCGAAAGAACGGAGCTGGATTTGGAAACACTACCTTACTACACCTGAATCTGGTACTTGGAGATTAGGAAGCAAGGAGCGGTCCGAGCTTAAGCACCTCTGTATTGTGTCGCCATCCACTTGCAGACTCATTTGGTTTGCATCGAAATTGTGATCATCAACTACAGCGTTGAAACAACACCTGCAACAAACACACATGCTCTTCCAAGACGGCCATTCAGGATGCCAAGGTCCGCTAAGCTCATTAATTGCCAAATAAAAGGAGCTCCCATTCGAAGAGGTTATCTTGAAGTGGATTATATCAACCTGGCAACCATTTACACGCGTCGAACAGCCTTCGTTCAAGGCTATGTTTAATCAGCACTGGTTTCGATATAAGCCAGGGCCAGTGCGAGTTTATATGAAACTGGTGGAAGGCCAACATGCTTGAATATAGTTGCATGGCAAAGATAGCACAAGATCACCTTGCTATACCAGCATCAGAGGTAGGTATCGAGAGATTGTTCAATGGTGGGAGAGATGTGCTGGGGGTTTGACGTTCTTCCAAAGGTACGACCCTTGGGACCTTATTAAGGCTGCAAGATGCTGCACGTTGGAAGTCTTCATATTTATACACTCATGGGTTTTTCTGAATACAGGTGTTTGATAGTCTAGACTTTATTTGCAGAACTATTCTTGTAGGGACCAGGCATCTCGAGAATTCGTTCCACAAACCCCTTTTCCTAAAAAGGTTAGATATCAGTTCGCGAAGCTCTCCGATATTCGCGAATTTCGACGAACCAAATCGGCCATAGATTTGAAGCCCGAAAACCAAAGTTCGAGCTCGATTCGGATCGCCGACATTCGAGAACTTCGAACAGTTCACAAATTCGACGAGGCTCTTAAGTTCGTTCCAGGAAGTGACACACTTCAAATGTACGTACATAGATACAATGAGTGCCCTGAAACGAAGGAACGGAGTGGAAGGGGTTACCAACCCCACGGCTGCGCAACGCCGACGATGACACCGTGCCAAAACACAGCGACAGACACACACCTTACTCTCCCGCCAGGCCTCTCTCTCATTGATCATGGTTGGATCCCCGGTCGAGTTCCTTCCTTCTCGGGTTAAGTTTTCTCTTTTGTCTCTTTGCTTCCTAATCATCCTTATATGTTATGCCGTATACCCTTTATGTCCGCTATCGCAATAATCTGCCTATGTCGATGCTGCTAGGCCTCGACATGGTCCGGTTTCAGTTCTTCCCAGTTCGCACCTGTTGGAACCTGGGGTGCATAAATTTGCCAAGAAAAATATTATTTTGGACGCATGTATTGCTGATTCATCCCTTTTTGTTACTGTTATTTCCATCTGTTTTGGTCCCGACCTCGATCTGTCTTCTAATGTAATTGTCCTGTATATGAAACCATGTGAAATTGCCTCGTATATCAGATTTTCGGCAATAAACATCCTTAGACCTTTAGACTCCATCTCATTTTTACTCTTTGTGGGTAGGGAGATAGTGTATTATAGAGATATGACAGGGAAACATATATTTTCTTCCAACGCAACCCCATCATTTTTATATAAGACTCTACAAATTATACACACCTAGAATCTTGATCGAAGAAGCTAAAACTTAAGTCAAATGAGAGGGACAGTCTAAGCCAACCCTGACTTTTTAAATTCAATTTGTCCCCTTGGAATAAGTTATCTTTACTGCCTAAAGTATGTTGAACTGGCCGATCGTCTCATTTATGCTGAAGTCTTCGATTGGCCGATTTCTGCGGTAATGCTACAACCTCCGGGTCTGCCGGGTACTGGAGGGTTGACCGCCAGGTTCCGCGCAGTTCCACGCAGTTTCACCCAGGAGGACTCTGAGAGAATCTGGCGGAGTGGCTTCCAGTAGCCAACCAACAGCGAACCATACCCTCTATCTTACCACCTCCGCCTGCCACCAAAAGCTCCACTCTACCTGGGCTGCACCTTATTCAAAGGACAAAAGGAACTTCGAGTCATACCAATTGATTATAACACGATTGATCACCGCCATGGAAGCTGCTATCAAACAAGACCTGGACCCTCGATCAAAACCTTCGCATAGAACTGTGCCACCCGATTCTTCGGCCGGCGTCTCACTCTCCGGAATAACAGAGCCTCGTTCCACTTCTGTAATATCTGGAGCTTTGTTTGAAGCTCGAACTTGCAGTAGACGAAAAATAATGCCGCGGTGGCTTGCCTCTCTAAGCATAAATGGGATCCAAGGAAAATGTATCTCCCCCAATTCAGCCCAGCCAAATCTTAGACTACGAACCAGAATTTCCCTTATCTCAGGAAGGCCAGGCAGTACATGGAACTAGCGGAGCCTTTCAACGCTTTTCTCCTCATCAGAGAGTACAACGACAGCGCTTTGCACCTCCGGCCCAAATTCTCCACCACTTACCTACAGAAGGCGTCGAAGCCTTCTGATCAGTCCCAGTGGACAATGCTATACCATGGGAGTACCTCTCAGTCGTGGCTTCAGTATTGTTTCAAACATGGACCATTAGATGCGGCGAGATTGTAAATGTTGACCTCGTTGCCCTAGGTCAAGACTACGTTGGGTGATGGTCGCTGCATCATCGTGCACATGTGGCTGTATACGAGATACGAAATCGCACAAGAACTTCAAGTGAACGGTAGAATGTCTCTGAATGCGCAAACTCATATCAACAAGATGTGGCCGGAAGATTCTGGACATCTATACATTCTTAGCACGAATGGTACCATTATTTTATGGGATACTGCAATTGAGAAAGCGCCCTCGGTGGTTGCTGCCAGCCTCTGCCGAGACACGTTTTATAGCACGACGTCAAAGTCGCGTCGAATTGTGGAAGTATGCAATCCTATTAGTGGACGAAGAATGAACTTCGCTCCATAAGGCATGCTATAAATGCAGCTCGGCGCTGAAAGGATAACTGAGGGCTTCAATAAAAGGGCGGAAGAAACACGGCTTCGTCTTGAAGGGACAAACAAATCCTATCATTTTTGAAAGAGACGTGGTAGAGTGAGATTGAAATTTTCCCATGCGGCAATGATATATTTTAAGGAATATCCTTAAGGTGAGCAAACGGAAGAAGATTGTGTTTCCGGTGTGGTTTCTGCCTCATCAAACTCAGAGCTATCCGAAATTTTACGCAAAATCTCTCGCTCGGCCATAGTTTGAAGAAACAACTTTCCCTTTCTCTCCTTTGGCCACAGAACTTCCCTATACTTCTCCCATTTCCTCCCAACCTCCTTAGCATTGTCCATGTGCGCAAAGGAATTCCCCACATCATCGTCCACTATGTCCAAGGGAACCCAGTTGTCGGACATTGGAGAGTCTTGATTATTCACGAGTACACCGTCCCAGGTGTCAAAAAACCCTAGATGTCGAAGAAATCCCGATCGATCGTAGTTCCAACTCGATGGATACCAAGAGGAAAGAACCAATTGGATAATTTGCGGAGGCCTCAGGAATTGGATAACGCTTCGTACAAAGAAGCCCCAATCCCCAACTTCACTTTCGTTCTGGTCGATATATTGGTCTCTGACCAGATCGTCTTCACCTTCCAGCCAAGAGTGGATATCAGCGACATGGAAAGTTTTTCGTCCAGCAAACCCCCATATGAAGTCGACTATCTCAACGATATCTAATTTCTCTTTGATGGGCCTGGCCGGGTTATTTGTCCACTGTCTCAAGGTAGAGTCAAATGCGTCGTCAAATTCTTGGGCATTCGGCCAAACCTGACTTCTGACTCTCCAGAGCTTTTCATTGGCCACCCATTGCGCTGTCAAAGCCTTGTAGAATCGTTCATAGCCGCCTTTTCTGTCTTCTGGAATCGTTCCATTCGCGCATGAACCAGGATCTCGAGACGGCTTCGGCATATTCCCTTCACTAGCCGATGCCTCCGTTGTATCCGGTCTATTCACTCCGGACGTATATGAGAAAGTCGAATTCACATAGGCTTCATTTACGGTTTTATCCAGGTAAAGAGCAAAAAGAAGACGCATTCCATGCCATCGGCACACTATGTCCCAAACAACCTCATCTGGTACATCCCTGTCGCATTCCAGAGGTTCCAGTATATGAAGATGCCATCTGCGACGGGCGGCATTTTCTGGAATTGATGGTGTGCTGTAAAACTCAGATGAAAAATGGCCATGCATATGGACAGCTCGATTGAGTTCAAGATCATGCTGGTGTTGAGAAGCATATAACTAGTTCATTGTCAGACAATCAACAATGCGTGTTTAACAGAAGTGATGTTCTCACGATGATGGACCTAAAAATTCTCAATCGGACGCTGGTCGCATCAAAAACAGAAAAGGTATATTTGCAACATCGGGCAAGATGTAAGGCGTCGTCTATGTTATCAAGCGACTCAAATACCCATACGAGAATCTCGGGAGGGAGATCGAGAAGGCGGCACATCTCGCAAGAATGGAATATGATCAGAGGGTGAAGCATGTGGGCAGGGCAGCAAGTTCTCAACTATTAATATAATCTCCCGTGTATTACAAATAATCGCGAATCCAAGAACGGCCCCCAGAAAACAGCGACCAATCTCGCCAGGGGTGCTATTTCTGAGGTTCTGTTAGTGACCAATATGGTTACGGTTCGTTGCACAGTGGGAATTAGTTCGGGGCTAGTAGCGATAGTGTGCTTTACTAAAAATTTAGGATACGAATCTGGTTGGCTGGTGTGGGGTCGGGACAATTTCCGATTCCCCAGCCGAAAGGAATCAACAAGGCGCGTAGAGGTCGCCTAGGATAGGCCGAATTTCACGCCGGGCCTTGTGGACATGGTGGTCTATCTGAAGTTGCGCGCGCCAGCATTGGTTTTGCAGAAGAAGACCCCGTACGTAATCATTTACGGGAAGCCGCCCTCGCTGCTGCATCTGCGACGGATTGGCTCCCGCGCATGGGTGTTGATCCCGAAAGAGCATCGAGCAAAAATCGGACCCAGATCCTCCGAGTGCCGATTGCTAGGTTACTGTGGACTGAACCAGTACAAGCTGTATCAAATTCATTCAGACAAGACAGTTTTTTCCCATGATGTCGAGTACGATAAGAGCACCCCAGTGGCGCCACTCATCGAGGGGGAAATGGGCAACCACCTCCCGGACAATGCTCCTCCATCGCCTGTCTTTCACCAGTAGTGCCACCTCCATCTAGCGCACTGCCTACGCCACCAGCATCGCCTCCGGACTTGGCTGAACGACTGAAAACGCCATCTCAGCATGTGGAAATACTTCCACCGGTCAATTCACTCGAACAGGAAGCAGAGTCCACACAGGACCTCGACTATTCCATCTATGGCCACAGAAGAAGACCCTCACGGCGCTTACTGGAATCACTTGGCAAGGTGTACACTGCAGTCGCACTGAATACCGCATCTGCGCGCACGGTCGATCCGTCGACTTTCCACGAGGCCGTGTCGTGCCCGGATAAACTGGAATGGTGGGCAGCCTTCCAGAAACAATATGCGTCTCTTCTCGAACACGCAACATGGGAAGAGTTTCTGCGAACAGACGTACCCGCCGGAGATCATGTGATTGGCTGCAAATGGGTCTTTGAGACCAAAGCCAACGGAACGCGCAAAGCGCGACTGGTCATCAAAGGCTACCGGCAGAAGCACGGCATCGACTACCATGAAACATTTGCCCGGTGTCACGGATGGACTTGGTCCGCTGCATCATCGCCAGCGCCGTGTCACGATAATGGAAGCTTCACCAATTTGATGCGGTCACTGAATTCTTACATGGAGTTGCCTGAAGGCTTCAAAGAGCCGGGATATGTTTGCCGGCTTCGTCTTTCTTTGTATGGACTCAAGCAGTCCCCACAGATCTGGTATCAATGCGCCCACCGTGTTCTGGCCGCTCTTGGCTTCACCATGGCACGATCAGACAACTGCGTGTTCTATAAACCCAATTGCGTGATCTGCGTCTACGTCGATGACTTTCTCGTTGCTGCATCGACCTCGCACGAGATAAATTAAGTGCAACGAGCACTGGAAAAGAGTTCCGATGGAACGGCCTTGGAACTCCGCGTTCATTCCTCGGGATCCAATTAGACTACCATGCCGACGGAGCCGTTTCCATCCACCAACACCAGTACATCAAAAAGGTTCTCTCCGGCTTTGGCATGGAAACCTGTCAGACGAAATTTACCCCTATGAATCCCAAGAAAGTCTTGAATCGCCGTCCAGACGAAAAACTTCCGGACGAGGGAACAAAAGCACGATTTGCAACCGCCATCGATTCATTGATGTATCTGATGATCGGAATGCGGCCAGATATTGCGTTTGCGCTTGGCACGTTGGGTCGCTTCACGTCTCAGCCACAATCGCACCACCAGGTCACCCTGCAGCGATTGCTTCGCTATGTCAAAGCCACGCAATGCCATCGCATTACATACCGCAGTAGTCAGTTGATCAGATACACAGATGCCGACTGCGGTGGCTCCGTAGTCACTGATGGGGCATACTCCACGTCTGGCTATATGTTCCAACTTGCAGGCGTACCAGTCTCCTGGTCGTCCAAGAGACAGGGCGAAGTAGCCACGTCTACAACTCATGCCGAATACATCGGGCAATACAATGCCATTCTGCATTTGCAATAGCCCCGCACCTTCCCGGCCGAAACGCAACTGTATCGGTCTCCAGTCACCGACATCACGACTGACAGCCAGTCCGCCATTGCCCTCTCACGCAATCCCGAGTTCCACAAACGGACCAAACATTTCAACGTGAAATTCCATTATCAGCGAGCAGTGCTGAAAGCTGGCGAAATTGGTCTTCAGTGTGTTCCTACTGAGGAACAGGCCGCTGACGGTCTCACCAAGCCGTTGGGACATGCGACTTTTGCCATGTTCTGTGGTCTTATAGGAATCGAAGTGTTGGAGACTCAGAGGCAACAAAATTGACAGACAGCGCAGGCGCACTTTCCACTTTATTTTCCCACGAAGGGTTTTGGGTGGTTTTACTGAGGCTTGCCTGCACAGCGTTAATCCAGTATCGCCTTGCCAGCAAAACGATCCTGAGGGGGAATGCTGTGATATGAGGCTGGTGCAGATCAGGAACCAAGCCGCACCGTCCGAATTAGCTCCGAGGTGTCTATACAGACGACCAAGTTGATTGGAAATCAACTTGGCTAATTGTTGTATATATAGGCTCATGTATTCCTCTGAAATAACAACTCATTTTATACCTCTGAATTACAACAATTCGCAATGCGGCAACAGGGGGGAGAGAACTGCAGAGTCACACTGGCCTCAACGGGCGACGGGAGTGGTCTGAGTCGTCGGAGGCATTTTTAGAGTCTTCAAGGTGAACGAGATCTGTTCAACAAAAGAGGGTGGCAGTGTTACTAGTGCGCCCGAGGAATATTCAGCACCCCCTCTGCCTGATGATCGTAAGGCTCGCAAGGACCTTACTGAGCTCATCCCCTATCTATTCTGCACTTTCCATAGATAGAAAACACACTTTCAAGTACTCAATTGGCTATGCCCGTACTAGTCCGTACTGTAACGACCACGTTCCGACACAATTCCCCCTAGTATCTGTACGGTATTCCGGGCATATTCAGAAGTACGGCGTTGTAACACGCTGGAGCTTATTTTTATAGACCCCTGAGATCGTTCATTTGATCTTTAAGACCTACAATCAATCACCTGATTCTATTGGACATGTTCAGTACTAATCAGTACATCAATTCCTCATCCTGACACGTACTTACTCTAGCGTATTTCTGGTTATCGAAATATATTATCAGGTCGCGTCACATGATCATCTACTCCTTAGATTCAATGAATTGTCAATACACGTGATGCTGACAGCCTCAGCCTCAGCGGCTGCCCCCGAAAGCAGTGTGTATCATTAGCCGTTTGAATTCTCCACCGATCGATTGTCTGATACTTGCTGAGGGAACTCTCCATCCAGGAGGGATATGGTCTTTAACGCAAGACCAGCTCAATCATCTTCCATCTGCGTCGTTTCATCGCCCCCAATGTGATTGGCGCTCGTACGGGTCTTGATCAGCAGACTAATGCATCACTGATCACATTCGAACAATTAACCGCAGGCAAGTCTAGTTATGAGGGCGCTTACAATAAGAGTCCGATCACTTTCAAGCAGCTTTGACGCATGTTAACAAGCCCCTCCGAATTTCTAGGTAGGATCTTTCACCTCTCCTTTATCACAATTTCCCTTAGAGTCTCTAAGCTACCGTGCTGTAAATCCTGAGACAATCCTACGAGAATGTATAAGTCTGAAAGAATCTTTTTGACCTAATGTATTCTTCATTTTGCTATTTTTGAGATTTGAGATTAATGCAGATAAACAATCGATTTGTCTCCTCTATACGAAGGTGTATAGCGCCCGAGGGTCAGATGCAGGGGCTGATGCCTGAGAATGCCTGGTTTTAGTGTGGCAGAACACTTGATACCGGAATTACAATTACACCTTCCTCCCTTTCTTCTCAGATTCCCTACTCTCCTCTCCGTCTTGCTTCCGTCAACTCTCGGGCCCGATCTTAGATTAAAGCTTATGTCGCTAAGTCGCTAAATCCCTGCTAACCTCGTTGCTGCAGCTGTCACTGTTTAAAAGAGGGTTAATTGAATGGCTTTTAAATTTTTTTACGTAAACAAGTACATCATCAGGAAGCTTGGAAATATTACTTAGCAAGTTGGCAAGTTGGCAAGTGAAGGCATAGACTTGATACCTGGATCTGTAGGAATTGAGCATTTCAGCTGGTATGAATAGCTTCACTGTCCCCAAACGTTGTCAACGGTGTACAATACTTGATATGGAGCGGTGGAAAAAGCGGTGTGAAATCAGGCTTATTAAGGCTGAATCAGGCATGAATCCTTGCATCTGACCCTTGGGCGCTATACACCTTCTTACTTCTACCAATCAAAATGAGACACATCGCAGTGCGAAGGTGCCCGTAACGCTTGGGTTTTGGTATAAATTTAGGCACAAACTGCCTTGCAACATTCTATCATCTCGCTAGCACGATCATCGGCCTCTTTCGATCTGCTACTCTGACAATCACCATTCCAGATGGAGGGCTCTTTTGGGAGGTGGGTTGGGAGATCTACGGCAATATTGAACTGTCTCGGTCTAATATTTTTAGATGTCTTTCTTCCCCCTTGTTCACATTTACTGTTGGTGACAATAAGAAGGAGGTTACCGTGCATTCTTTTGCTTTGGCAGGGCTCTCACAGCCCCTAAATGCTCTGATAAACGGCGGAATGATCGAGACAAAAACAAGACATGTTGACTGGCCATATGTCGATGAAGACACGTTTGCTCGGTTATGTGAATTTGCATACTTTCGAAATTACACACCCCCGAAGTTTCGCCTGATCGATGGAAAATCCCCTTCCACCAAGGTCACAGAGAAGCCAAAGGAGAAGAGGAAACGCAAAAAGAGCCGTGCAGGCTTCTGGAACGATAATTCGATAGAGCCTGCACCTGAGCCTGCATATGAACCTGAGCCTGAACCAGAGCCGGAACCCGAAGAGGCTGAGCCAGAGGCACCCCCATCCGAAGACGCCTGCAACGATCGGGAAATTCCATATAAAGAGAGAAGCGTGTGGACGGGCCAATTACGCGATGCATTTGAGCGGAGCCTAGTCGTTCCCAATCCGCAAAATCCTGACGTGAACGACACCTTCATGCCACCCGAAAATACCGGATCCTGGGAAGACTTCACCCCAGTGCTTCTCGAACAAGCTCGACTATATGTGCTGGCTGACACATATTGCATAGAATCATTGTGCCAGCTTGTACTCTCCAAGTTGTATCAAACGTTGAAAAACTTCAAACTTTATGAGACGAGTTTGAATGGTATCATTGAGCTTGTTCGATTAGTCTACATTGAAGCACCACCAAATCACGGTGAAAAAATTAATGGCTTGAGGAATCTTGTAACGCGTTATGTTGTTTCTGTTCTTGGTCAGATTGGCGAGAATGAATGTTTCCGAGAAATTTTAGCAGAAGGCGGTCCTTTCGTGAGTGATTTTTGGCACATCATTTGGGGTCTCGAAGAAAAGTCAAGCGCCTGAAAAGAATGGCTGTCCTGATATTTTGCTTGTCTGCTATGGTTATTCAGAATCGACTCAGGCTCTATAAGTACATTGAGCGTGTTCCTTTTAATTAGACCAAGGCATGTCGCCCACTGGCTGCGGCTGAATTCCGATCGGCTGGGGTGGGCCACAGCGGCACGGGTCGGGTCACAGGCAGGATTGCTACGGCAAGCGGGTCTAAGTGTCTCCATATAGAGTCGACGATCTGTACTGTGGTGTGTTGGAGGTTTGAAGACCCCCAAGAAAATGGTTGTGCTCGGCATAAACCAAACGGTAGCTCGGCATAGCAAGCGCAAAGATCCATATGGAGCAGGAACAGCAGGGGGCTCAACAAGTATAGAACCCAGTGGCAGTCTAGCCTGAGCGACCACTGCATGCCCCCCGAGACGTAACGTAGGAATGCCGACATACCCGCCACGATGCCCGCTTGGGAACTCTATCGGCGCAGCGGGGGAGGGGAAGGAATACTATACCTCACAAGTGGAAGCTATTCATAAATACTTGAATTTCAAGTTTTGTTAATTTCTTATTGGTTCAATATTCGCAAGCTTGGATCGGGGACGATGCAACATCCCCCGGGAGTAGATCCTCTTGCCAGGAAACATCTTACCCTAAGCGAAGAAAAATCTTTCAAACACCCCAGCGCAAAGATCGAAGTGGGTTGACAAAGGCACGCCACTATAAATTTAGATCAACGGCAGCTATCTTTCCGCTGTTTCTATCCGGAGCAGCACAGCCCTAAACAACCAAGCCTAACCCTCCATGCTTCTTGATTATTATCTATTGCATTGAGCTTTGTTAGATTGCAGATATCTGTGACGCACAGGCTGCTCGTTATGCATCTTTCGGATATGCTTTGACAACCCGCTCTTGCTCTTACACGTCTTTTTGGAACACATATGGCACTTGAAATCTCTCTCAGAGTCCAGAAGAATTGTGTCTTTGTGACGACTGTAATCATATACCCGGGAGAAGATGATACTGCAGGTCTCCCCGGTGACTGGACTCGTGAAATCGCATTTGTAGGGGCCAGTTTGGTCATTGCATAGAGTATCATTGGAGAATGTCAGATCTGACTCCCTCGGTGTATGTATATATGCGTCTGACTTGCGCGCATCGCCCGATGAATATGTTTTCAAGTCGTCCACACAACAGTTGCATGAGCATTCAAGAGTATTGGGTGCACACAATGAACCGTTACCTGGGCTTGATACGCTCTTTTCATCTGTAGTCTGGTCTTGAATCAACACCGGACCTGTACCGGTCTGCTGGAGTACCCCAAGGTCGTTGGATGGCGTCGTGTCAGTGGGAAGTGTATAGGAAGTATCTCCTGTTGAATTTAGATCATATGAGTTATTTGATAACTCCAGATCTGCTGAGGACTCGTAAGGGAAAGCTGAGCTCGAGGAGAACTCTCCATATGGGAAGTCAAGAGGGGAGCAAAAGGGCAACGGTATGAAAGAATAGGCAGTCATATATCTGCTGTTGAATTATACTGCGCCAGGCTCGGTGGGCTCATGGTACCATTGTAGGACTCTGGAGTTTTCCAATCGTAGAAGGAGCAGCTCATATCATTCGCGATTTCAATTTGAGTCACGGCCGTGTCAGTGTTTGAAGTCGGCTCAATTTGAGGTTACTTCAGGGTGTTCAAATTCATTGGAAGAAATGGATTTTGGCAAACAGATGAGCATCCAGTAGCTAGCGCTAGATCACCGAGAGGTGCAAAGACAGAAAGGGATCAGGAGGCACTGTATAAGTTGGATCAAAGGAGCCTATTTGGGAAACACCGAGTCTAGCATGGATACCATTGAATGTCATATCTTTGGTGACGCCAGTTGGCTCTATTGATGCGTAGAAGTGTTAGCAATTGAACCTTTCTCCAGAAATTCATTTCATACCACAAAATACATGATCTTCAAGTTCAAGCCAGCTGTATTGCATACCGGTCGATAATACTGAACCGCTATGTTGGGTCTGAAGTGCGGTTCAATCCTGCATGCAAGGAGCTAGTATCGCCCCATCGACATAGCTCTCCTCTTGACTCAAAGGGTTGATGCCCAAGTAGGAATTTTCAAAGTGTTGGGTCGGCTCATAGGGGGACACAGGAAATGATGGAGAGGATCCCACTCGTGTGTCGGTCTCTGATGGGAGAAACTCGGCAGTCAACATCGGCATGTTATTGCTGCAATTTGAATCTGCGGTGTTATAAAGCCCCATCGACATGATAATATCAGAGCCAAATTAGTATCCAGAGAAGAAAAAAAGGTACGGTTCATCAAATGAGAAGCCGTTGTAGGGAGGTGCAAAGCCTTCAGTTTTGGAAACCGCAAGAATTTGAGAATCGACGGAAAATGGCGGACTATAAATGCGAGATCATCTTCAGAAGCGGTTTCAGTCAATAAATCTGTTTATTTGATGTCCCGTGCGTCTTGTTCCCAGGAACAAGATTCAAGCAAAGCTCCACTTCCTCTCGTTCTTTACATTTGCCCTTAAAATCATGATGACTATCATCATTGACCTATCAATACCAGTTGTCTATGCGGTTCCCAGGAGCATGTGCATATCGATGACTCCTCGGTCTCCATTCTCATACAGTCCGTCATGCAAGTCAGGGTTGATAGAGACCTCACCGATTATTGGTGACTCAATTGTGTTCCATCCGTTTCTCACCTTCAGTGTTTACCTAGCTATAGTATTACCACGATCACTAAAACCAGAGTGGAAACCGGGCACACACTAGCATCCAAGAGGCTGGAAATGGTATTGTGATTGCCCATCACATAACTCTAGGCAATAGATTGCGATTTTGCTGCGGGTTTTGTCATAATGGTTTTTCACGCTTCATTCGATGGCGAGGTTCGTGAATGCGAGATACATACGCAGCTTGTCAAACTCTGAAGATTCTCATGTTTGGCATACATCACAAACAATTCTTGACTTTCAAAGTAGCGCATCATGTGGACTTGTTTTCTGGCATTCGTGTTTTGTTTCCTTACCCTTGTCTTTTTACCTGAAGATACTAGGCTTTACGGGAGCCAAAGGAAAACCCCCCAGAAGGCTAGTTCATGGTGATCAGACCTGCTCGGACTGCAGACCTGGCACGAATTGGCTTGCGACAAGATACGGATGACGTATGCACGTGTTCTTACATGTCACATCAGAGCCCCGAAAACAGTGCAGTAATTATCCAATGTTTATTTGCCACCGGTGAATCTCGGCCCATTGATCAGGGCAGCATTTCCGTTATTACCAGCATCAGGCCTCGCAGCTCTACAACCATGCCCGATTACTATACTTCTCAAACTTCACCAGATTGAACCACATTGACTAAGTTTCGCTGGCTGCCAGGAGTTTCGACCACGAGGATATTGAAAATGGGTTAGTCTCTCCACTTTCATGGACACAATAGCAATATTCGGAATAATAACAACTAGAAGGCTGCTGGAAATTTAATTATAGATTTCGCTCCAGACCTTTCCTTCACCCAACCCGCGACAAAAATTCAACGGCTTTCGAGCGGTCACTTATGTGGTAAAGGAACGCTTCAGATTACCCAAGACGTCGAAAATCCCGAAAGATCGTACATCAACCGAAAGAATGACGATATTGTGGCATTCTCAAATTGGTTGTGCAAGACTAGGTGGCACAACAGAGGCTTTGAGGGGAAAAGCACCATCGGAATCAACATCAACGTGACGCGGGAGCAGGTGGGAGATTGAGAATCTAGAAATTACATCTCCGGATAGCAGACCTAGATTTGATCTATCTCTCGGCTACAAATTGGGCAGCCAAGATAATATAGGGGGTGGTGGTTGCCTGATGACAATGTTGGTGCCGGGTTGGACTAAAGTTCAACTGAATTTACACTATAAGAATACCACAAAAAGAATATAGTATCAATCAACCGCTTTGATGGCTCATCAGCGGCAACAACGCCCTCTGCACTGCGTGTAGAGGTTGCACTCAGAGCACATTGTGGTTTAATGTGACAACTAGCTAGCCTCAGGATGAAGTATCCGAAGTAACAAGCAACGGAGTTTCTCTTTCTCTATCCCCGCTTTGAATTTGCTTACAGATTCACGCAGTTCGTGTTTTTTCTGTGAGCTTTGAGGGCTGTCGTCCGAGTAAATCTTCTTTGACATGAAGTGCACACAGCATTGGGGTATATGCCCTTTTTTCACGTTGATGACGGAGAAGATTGCTAAAATTAGAGAAAATCTTCCCGTTACACCCATGATCCCAGCATTTGAGTTGTGCGCTGGCAGCTTGGCGCTCTTCATTCCACTTCAAAGGGGCCGGCGTACGGTGGAGTTGGTGATTGAGATCAATATCGTAGTTGTGGTGGTGATAGCGATTCGCAATTGCGTCTGACGAAAATTGAGTGGAAAAATCCCCCCTGGGGTCATGAGGGAGCACAGAAAAATTATCTGAGGCAGCCGACGTAAAGTTCAAGGATGAATAGCCATTTATGGCCTGTGTGGAGGTTGGTTCTTCCAATCGCCCAGTTGGAGCCTGGTCCTCGGACCCGAGGGTGCGTGCTGATTGCATATAGTATGCCGAGCTCTGAACCCACATATCAGGCGTTCGAAGGCCTTCTGACGAAGAACTACTCCTGCCATTTGGTCAGGTGAGATATTTGAAGTGTGGCACGACTTTACTCACGCATCGAATAGCACTCTGGGTGGTGAATGGGGTAGAGTGGGAATCTGGGGCGATGGACGGATCTTCGGGTGGTAAGCTGCTGAGTGATTTTGCTCTCGGTCAGAGATATATTGCTGTTCAAGAATCTCGTTGGGTATCTGGCTCCAGATTTCAATGCTCTCTGGGTCGGTCAAGGTGGTTTTAACTTGACTTTCGGAAATGTGCATCCTGGTCCCACTAGTCATTAGACAAAGACATGCCGAAGGAACCCTTTTGCACGCTGAACATAAACGCCGCGGATCCATGTTGGAATTATGGCTCGCAGGCATTTCAAATTCTTTTTCTCCGTCCGCGGAATGGATTCTTGGGCCCTGTCTATGTCAGTTCTATTCGAGGGACTACTGAAGAGAGTCGACCAAGGAAGAAAACAGAGCAGACGGACTTTCTGGCAGAATAGTCAGAATTAATGGGCCGATATCTGAATCCGAGACATGCCAAATGGATTGAAAAGGGATGTGAAAGAGAAGACCCCAAGTAGCAAGGAACTAGGGAGTTGAATCACCTACCAATTAGGCATTACCACTCAATGACCGGGTTCTACCATAGCTGGGTTTGATCCACATCAATTTGAACACAAGTACATATGTAATTTTGGTACTTTTACGGAAACATAATGTGGAGCCTCCTGTAATTATTACGCGACCATACCATACCACTGCTTAGCGGGATGGATCTTGTTGGTAGCACTGACCGTTTTTTGTTTTTTCTAAATGATGGTGTTGCGCCATTCAGTGACGCCTCTGTCCCCGTTGAAAGATCAAGATTTGACAGAATCTCTATTAGGCCACAAGTTATCCCAAAAGCCAGAGGTCTATTTATCTAGGAATCTGTCTTCCAGCTCAATTGTAGTCCTTTTCTGATAGGACAATCCTGAGTCACACAGTGTGAGTTCCCAGAGTGCTTGTCTCTGAGAGGAAGGATAGTGACGACCGCAAGCACAAACCCCAGCATATTCTAAACCATGGAGTCTCAGAAAAAGGGTTTACTCGGCCTGAACGAATATGCCCAATGCCTTTCCGAAAAGCTCTCTAAATACGTCCGAGCCGGAGGCAACCTTACAATTATTGTTCGCATCACTTGTGAGCAGAATTTTACGCCTCGTTTTGATGATATGTGGAGGCAATCGAGAACTGCAACGACATCAGAATATGGCAGGTGGGATATCAATTTGGCTGTGACAACTTTATCTGCATGGGCTGTTTCGGAAGCTCAAACGAGTATCCGCTGCGAATCACGGACATGAACAAGGCTTTGCAAATGACAACAGTAATGACAGAAAGAGGTTCTCCGGAGCCAGCGAGGAATCCTGATATTCACAGGAAACTGATTGCAATATGGGGCATTGACGCAACAGAAGTCATCGATTTGCGAGACGAGCGTGACCTGTGACTTTAAGAAAAGGCACACAATTCCGGAAATGTGCGCTCTTGTGACGCTTATGATATGACGAGAGAGTATGTTCTTAGGCATACAGTCATTCTTGCAAACTGGTGAGATTCTCATGCATGTCCGCTTCGTATACAGCCCATTAAAATTGGCGTGCACCGTGGCAAAATTCCACTGGCCTGTGGCAGATATCGGAAATTGAAGTACTCGACGATCATGCCTGTAAGGACTCGGTTCTTTCTTTCGATTATCGGAAACGTCCAAAAGATCGTATTGAGATAGTCGCGAGGGAAGCCAGGCTTATTGGAGGGCCGCATTTATTTCTCATTCGGTTGGTCGGGTAATCGTGATATGGACAAACATCTGTTCAGAAAAACGTCAGCTCACAAAAATTCAATAATGAACCAATTGATAGATTGGGTGGTGGCAATGAGGGAATCTTTCTAGAGGGCCACTTTCCTTCAAGCCTACTCACTTGGTTCAGTCTACTGACTCCTCGAAGAACCAGTGAGCACTGAGAACAGAGGAGAGATTGAGCATAGGAGTGCCTGAATTCAAAGATGGTATGTCTTCGCAAACATACAGTGGCTGCTTGATTTAACCCAGTCCTGGGCCACGTAACTCCCATCGCTCTGCATATGATGGCCTTGCTCGAGTTGGGGCTCGACGCGAGCATCGATAGAGTGAGCATCTCTTGGCCAGCCGCTTTGGAGGGCTTTTATCGAATGAGTTGGGTTCGTGCTGTGGAGATTCGGCGCTTTGCTTGGATCCAGACTTCATGCCAGAGAGAGGTTAGCTAAGATAACAAAGTGTGACTGTTGTTTTCCTCGGGATGGCAAATAACAGAAATTGGAGCTTGCCTGGATGAAGGGAAAGACCACCCAGTGGCCTTCTGATTTGTCTTACTTTGCGTATATTTCTCGATGAATGAATGGTCGATGCGGTTGTGACCAGGCTGGATTGATTGAATGGTTTGAGTTCGGGTACTGGAGGGGGCAGCCTGTGGTAGCCGGAACACCTTTGTCCGTCCCGATGGGGACTTCTACCCGAGGAATCAGTCCCAGGGGTAGAGCACAAACCGACTTTCTATCCGTTTGGCCCATTACGGTCAACAGCCGGAACAAGCTAGCAGAGGGGCCGTTGTGCGATGCGAGAAATCGTAAGAAATCAACGTTCTAGACGGACTGACCAAGCAGATATGCAGTTTACAGCTTTCTCCCATCCTACCTTACACCAGCCGCAGCGCGGGCGTCCCAGAAATTGCGTCTTGCATTCTCAGCTCTCTTCTTTTCCATCGATCGATAGATTCAGATATCGGAGCCGGAGACGGGAAATCAATCCCACCCGATCAAGGGCAGCTATATGCAACCAAATATCCCTCATATCACCAGTACGGCGTTCCAAAGAGCCTTTATATTTGCTGACAACTTCTTCCTTTTGTATAGCCCGCACCTTGATACCTCACGAAAGGCTTCCCCCGGTCCATTTTGCCTGACGATAAAGGCTGAGAGCATGGCATCCTCCACCTCATTTCAAGCCGATTTCAGCACCTGTGAATAATACTCAAAAAGCTTTTCTCGCCGAATAAAAGGAGTACACAGTGGTTCTGGTTGACACTTGGCTAGCAAGGTGTCGGAGATCGGCCTATGGGGACTTGGGAAAGCGCGACAATAGAGGCTTGTTAGACAATCATCGGTTTCTCCCTTCCAGGGATCCTCGAATGCAGCAGTCTCTGCATATGGGCCAGAAGACACTAAACGAGTGTGCGTTCAGCCGCCCAACCTCCTACGTCGAGCCCCCGCTATTGTACTGGTTTAGAATCCCATCCTATGTGATCACGAGCAGGTAGCATGCTCTGTACAAGTACACCATTTTAAGGGCATATAGATCCAGAAACAAGTGTGGTCTGTGTGAAGAAGGATAAATTTTGTAAACATGTAACTGTTGTAGTGCTGTTTCCCATGATCTCGTCAACTTGCGCGCCCTCCCCCTTTGTAGCTATCACTGTAGCGGCAACCCCTCCTGAAGCTATGAAATGAGTCCACCGTTGTTTTGAAACCTTCGACCGTGTCAGCATGTTGCATGAGGCATCGGTCACACGCGCGATATATTCGTACCATCCCAATCCTTCGATCTCACTCAGAAGTAGAAGCTTTTCCACTTCCTCTCTTTCATGAAGACTGATGTCAGAGGATGACAGGGCTTTGCGAAGCGTAGCATATGGGAGTTCCATCCCATGGCTGCCGAGTAGTATGTAACACAGAGTGTCTAGGACGTCTAGAGCTATTAGCACACACATGGAAGATTGCGTCCTAGAAAAACCATACAATATCCCTTCAAATCCATTGAAATGGTGTGTTCGATGTCCCTTAAACGTAGATTTAACATATCCAGGAGAAAGGAGTCCATAGTATCAGCCCACAGTTCCAGAATCTGTGCACGCGTGTTTTGATTAAGACTCTGTAAGACAGTCGTGTAGAAGAACTTTCGGAAGCCAGCGCCTTTTGATCTGACTTTTGTCCGTATTCTTTCCACATCTGCATAGTCTGTTGCCGAAAGCTGAGAATTGACCCATGACAAGGTTGTCTCCCGTGAGTGTTGTTCTGGGAGGAAAGATGGTGACACACATCTTCTCTTAGCTCCCAAAGGCTGTTGGGCTCTAACAGCTATACTGTGAAGCTGGGGATCCTCAGAAAGAGGCTGGTAGTCCTTCCTTTTTGCCATGACTTTATGACACCCAAATAAGGCCCCAAAGTAGAATAAAACTGAGGATATTGCGTTCCACTAGGTGTAAGGACAGGGATACAGCTAGGCGGTGCTGTAGACTTTCGACGGAGAGAGTTGTGTGAACACTTGGCGATATTGTGTACGTAGAAGAAAGAATCATTCAAAGATAGAGATCCACTGATTTTGCCGATGAAACCCAGACTCTCTAACAGTTCTGAGCCAGGATCAAAGTACTGTGATGTCAGGGGCTAAATAAGAAGGACCGAGGGACGGCTAAGAACTATCCTGGACAATCACGCGACGCAAGATTACCAAATACGCAAGGAAGGAAGATCCGGTTCAAAAGCAATCAATGCACAAGTTTACAGGGCGAGAGATATGAAACTTGGCAATTCTGTGCCCCCAGTCAGCTGGAGGTAAATACTGCAGCTTGGTAGTCTAGCTTGTTTTCCGATCACGGGGGCCGGACACTGCTCCTCATTCCACAAGCAGTGGGGGCCTGTATATCATACGCCACCAGCTCTCGCACTAATTCTGCTAACCCCGCGTGAGAGGCTAGTGGCTCTAGGAGCGCCATGGCCCCGAACTCCAATTTAGGACGAGCAAAGACCAATCCTCAGATCCTGTCACAGTCCCACTTAACACTTAGCGTCAATACAAGGTATTTCAAAAGGCAAAAAGAAATACGTATCTTTGAAAGAAGGCGCTATGATTACGCCACATTCGAAGGGTAGTATGACTGAGCGAGCTAATAGTAAGATAGTGATAATGCGTTCCAAACTACATTATTAAAATATGCTAGTCATCAAACGCATAAAGTACTCAATTTTCTCAAACTCGCAATGCCTAATATGTTACTCCCTGCTTCTGCCGCTGCCTTTTCGCCGCGGAAACCCCCCATTGTGGTGCTGGATACCAAGATCCCGTGGCTGATGGCTACTTTGAAGCGATTGAGCCGGCCCAGGCTTTGTCTGAGCAGTGTTCTAAGACAAAAAAACCGCCTGATGGAGATTTTGTCACCAGAGAATGCTGTCTGGATGCTATGCTCGGTGAT